AAGAATATAGTCCCGTCTTGTCGTCAACAATCACCGTCAATTATGTTCAGGTATAGTTAGCAGATTCAATAAATTAAAGAAAAATCCTATAATTCATAGTGGTTGGTGTTGAAAGAGGCACAATGGAATATGGAATATTTTTAGCAGATTGAAGGATTTTAACAAATGTTTATCATTAATCTGCATTTTTTATGTTTTTGTAGACAATAATAACGTACAAAAATGGTAATTAAGTTGACCGTTGTTGTCGTGTGTTTGATTGCTGGAATGTTTGCTCAAAGTAAGTAATAATTTCACTTTTGGTGATATACTATATGTCAGCTATATCACTGACTAAACCACAGATTATTATCTGATGCATCAGTTTCAAATATCCGTAAATTGATACGGATTGAAATTGTTAACGCATACGGCAACGTAGAATTAAGAACGTAGAAAAAGATATATGAATGAAAGTATATCCGGAAATACAGAATGAAAGCTTTTGTCGCGATGATTGTCTGATTCTTTGACAAATGTTAGGTTTGTTTAATAACTGACAAAAAAACGCGGAATATGTAAACTTGTATACAGTGAATGGCAAAATAATATCTGCATCACACTATATCACAAATTTTATTCTGTAACATTCCGTTTGAACAAAAAAAGACTCCCTCAGACAAGCATCTAACAAATAACATCTAACAATTCATTGATGTAAACTGCTTGTCCGGCTTTGTCCACGTCCGGCTTAAAGTTTTGTTAACGTCCCCATAACGCTCTTTTTTGTTCATAATTTATGCATTCTTGGCATGTATGTCGTTTCTAATAATATGTTTCAGTGGTTGAACCTTGTTGCTATCGATTGACCGATATACTTTTCAAATCTGTTTTGAAAAATGCCACAACCAAACTAAAGCCAATTTTTTGAAATGCTCAGTCTTATGAAGCTGATATTAGTCGACAATATTAACACCACGCTGGCATCTTGTATTGGACAAGTTTTGTATACCTGGGATGTTGAGCCGTCTTTGTGTGTCGATTTAACGGTACAATAGTATACAGTGAGCGGACCTCCTAAAGTATACGCACCAAGATGGCGCAAACCCGAACTCAGGTTGTGTATCAGGTTAGGGTTCAGGTTATGCGACATCTTGGTGCGCAGTACCCAATGAGCTTTAGTGTCGTATGAGAATCAGGGACAAAACTGGAAATGAATAATAAAATACCCGAATTATTAAACACGTGGAATCGTGTTTGCGAATAAGTATTAGGCTTATACACCCAGCGTAGATTTTAATCTGAATAATCAATATGCATTTTAGTAGTGCATTTTATCGACAATGCGAATAAAAATAGGGAATTCCGTATAAAATATAATGAAACTCACCGTCTCGCTAACATTACTGGAAATGCAATATCCGTGATGTTGAGCGTAATTGTAGAGGTTTTCAAAATCTTCAATTCATTGCTGCGACCAGTTTAGCTACGTTGAAGATGGCAATCAGTTAAATTTAACAGCAGTTCATTACTCATTTAATGTGGTATTAATAAATAAAACTAAAGAGTAGGCTATGCTAGAGTGGTATGAGCACTCATTTATGAAATTGAATACTTGAAAAATCAATCTTCAAATATATTTATTCAATTTTTATAATAGTTACCTTTCAATGCATACGGCGTCTATCCGCTACTGCCACCATGTTTGAACTATTTTTATTTTATTTCGCTGTATGACACTTGAATGTAATGTGATAGATATTGCGTTGAATTAGTCATTCAAGGTTTAGTTTTCTTCAAACGAAAAATAAACTGGATATAAAACGATGTAAACTTACTTCATGCATACATTCCACTACGGGTTTTCCAGCCACGTTGCTTGATCCTGTAAATTGAAAATGCGGAAAGATGGCGCCGGGAGTATTTTCAACTCTGTTAAATATAGATAGGATTTTCATATATACGCATACGGGATTTTTAAATTGCAACCCCATGCAATCGTGGCAAGTTCCTTGCTAGGATGAGCCGAAAACCGGCCATCAGGTATCAATTTGATTGCTTAAGTTACATCTGACGAAGTTAAATAGCATAGCTTATTAGGAATGAGAACATATTGTAACGTGATATACAGTACATATACAGCCAATTCAAATGCATATACAGCCAACCAAACAGCCAATGCAATATAACTGTTGTACACACACAGTCAATGATTTATATGCACGTGCAGAGACAGCCAATTTGTGATGTCATAAGAATCCAACAGCGGATCGCTCATATTATATATGAAGAATGCATTCCAAGAAAGAGTGCTCATGTCTACTGTTTTGAATAAACTAATATTTCGGGAGAGATGGGAAAAGAGAGATGCACTGCACTTACTTGTTTATCTTCGACATGCCAATGCCAATGTATTGCCAAGAAGCATACATTGTAACTGAAGATTGACAAAAGCTCAAATCTATCTTCGGATAATACAAAATAAACGCGAGGCACATCTCCTCTCGTCCTGCTTTATATTAACCAATTAAGAAAATTAAAAGTATTGCAATGCATATAATATGTCGTGGCCATATAAATATATGGCCATGGAGTATCTTTATTATACCTATGCCGTTTATTTAGAACACATTACCGAAATCAATCAAACCAATTTTTCTCAAATCCATCACAATTTGCATTACCCAGGAAGCACCGGGGAGTCCAAGTTAAAATTGAAATAATATAAAAGCAATTGACTTTTAGACGGAATTTCCATTTTCAAATACGAAAAGCCTTCATCTAGCTGTCGAAGATAAACTGATTATGGTGAAATTATCATCACTTAAGGCAAAACTGCGAGGTCGGAGTTTGGCATGTTTTCGCCGGAGTCGGAGTTGAAATCTTTTTCGTATTTTAAACTCTCCGAATTCTGGAGACTGAATTGAAATTCGGAATTTTCAAAGTCATAACTCTAGGTCTAGGCTATCAATGGTCACAAAAGATGTCGTAATTTCTACAAAAACTGATTTCTCCAACATCGCAGCGGGATTTTTTCTGCCCGCGGCCGGGAATCGGAATCAAGCCATTTGAATCACAGTCACTAAAAGTCCATGCAAACCAAACCCCAATATTTATTTACTAATTGACACTGTCAATAGAGAGTTCTAATAAACTTTCCTTTTTGCCTCTGTCATTGCTACTCGTCCCTGCGTATTGTTATTGCATTCTAGTTGGAAATTGTCTGTACTAAACTACTAACACTTGGATTTAGATATCTTGCTCCTTGGTAATTGAAATCATAGTTTTCATCACTGACGAGGTACGGAAGTTCAGTTCCATTTCTGATATTGGAATATATGATGATTAAATGCAATGATAACAAATTACCGTTTTAAAATTTGATGTTCTCTCCTCAATTTTTAGGAATGGTTGTGGGATATTCTAAATGGAATACCTGAGGTGGCGTGGTCTCATTTTTCTCCCGGCTTCGTGAGAGTGAAGCACAACACTGAAAGCTGTAACGTGGTCTCTCTCATAGATACTGACATTTTCTAGGTAAGTTAGTTATGTGGAAATTAGCAACCTGCTCAGAGAAATTTGTTATAGACCTATCTAATTCTTGACACTTCTTGTTGGCCGTCCTGGGAGCTCATTTTGAGTGCATCTCTACTTAGCACATGTGTCATATTATCACTTGGATACTGCAACAGAATGAAGGCCCCGTCAATTCGATCATATTGAAATATATTATCCGCACTATTTATTATTTGAATAAAACCGATATATGAAAAATAAATGATCGATATGAGCTTATAATTTGTTCACCCAAGTTTAGTGCTAGAAAGTACAACCCTGTGAGATTTTACATTTCATTGCAAACGTTCCTGAGGAATAAACTCAAGATTACCGGTTTACAGGTAAAACCGATCAAACAAAATATTACTTTGCTTGTTATCAGCTTGACTTACAGATTTAACACATTCGTTTGTACAGTGTGCAGTGCTGACATAGTTCCCGATTTGAAAAACGCCAACATCATATTTTCGAAGAGTAGGCGTATATGTAAACCGAAATCCAGAATTGTCGCGAACTTCTGGAATGCCACAAAAAGATTGACACTGTTAAACTATTTTATGACAAGTTTCGATAAGTATGAATATATTTGATAGGAGAGTATAATATTATACAAAAACTTGCAATATTGCTTGGATCATGCCACTTACAGTTTATGCTATACAAGTCTAACATAACCTTGACTTCTTAATACAAATGCTGTGTATTGTTTTAACTGGGAAATAAATATTTTTAGAGATTGTTACCTTCGACCACGTTAGGGTTGTTGTAATGAATTTTCTATTGTACATAAACCGGATCTCCTGGTCCACCGTCTAGAAAACCCGCTTCTATTGGAAACGTCAGTTTCTGTTAACTCACACACAAATAGTTTAAGGCCTATTTTTATCTAATTCTCAGAGTTACTTAAAAGGATGGAAACTCAACTAGTGAAAATATGGGGTAGTTCGTGTTTGAATCAACAAAAAAGAGTGTCGATGCCTAGTAGGCTATTCCAGCTCCCAGGCTGCTTTATCACAAAATATACTCACGGAAACGAACAACCTCTGTTCGCAATCTTTGTGGCCATAAAACAGAGGTTGTAATTCTAACAGTTTATATATCTTGCAGGGTCTTGATAATTAGGTTCAAAAATAGGCGTTGCCAATTCAAACCAGGGATTGGATCTGTGGGAGCGAATATTTTCCATACTAAAGGATATTTTCTCTGAAAGCATTTTGCGTTTTATGAATTCGGGCAACTCGAGTTATTTTAGCAAACTTACTAAAGGCAATTCAAATTATTTTAGACTTGAATTTACTATATGTTAGTATATACTATATTAAGGTTAACACATTACCCCAGCTCCTAATAGCCATTCAAAATCAATGGTCGTACACGTATCAAAATGAGCCATATTTGGGGAATAACACTGATCGTCCTTTGCCAGTTCAGTCAGACTCATTCTGTGGAACAAATAAGTTTTTGTATTTTGATTATCTTCAATACTTACTTCAAAAGTAATATGACTTTCAGTAAATTGCCGATATAATGAAATTTTCACAGATTGCAACATTGTAGAATGGCTGTAACTGTCACTCGGGGGTCATTTGGCTTTTCACATTCGGCGAAAAAACGACAATACATAAAACCAATATGCAGGATACAGCTGAATACTGCAAACTAAATATATAGTTTGTCTATCGGTATCCGGTAGTAGCCTACTTTCCACATCACGATCATTCGTCTAATCGGGTTCTCGCTATTGAATTGTGTCATGTGAGCTTAATTATACCGATTATTCTCAGTTTTTGGAAGTGTTTTGAAGCATCTCCCTTGGCTATACTCTGAAACAACCACTTTGATGCGAAAAGCCAGTGAGTTCGAAGGAATATAAGTATTTCTTATTTAAGATGCTCTCTCGAATTTACTACATGTAAAAACAAACGAAAATGGTAATTGAAATTCAAAAGTACGTAGGGAGTTACAGTTCTTTTGGGTGGATAAGACACCCCCAGATTCCGCACAAGATTATGCTGTGCCAAACTCTCAAAGAAGTTATCAGCATGACTACAATGTCAGCATAGTTATAGTCATGTTTGTATCTTATATTAATTTAGTTGCGGTTGGTCCAATAAGCCACACAAAGCCTTTTTCGTCATGTTATATGTGGTAATTAGGTATAAGACATCTAAAAAATATTTGAGCCTTTCGAAGTCCAATCTATACGTTAAAGTTGCGGGAGAAGTCCTTTAGCAAGTTCGTTTGCCAAAGTCAAGTCACGCTAATAGCAGGAAAGATAAAAGAAAGCCTGGTTGGCTCATGCATTTGAATATTACCGATAAAAGATCAGAGCTTATTATTGCTATAATATTAATATGGTATTCTGACAAAAAACGACAAAACTACAAAATCAGTGAAGTTGTGAGATAAATTTCGACCAATTCAAATCGCAAATGAAATTATTGTTTTGTTGCATAATTTATACAAGTTGTGATGAGACATAAATTGCTGAAAACACATCTAATTATATATATTGACGGAATTTGTGTTTATTTATTATGTAGATAACTTACGCATATCCAGTAGTTCACGTAAACATTATTTAGAGAATACAGTAACGATGTTCAAGTGTTTGTTGTTGTCGGTGTACGTCTGTTTGATTGTTGGAATTTCTGTTAAAGGTAAGTGGTAGGTTTTTGTATATAATATAGTTTCGATGATTAAATGAAATGTCAAATAATTCATTGGTTTTACCTGGTTATTGCGTATTAAATTGCCCGCAGAAACATGCACGTTTTCTGCATTTCCATTTTTATTTCTTCTGACCTAAGTTATTGCTATTAACATACATAGCATGCGATGACAAGGACATTGAATGTCCGGACTGGAAGATATTTTGTGGAGACAACGAGTTTGTGGACAAAACTTGCAAAAGAACTTGTGGAAACTGCCCAACCACAACAACAACAGGTGGCTGTGAGTTTTGAATTGGAATATTTTAGTTAATTTTTTGTTACTTTGTTCCCGTTTTATAACATTTTTGTTTAGTTCTGAAATTAGGATTTAAATGATACTGAAAGTATTTTAGTATTTCATTATAAAATTCGGACAGTTTTCGTAAAATAACTTGGACCATTGTCAAACGCGCCAACGCTGATACGTTTTCGGTATTGCCCAACGAAGTTAAATTCATTTCTAAATTCAAACCAGCTGTCTACATGGCATCTTTCACGAACGGCACGAATGGCGATCGGAACTTTATATCCATGCTCTCTCAACCAAATCGTATTACTTTTGCTTAGCATGTGTTGACAAAGACGATAAATGTCCCGCATGGAAATTGTTTTGCGGAAGTGGTAACGTTTACGTCGACACTAATTGTAAAAAGACATGCGATGCCTGCCCAACAACTGGAGAAGGTGGTGGGGGAGGCGGAGGGGGAAGTGGAAGTAACAGTGAGTATTGTCATCTGAAAAATTAATAAAAATTTGTAAAAAGTTTTATGATACATTTGAATATTGAGTAATATTTATTTGCAAATTGATACAGTAAAATCTATTTCAATTTTCAACTTTTAAAAAGCTGTTGTGTGTTCTGCTTCGCTGCAAATATAAAAAAAAATTATAAATGTTTTGATGCAGCGTGGTCTTCATGCTCAAAAACATGCGGTATGGGAACGAGGTTTAAAGAGACGTGTCAAAGCGGCAATTGTTCAAAAGAATGGGAAGCATGCGAGATACAAGACTGCCCAGAAGCATGTAAGTACCATCACAAATACGATTCATGGCTGATTCCGAAATATATATCCACCAATTTTACGTACCCACTCTAAATTTAATATAATTGCTAATAGCTTGCGGGAATAATGAAAGAAAACGAAATGGAATGCCGCATGCCTGTTGCACTATAGATTCATATTCATCAGAGTGTGGAAAACAATTCATCAACACACAAAGAGTGATAAAAGGAGATCCTGCAATATTCAAAAAATATCCTTGGATTGTAATTATTTTTATTTGTTGTTGTTTTCTATATTATGCTTTTCTGTTCCTATACTTGCCATTAGTCACCGACGACCAACTAAGCTCTTTAAGCTAAAACAAAATCTATAAAGAACCGGATGAATGTATTCATTTCGGAAGATAAATTTGAATCTGTCCGAGTTTTCACCCTACCCTACCAGTTGGTCTGGTGCCATTTTACATGGGTTATTTTTTTGTCAACCATTAGGCCCTAAAGCTTCACTCATGGCTTTTTAATAGCGTATGATAGAGCTCCATTCAGCAATATATGTAAAACGCACTGCTCTAAAAAAATTTTTTTTTACGTTGAAATTCCAAAACGTCTATTGAACTTGCGAGATTTAGAGATTCTAGTAGAGGGTTAATAATTATTCCTAACTAATTAATTTTTATTTCAACGTTTTCTTGTGTTATTTTTCAACAGAACAACGCCAAAACCACTATTATAGCAAGAATGGTTACAAGAATTCACGATTGTATTTACAGAATTTTCATGTTCAAGGCTTCAATTAACAATTTTGATGACGTCACACCTCTAATTATTACTACACACGCCCCCCTCAATGCAAAAAATGTTACTTTTTCCGACGGAAATGCGCGTAGAGAAACGTAAACATTCTAATGCGCGCCGTTAAGCGTGAAAATTACCATTAATTTTACGTTTTTTTCACGTTTAAAAAATCTCGATACCTCTGCCAAGTATGGTGCAGTCGAAATCATATTTGTCAAAACAGCGCAGCGCCAGGGATGATATGTATGACTGAAAATACATGCTAAACCAATAACGAGAATATCGGTCAGAGACCGAAGACGTATCGATCGAAAGTTAGGGGATCCCCAAAACAGCGCTCTTACTCCATAGTGACACCTTGTGTTCCATCACTAATTAATTAATACCTCGCTAATTATACGACATAATTCATCCAAAATCAATAGGCTTCTGGTCCGACATATGATGAATGCACATGCAAAATCTGGAGCAGATTCAATCTCGCTTTCGTGAGATATCGCGTGCATCTAACAGACAAACAGACAAATACCTATCAACATACTTACCGATTAAAATCGATAAGTAATAAGTCATTATAAAGAAGAAGTTAATGTTATTGATTTCCTGTCTGAGTCGCGTCAACAATCTCACACATCTGACTGGCGATTTTGAAATCGATGATATTATTTATACGATTCGCACTTTGCGTCACGGCTGGAGTATCTTTTTCGTGAAATATACGACTCTACTATAGAACATTGACTGTAAAACACCATTAATACCTTTTAGAGTTGGACTAAGCATGAATAATACTGAGTATATGCCATCCGGCTGTGTTGGGCCAATATGACCGGATAAGCAGTACGTTGGAAGCGAAATCCACAGAGTTAATTCGGCATAACTTGTTTCTCTCATGTAAATAATTCAACTATACCCTTCAGTGTTCTGGTATTTTTGCATACCCACTTATTAGACACGAAATGTACATATAGATCGTTTTGTTATTGATACAATGTTGTTGTTCTTGTTTTTCGAATTATCTTTTCTATCGTTATGAAAAAATCGCTTTCCTTAATTACTGAACTAATTGATTTGCAATATTCAGGGGTTAAAGATTGCGTTTTTATTTCTTTGAAAAATTTCTGTGGGCTCTATGGGATTCGTTTTTGTGTGTGCTATGATGACATGAAAATTTAAGCACCTTGTGGCGGTTCCACAATCGCGTTAGTTGTAAACACTGTTGTACCGATGCTACTGTGACAGATCGTATGCAGATGTAAGATATTGCTCCTGTTACGATTACTAAATGTCAATTTGTAATTTGTATGTTATTTTTTTAATTTATAGTTATTATTTATTCTATAAAGGTGGCAATCAATGCAACTGGAGCATTTATTTCAAGCGAGCATTACTGCGCTGGATCCTTAGTGTCTATAAAGCACGTTGTTACAGCAGCCCATTGTCTTGCGTGAGTATTCACTATAGATATATATGTTTACTTGTTTGTATTGGAAGCAATTTCTTCTATGGTGCGCGATGGCGATGTCCAACTAGTGTGATTTTGTAGGAATAATATTATAATAAATTTCAAGAACGCTCCATCAAAGCGCAGCAGTAAACTTTCGACTTTTGCATAGCCAGAGAGTAACACGAACAAGTTTAAAGACCGCTACAAATAATATGTATTAATTTTCAAAAGAAAAAATTTAGAAGTGGAAAAAGAATCCCATAGAGCTCACAATTTTTTTTTTAATTAATAAAAGTAACAGCCTTCTATCGCAACGTACGATCTTTGGAATCTGATAAATCCAAACCAAATTATCCAGTAGTTGATGAACGGTAACAACAAGGAGAAAATATCAACAAGAACTACAACATAATAACAAAACGATCCATAGGTTCATTTCGTGTCCAATAAATGCAAATGTACAGTGGCTATGAAAGTCAGAATATGAATATTAAGTGGAAAACACTGATGAAACAATCATGAAACAATAATTTCATTTTACAGAAATCCGGAGACCGGAATAGCGTATCCGTTAAATTCGTTTGTGCTCAGTTTTGGACTCCTACGACTAAATGATTCTCCAATGGCCATCAGAACGGTGAAACGAGTTCATTTCAGGCCACTAACAACAAATAATATCAACGGCAAAGTATTCGACTATCCTCGTGATGATATAGCCGTTATTGAGGTAAGTGAATATCAATTGAATAGTATTCTATTTCCACTTGGAGCGAAAACGAGTAATAGTTATAACCTGGCCTAAAATTATAACTTAAAAGTTATATACGGTATATATATTACTACTGTTTGATTAATCTAGGTAGACAAGATGATGCTGAATAGGATATCTTGATATTTTCTTTGAGCCCGTGCTACTAACATGAGGGGTTCAGGTTTCAAGACTTCATTTATCTTAAGTCACCTGTAAATCATAATTTATTTTTTTGCGTCGTACAGCTTTCGCAATCGGTGACAAAATCCTCCAGTATTTATCCCATCTGTCTTCCGCACGGGGAAATCACTCCCAAAGATACAACAGGATTTGTTGCAGGCTGGGGAATAGGTAATATGTCTATGATTGTGATAATTATTTGCTTTAACAATGTTAAAAACACTACACATTTCCTGGGAATTGATTGTTAGTGGTATCGCACAGACTTGGCAAAATTTGGTAGATTTGGGGCGGTGTCTGGAATCATTAGTTTCACATCACACACATGTAATGCTCTATGGCTATGTCAACCGGATTCTGCTCCCCTGCTGCTTTTTAATAAATCAAGTATGTCGTGTCTCCTGCTTTATGCGTTCTATAAACTATTTTCAGATTCGGCGAATGGAATACTCAGCCTAACTCATTTACAGGAAGCTGCTGTTCAAAATTTGGATGTTGACATTTGTCGTGCTGGTTATGCAAAATATAGCTCATTAATGCCTAATGAAGCCAGTTTTTCGAAAACCAGTAAGGATATATTGTGTGCGGGAAGCATTCATGAAATAGTAAATACCTGTCGGGTAAGAATCTAACATCAAATTTAGACGAAAACATAAAATACCGAATCAAAATGATCTGTCATAAATATTTCACCCTTAAGAGGATCCATTCCAAAATCCAAAGTAATGGAAATTCACACTTCATTTATTGCCAAGTAACGTGTAATTTAGCATGGTTCATGATAATACTTGCCTGATCCTGATCGTCCTAACAGTTGCTATTCTCCCATCATTTTTCTTCTTTCTTAAATTATGTATAATTTTCAGGGTGACAGTGGCGGACCTTTGGTGTTCCAAAGATGTGAAAGCTGTAGTTGGTATTTGGCTGGAATTGTGTCTTTTGGTCATCCAGATTGCACAAAAAAAATACCCGGCGCTTACACAAAAGTTTTGAACTACGAGGATTGGATAAGAGGAATTATTAAGGAAGAACCTGATAGTTTTTATTGTTCTAGAAATGTCGGGCCTTAAAATTTTATCTTAGCTTATATCTTACCTTGGGACAGAAATAATCTAGATATTAATTGAGGCTTCTTTGTAATAGTACTAGTGAAATGTTTTCATGATATCTTGAAATAAAGATACCACATCATCAATAACTTCACTATGCGTATATATTTATATATATATATATACATATACAATACAATTAGGGTATTCATCGAAAACAACTACACATAGTTGATAGACCGTAATCCAATAGTTTGGAGCTATAACATTGCTAGCCACGTGAACCTGCTTAAATTTCAAAATTTGCAGTAAGTACGTATTCAACTCTACTCTCTGTATCACACAATTTTACTCATACTAGGTGCTACTTTATGCTAATTGAATTGGCGCTATTGTAATAAAATGCTTTTAAAACTGCTATTATTTTCCTTGTGACATGAATAGGTGTTGTCTGGAGCAAATAAGTTGTGTGAAATAACGTAATTAATAAAATTATTGTTCATTCACTTCTACAAAGATTACGACGGGATATTTACGACACTTATGATGGTAAAATCTGAGTTTCTGAATAAAAAGTCTAATTCTGCCTGGGGCCAACATAATTATGTGGAACTATACACGTGTAAGCAATGTATGCAAACAAAGATAAGTCAGAGTGGTCCAAGGTTGCGAGATTGAAGGGCCGCAAAAACTTTTGAGGAGGTCTCGCGGGCCTCAGTCGGAGAAAACCCAAAAGTGATCAAAACATTGCGAGTTTACTCACTTTAAATATATTTAGAAACGAGAGTTTATCGTGGTTTAACGTTGTTGTTGGTGAGGTAATGCGTTTCCGCCCAGTTTACTTCGGTCACCTTTTTTCTACTCTCATTGTATGATGAATTTATTACTTGTAGCGTGAACAGTCCTAGTGCTACCGTCAAAAAACAACCAAGTCCGTCCAAGTTGAGACCCCGGACCCAGATAAAAAAAAAGTCAGCTCTGCGGTTCGTCACTGCTGTAACATGGCCAACGCTTGAAAATAAAGTGTTTTGACTGAAATAAAGAAACAAAACGTCTTTTCAAATGAGGAGTTACTTGACGCTAGCTCATCCCATCGTCTTGGTCCTGTTTGCACAAGACAATTCATTCTCCTTTCATCGATCACAGGACGTCATTCTAATATAGCCACATAGATACAACAATGAATTTCCATGATTTCAACAAACATCAATCCCAATATCGGGATCAGGAAAGGACTATTCCTAAATGGAATAATTTGAAAATAAATCAAAATTGTTCTTTTAATAAATACAAATATCTGTCAATGATTTAGTAATGAACCCTGAAATTGTTTTATGCGCGGCATGCGGCCCGCGGGCCGTAACTTGTACCTCTTTGACATAAGTATTATTCACTGCCTCTCGTCCTACGGGTCGACCAAACGGATCTGTTACGCATACAAATGACCAATCAGTTTCAACGTAAATGCATGATAGAATGCAAAGAGCCAAGCAGCATTCTTGCACATGATCGTTTGACACGAAATTAGACCTCCCTTTGAGATAGCCTACTCCAGGACGTGCCACAACATATTGACATAAGCGTCCTTGCGTCTCACAAACCCTAATGCTTCTCGTGAATTTGACTTGAAAGCATTTAAACGTTTTTGTCCAATATAAATTTTCTCTTGGGCGTTGGAGTAAGATATTTTGTCTACATTGCAAATATGTTTTTTTCTTGCTGTAAGTTTGTTCGAGTAGCGGCAGATTAGATTATAGGTTTTGAAATTGGCGTAATATAAAGACTCTCAACACCTACGGCCTCCAGGTTTTTGAAAAAAATAGTAATTTTGCTGATAACGGGCTAACACCATTTATTTAATTTGTCACGTTTCATAAAAGTCAACAGACGAGAGTGAAAGATTAGAATGATTACAGTAAAAGAACTGAATAAATGTTATCGACTTTCTTCAAATTAATGAATTCAGTACCAAGAGTGTTTTTGCACTCGACTATGGAGACCTCTCAAATCCAGCACTTTTTTGTAATTTGTATTTTTGGACGCCAGGTCAGAAAAGATGTTGCGAAATGAACGAGAATGACGTAGGCCTTCTTGCTTAATATTTGGTATAAATCAGAGAGAAACAAACAAAACTAGATTTGTCAGTTCCGTTTCTAAATGCCAGATTCAATTGCATTCGAGACTTTAAACTCTGCTATCTCTTTGCTACTTCGGCATTCGGGCCAATTTCAGCGTTAAATGGGTCTTTGCGCCATGAAAGAACGCGTTGTCGTTGAATATGAATTCGAATAATTTTTGATCCGAAACGCCGAGCGCTATGAAGATGATGTTAGTAGACAATATTAACACCGCGTTGGCATATTGTATTGGACAATTTTTGTATAACAGGGATGTTGAGCCGTCTTTGTGTGTCGATTTAACGGTACAATAGTATACAATGAGCTTTTATTGTCGTATGAGAATCAGGGACAAAGTTGGCAGTGGATGTTAGAATCCCCGAATATTTAAACTCGTGTAATCGCGTCTGCAAAAAACGGTTAGGCTCATACAACCGGCGCAGGGTAAATGATTAATCGACACGCAGTGCTTTTTATCGCGAATGAAAATGCGGCATTCCGTTGAAGATATAATTAAACTCACCGTCTCGCTAACATTATTGGGAATGCAAAATCCGTGATGTTGAGCGGAATTGTAGAAGTTTTCAAAATCTTCAATCTTTTGCCGCGACTAGTTCAGCTACGTCGGAAATGGAAATCAATTTAATTTAAAAGCAGTTCATTACTCATCTAATGTGGTATTGATAATTAAAACTAAAGAGTATGCTGGAGTGGTATGGGCACTCATTTATGAAATCGTAAAGCTTCAAAAATCAATCTTCAAATATATTTATTCAATTTTGTAACATTTACCTTTATGCACACGGCGTCATTATGAGTAACAAAAGCTATCTGCTACTGCGACCATGTTTGAACTGTTTTTATATTATTTCGCTGTCTGACACTTGAATGCTATGTATATATATATATGAGATATTGCGGTAGATTGGTGATTCAAGGTTTAGTTTTATTCGAAAGAAAATGGATATAAAACGATGTGAACTTACTTCATTCATATATTCAAATACGGTTTTTCCAGCCACGTTGCTTGGTCCTGTAAGTTGAAAATGCGCAAGGATGGCACCGGGATTATTTTCAACTCCGTTAAGTAGGAATAGGATATTCTTTATTCTTTGTGGAAAAGTTGAATTAATCATTTGTAGATCCACGGTCTCTGGTATGATAATCCGTACATTTCGGGCGGTAAATGAAATTAACCAGTTAACCTAATTTTGTAGGAAGGCGTGATCGATCAGAAGTTACCTGATAAGGACACCGGACAGTTATAACGATCGTTTTGCATTATTTTTGGACACCTAGTGGGAAACCTAAGAAGTTGCTTTTCTCTTTAATTGCTGGACCAATTTCTTCAAAATTTTCAGTGGTTAAAGATGAATTTGTTTTCTAGAAAGCTATTACTTTTATTTGTTTCAAATATTCCTGATAGCACTGTGGCATTCGTTTTTTTTGACACGCAATGGATTTGTTTTTATGCTGGCACTCTTCTTTTTTGTTTATTTGATCACGTGCTCATCGAACGTCGGTGGTGTGTAACGAAATTCTTGCTCTGCTATGGCGAGCAGCGCCGTAGGTACCGGTAGCGTCAAAGTAAGCACTGCTTCGCTCTGATGGAGGTGTCCATATATTTGAGCATTGCTTTTTTGTTCTTCATTTACTGATATCTTTGTGAAGAAGACAAACATTCATAAACATAACCGATGAACGATGTGGAGTGCGTGATTGATTCCATGTTTTCAGTATATTATGTGTCTGGAGGATCATTACAATGAAAAAATGCACATACCATTAGATACTTTCCGAGTATTTGAGCATCGATTTGTTTCGAAAAAATATTCTATTCTGAAATCATCAGGTATTCTCATCCCTCGTCAGGACATATTAACTTCATAAAATGGAAAGATTTATATATACAGAAGGCGGTTGCTTGCGATACCTATGTCAGTAAATCAGCAACACTCGAAGACAGTGGTTCTCAAACTGGGATCAACGAAGGATTATCAGAGGGATTATCAATATCAAATGTATTTTTCCCCCATTGCATTCGCACGTTTTTCAGTAGTTTTTAAAAGAGGGCAAATACGAAATTTCAATTTTCAAAATTTCACGAATATTCATGAATATATCGCACAAAATTAAATAGTTGTCAGCATAACGCCACTGCAATTAAAATCATTATACCCTTCGTCTCCACTTACTTATGTGGACACGAGTTTTTTACACTTTTTCAAATCAAAACAAAAACATAGAACAAACTCGATGTGCAATATCACATGAGATAAATCAGTAAATAAGCTATTTGTTTTGCGTTCGTGAGAAGTGGCAGGTAATTTAAATGTTGTCCGACTAGCTCTTTGCTAGTCCGCGGTTACTTCAGAGGCACATAATGTTTAAGAACCATTGCCCCAAGATGTGTTAAAATATAAATGCCAAAACAAAAGAAAACAAAAAATATAAAGTTTCTCAAGCCCGAAATATTTAAAAACACAGGTATGTGTTTACTCGCACGTTGTTGTAATCATTTATAGACCAACATCAATTTTTATTAAAAATATAAATAGAAATTAAAAATATAAATACACTTGATTTACCAACGTAGAAAAGATGATGGCTATATTGCATGAACATAGAGTAATTGTCTGAAAACATTCGATGTAATGAGAAAATATTATGTTGTTTATGAACACTAAAAGAATTTTAAACTTCGCAATTATGTCAACAAAACGTGACTTACTAGGTATTTTTATTATTTTTGATAAAAAAACTTATTTTTGCCTTCTGACGACCCTCGGGAGGGAATAAATAGCAACTTATCGTGAATAATTTAACTATATATATCATGAAACAAGCTATTTTTATAATTAATTGACGAAATATTAGATTATGAGCTAATTATGCAATTGAACAATTTATTTTTGGGAACTACTATGCAGTAAAAATATACAGTTGATGTTCCATATATGTTTATTCTTCTTCTTGCTTTTTCGGGTATGATCAAATGTGTAAATAATTTGGTAGGAATAACACAAATTATCGGATTTGAAAGCAAGTTTTGAAGAATCTCCACCGGCCATACTCTGAAAACAACAACTTTCATGCGAAAAGCCAGTGAATATAAGTATTTCTAATTTAAGATGTTCTAACGAATTTGATACATGTACAAACACAGGAAAATGGTAATGAAAAGTCGAAAAATACGTAGGAAGTTACAAAAGGATAGAATGATAGAATTTACATAATTGTTACAACAGTGAACGTTTTGATTGACCAGTAAAAACGGCCAAATTACCCTTTTGAGAGTAATTACCCCCAGTTTGGAGGGCACCGACACAAGTCTTCTTCGTCATGTTAATGTGGTAATTAGGTATAAGCAATATTTGAGTCTTTCGAAGTCAAAACATACGTTGAAGTTGCGGAAAAATCTACTTTATCGTAAATTTTTAAACAACATTTTTAAGAACAACCTTGCTATTTTAATCTGGCAGTTAACTGACAAAAATAAAATAAATTTTGCCTCTGGGCTGTTTATGAAAAAAAACATACGTTAGAAATAGATTTCAAGTATTTAGACTATAATCAAATTTATTAACCATTAGGTCACTCACGATATTTCAGTTCGAAAAAATTGTAACAAATATAATGAAAGATTAAATGAGGAAATTGTAACAACAATATAGGCTGTGAAATTTGTATAAAGATGTCTCATGATGTATTTGAGTACATTTACTCAACAAGTTCGTTTGCCGAAGTCGAGTCACGCTAATATAAAAAAAGATAAGAAAGCCTGGTTGGCTCATGCATTTGTATGTTACCGAGCCCAAAATCAAATCCGGGATAAAAGATCAGAATTTATTATTGCTAACATTAATAAGGTATTCTGACTAAAAAATTGGTAAAACTACAAAATCAGTGAAGTTGTGTGATAAATTTCGGCCAATTCAAAATTGTGTTTATTTTAATGTAGATAACTTACGCTTATACATTAGTTTACGTGAACATTATTTAGGCAATACAGTAACGATGTTCAAGAGTTCGTTGTTGTCGGTGTTCGTCTGTTTGATTGTGGGAATTTCTGTTAAAGGTAAGTGGTAGGTTTTTGTATATATGATATAGTTTCGATGATTGAAGGAGTGTCGAATAATTCATTGGTTTTACTTGGTTATTTCGTATTAAAATGCCCGCAGAAACATGCAGATTTTCTTCATTCCTGGTTAATTTTCCGAGACCTAATGTAAGTTATTGATATTGAATTTACATAGCATGCGATGACAAGGACAGTAATTGTCCGACCTGGAAGACGTTTTGCGGAAGCAACGATTATGTGGACAAAAATTGCAAAAAAACTTGTGAAACCTGCCCAACAGGTGGCTGTGAGTATTGAATTGCAAAATAAAATTTTGGTTACTTTTTTGTTACTTTGTTTCCCTTTTATAACATTTTTTTAGTTCAGAAAAACCGGATTTGAATTATACTGAAAATATGTTAGTATTTCATTATAAAATTCCGACAGTTTTTGTGAAATAACCGTTAGCAATTCGTAAAACACCTTGGACCAGTGTTTTTAAACGCGCGAATGCTGATTTTCCGTGATTATGTAAGTTTCATTGAAGGTATTTTCTCATCAGTCAAAGCGACCTTGATTTGTTGCACAATTAGAATTAATTCCATCATTTTCAAATTGGTGTCCAATGGATTAATGTATTGGTACTTATTGAAATATTAGCAAGTGTTGAATAGTTAGCTCCCACAATATCATTTTTGCACAGTAATATAAAATTTCCTCAAATTACCCATCATTTATGTCGTCAATAATTAACCATAAATACGATAAATTTTGCAGTCTGTTTATCATTATAATGTTATATTATATACCATACTTTGAACAGTATCAAACATTGCATATACTGTACTGGAAATATGCCAAATGCTAAGAACTAATTTCTGTTCAAGATAAGAGAGTATGACACACTTCCGATAATTACACGATGTTCTAGATAATGTTTTGAATACACTATTATGAAATACTCGTAAAATCTCGAAATAAATATTCGGCATTGCCCGACGCAGTTGATGATATGTTAGCTGCCCTAAATTCAAACCAGCTATCTATATGGCAGCCATCGCGAACGGCACGAATGACGATTGGCCCTTTATATCCATTATCTCTCAACTAACCCCTATCACTTTTGCTTAGCATGTGTTGACAAAGACGATAAATGTCCCGCATGGAAATTGTTTTGCGGAAGTGGTAACGTTTACGTAGACACTAATTGTAAAAAGACATGCGATGCCTGTCCAACAACTGGAGGAGGTGGTGGGGAAGGCGGAGGGGGAGGAGGTGGAAGTAACAGTGAGTATTGTCACCTGAAAAATTAATAAAAATTTGTAAAAAGTTTTATGATACATTTGAATATTGAGTAATATTTATTTGCAAATTGATACAGTAAAATCTATTTCAATTTTCAACTTTTAAAAAGCTGTTGTGTGTTCTGCTTCGCTGCAAATATAAAAAAAAATTATAAATGTTTTGATGCAGCGTGGTCTGTATGCTCAAAAACATGCGGTATGGGAACGAGGTTTAAAGAGACGTGTCAAAGCGGCAGTTGTTCAAAAGAATGGGAAGCATGCGAGATACAAGACTGCCCAGAAGCATGTAAGTATCATCACAAATACGATTTATGGCTGATTCCGAAATATTTATTCATCAATTTTACGTTTTGACTCTAAACTTAATCTAATTGCTAATAGCTTGCTCCGGTTATAATGAAAGACAACGAAATGGAATGCCGCATGCCTGCTGCACCCAGGAAACATATCCACCTGGGTGTGGAGAACAATTCACCAACACACAAAGGGTGGTAGAGGGAGATCCTGCAATATTCAAAAAATATCCTTGGATTGTAATTATTATTATTTGTTGTTGTTTTCTGTATTATGCTTTTCTATTTCTATACTTTCCATTAGTCACTGGAGAAGAACTGAATGAATGTATATTTATGCCCTAAAATATTCATTGGCAAGAAATTTGAAGCGGTTCAAGTTAATTGACAACGGATAAGCAGTACATTGGTAGCGGAATCGATATAATTCCCTCCGCATAATTTTTCCTAATTAAATAATTCAACTATAGACATTCAGTGTTCTAGTATTCTTGCATACCCACTTATTGGACACAAAATGTACATATAGATCGTTTTGGTATATTTTTATTATTATGTTGTTGTTGTTCTTCTTCTTAATTTTAGAATTTTTCTTTCTATCGTTATGAAAAAATTTCTTTCCTTATTAATTACTGGACAAATTGATTTGCAATTTCCAGGGGTTAAAGATTGTATTTTGCGCTAGAAGGCTATTTTTTTTAATAATTTAAAAAATTTCTGTGGGCTCCATGGGACTCGTCTTTGTGTGCTATGACGTCATCAAATATGAGAACTTTGTGGCGTTTCTACGATTACGTTAGTCGTGAACACTGCTCGCCGCCGTCTACTGTGGCAGGGCTTTGTGAATATATTTAAGCATCGCTATCTTGTTCTTTTTAATATGCTGCAGATGTATGATAATGCTTCTGCTACAATTACTTATTGTCAATTCGTATTTCCTCATGTCTTCTTTTAATATATAATTATTATTTATTATATAAAGGTGGCAATCAATGCAACTGGAGCCTCCATTTCAAACGAACATTACTGCGCTGGAGCCTTAGTGTCTATGAAGCACGTTGTTACAGCAGCCCATTGTCTTGCGTGAGTATTTACTATAGATATATGTTGACATGCTTGTCGAGGGAGCAATTTCTTCTACGGTACGTAATGACGATGCCCAACTAGTGTGATTTATTTGGAACATTATTATAATTAATTTCAAGACCGACCTTTTACAATACCGGTACTGTCAAAAAATTTCCGACGTTCGCATAGCAAGAGAGTAACACGAGAAAGTTTGAAAAACCGCTACAAATAATTTTATTAATATTCAAGAGGTGAACACACAAAATTTCGAAGTGGAAACAAATCACATAGAGCCCACTAAAAGTTTTGATATAAGTAATCACCTTTTAGCAAAAAATACAATCTTCAAAAACTGAAAAATTTCAAAACCAAATGATTAGGTAGAAAAGCAATTTTTTTAAACGGTAACAACAAGAAGAAAAATACAAAGAAGAACAACAATATAATAACAAAACGATCCAAGGGTCAATTTCGTGTCTAATACATGCAAATGTACAGTGGCTATAAACGTCAGAATACGAATATAAGGTGGAAAACGCTGATATTATTATACAATAATATAACTTCACAGAAATCCGGAGACCGGAATAGCATATCCTTTAAATTCGTTTGTGCTGAGTTTTGGACTCCTACGACTAAATGATTCTCCAATGGCTACCAGAACGGTAAAGAAGGTTTATTTCAGGCCACTAACAACAAATAATAATAATGGCAAAGTATTCGACTATCCTCGTGATGATATAGCCGTTATAGAGGTAAGTAAATATCAGTTGCATAGTCTTCCATTTCAATTTGAAGCCAAATATAGTAAAAGGTAAACCCTGACACATATATATAACTGTTTGGGAAATCTATAGACAAGATAATGCTAAATTGAATATTGTGATATTACCTTCAAGCCGAAACTTTAATAATTTCCATCTTTCTAATTATATGTTTGATTTTCCAAATTGCCTCTGTAACCAATTTTTGTTGTTGTTTGTTTGTCGTTTGCTCTCCTGGTAATTTGTGAACATTTCTTCAAATATGCCTTTTCTGTAATATTTTTTCTCTATTTGTCTTCCTTTTATCTATTTTATTATATATATTTGCAAAGTTGCCTTTGCTTGGAAGTTTCTCAATAATTTATGAGTTATAGTCAATGTTTGCAACGAATGCAGTTTTTTACACTAAACCAGTAACAGCGCTATAGGTGTGGACATTTGAAGGCCTAACGAGGTCCCTCGCGACTCATTTCGCACAACTGACGTTATTAGTATATTTATTTTCTGTACTAATTTTTGTGCATTTGTTCTTGTGACAACAAAAAAAATGACAGACTGACAGGCCTGTGCTAGTAACATAGTCGTTTCAGGTTTCAAAACTTCATTTATTCTAAGCCACCATAATTTATTTCATAATTTAAATCATAATTTTTTTTATTTTTTCATACAGCTTTCGCAACCGCTGAGAACATCCTCCAATATTTATCCCATCTGTCTTCCGCATGGGGAAATCACTCCTAAAGATACAACAGGATTTGTTGCAGGCTGGGGAATAAGTAATATAATATGTCTATGATTGTGATACTTATTTGTTTTAACAATGTTAAAAACACCACCCATTTCATGGGAATTGATCGTTCGTGGTATCGCACAGACTTGGCAAATGTTGGTTGATTTGGGTCGGTATCTGGAATCATTAATTTCACGTCACCCACATGTAATGCTCCCTGCTGCTTCTTAATAAATCAAGTATATCGTTTCTCCTGCTTTATGCGTCGTATAAACTATTTTCAGATTCGGCGAATGGAATGCTCAGCCTAACTCATTTACAGGAAGCTGCTGTTCAAAATTTGGATGTTGACATTTGTCGTGCTGGTTATGCAAAATATAGCTCATCAATGCCTAATGAAGCCAGTTTTGCGAAAACCAGTAATGATATATTGTGTGCGGGAAGCATCCATAAAATAGTAAATACTTGTCGGGTAAGAATCCAACATAAATTTAGACGAAAACATAAAATATTGAATCAATATTGCCTGTCATAAATATTTTATCTTCAACAGTAACAATAATGTAACGTGAAAATCAGCACGGTTCGTCCTAATAGTTGTTATTCAATAGTTAATCAATAGTTCAATAGTTGTCCATCATTTTTATTTATTTTTCGAATATATATATAATTTTCAGGGTGACAGTGGCGGACCTTTGATGTTCCAAAGATGTCAAAACTGTGGTTGGTATTTGGCTGGAATTGTGTCATTTGGTCTTCCGGATTGCACAAAAAAAGTACCCGGCGCTTACACAAAAGTTCTGAACTACGAGGATTGGATAAGAGGAATTATTAAGGAACAACCTGATAGTTTTTATTGTTCTAGAAATGTCGGACCTTAAAATTTTATCTTAGCTTACATTCAATAATCTAGATATTATTTGAGGCTTCTTTGTAATAGTACTAATTATAATATTTTCATGATATCTCGGAATAAAGATCCCACATCACCAATAACTTTACTATGCGCATATATATATATACCTATACAATAGTTAGGAATTATGTAATACATCGAAAACAGCTACACATAGTCGATAGATGGTAATCCAATAGATTAAGGTCATAACATTACGACGGGATATTCACGACGGGATATTATTACGACGGGATATTCACGACAATTATGGTGAAATCTGAGTTTCAGAACAAAAAGTCTAATTTTGCCTGGGGCCAACATAATTATGTGGAACTATACACGTAGAAGCAATGTATGCAATGACATAGTATTATTTACTGCCTCTCGTCCTACCAGGCGACCAAACGGATCTGTTACGCATACAAATGGCCTACCAGTTTCAACGTAAATGTATGATAGAACGAAAAGAGTCAAGCAGCATGCTTTCACATAGTTGTTTGACACGAAATTAGACCTTCCTTTGAGATACTTCATGATGCGCCAAAACATATTGACATAAGCGTCCTTGCGTCCCACAAACCCTGAAGCATTTCGTGATCTTAATTTAAAAATCCTTCGAACAATTTTATCCAATATAATTTTTTTTTTTTGGACGTTAGATTAAGATATTTCGACTAAATTGCAAATATTTTTTTGCTTGCTATAAGTTTGTTCGAGTAGTGACAAATTAGATTATTGGTTTTGAAATTGGGGTAATCTGAAGACTCTCGACACCTATACGGCCTCCGGATATTAAATAAAAACTGCTAGTTTTGCTGATAACGGTTTACCATCATTTATTTAATTTGTCACGTTTCATAAAAAGTCAACAAACGAAAGTGAAAAATTAAAATGATTAACGTTAAAGAATTAAATAAATCTCAACAAATTTCTTCCAATTAATACATTCAGCACGAAGAGTGTTTTTGAACTCGCTCGTGGAGACCTCTCAAATCCAGCACTTTTTTTTAATTTTGTATTTATGAACGCCAGGTCAGAAAATTGAGCTTTGCAATGGTAGGTATTTCGAGAATGACATAGGCTTTCATGCTTTATAGTTGGTATAAATCAGAGCGAAACAAACAAAAACTAGATTTGTCAGTCCATTTTTAAATGCCAAATTTAATTGCATTTGAGAATTCAAACTCTGATAATTGCTTTGTTCCTTTGGCGTTCGGGCCAATTCCAGCGTTGAATGAAAAAATAAAACGTGCCATGAAACAACGCGTTCTCGTCGAAATACGATCGAAACTTAGCAGAGACAATTTCAATTTGATCTGCGATGCAAGTCTGTTCAAAGCTACCCAGCAAACCGAGAACAGCTCCCTGGACCCGAATGGGTGCCGAGGCGCTGTTTGTAGAACCACTTATTATATACTCCTAGTTGTTTACGATTCATATTTTATCATTGGGTATTTTCATTATTTTTATTGTATTCTTATCTTACAATGCATAAATATTTGTGAAATTTTGCAAGGAAGCGATGGACTCCCAGCCATGTATGTAGTTTGGCCTGAGATCAAATAGATAATAACATCATCTACTTCTCACTTGGGTCGATCACTCGAATTTTTTCTTTTACCTCATCTTCGTATTTGCACTTTGGATCAGGGTTGTTGGGTCGTTTTTAAAATATGTATAATTTGAGTTTGAGTAGTGCATAGAAAATTGCACTATTTTCTGTAATCAACAAAATTATCTGAGCAAACATCATCTCATTACTAAGAGCCTACTAAACAAAATCTTGGTAGCTGTAAAAGGCATCATATGAGTAATGAATTGTTATTTTCTAATTTGCAAAAATATGGAAAATAATCAACTCTCATATATCGGAGGTATAAATATATAGGAATGGGAATACGAATTTGCCTTTTGTTGCCGATTCGCCAAACCGTTTATGATTGCAAGAAGCAATTTTATCAATAAATATTATTCGAATATTCTTTCGATTGAAAATTGAGCTATAATAATTAACACATATACTATAGTATCTAAGGAATTGAATAAACAAGACCAACTATTGAGTTTACCAAAACATTGCATGGTATCGGAAATATTTTCTCATCAGTCTATGTCAAAAAATAAAGTTCATATATTTTTCCAACGACCATCCTTAGAACGTCAGTGATTCTGTGATAGAAATGAAAATGATAAAAATGTATTAATAAACAAAAAACAACGTCAATATATCAATATATTCACAAGAAAATGGCTGCTTAACATTTTATGTCAATATTCTACCATATAATACCTATATTCAACTTTTAAGTTATCAAAAGTATTGCATTTTTGTCAAACAATATAAAAAGAGTATAGGAGCAACATGGCATCCCTTTTGGATTTCCCATATAATACATACAATTGTTACAATATTCAAATTCTTCATTTTATGATATTTATGATGTGCATTTTATGATATTCACGTCATTGGTTTTGTGAAATTTGCATTTGAAAACAATATTAATTTCTTGTACGACAAGAAACAAGTTATACCACAATAGGATGGTTCAACGTACGTTAATATATAGCTGTCTGAATCCCAGGAAGAAGAAAAAAAAACAATTTCACATTCGACGTCATTCGCATAAATATCGTCAAAAAGGATCTGAGTTAAAACTCAAGTTTCATACTTGAACTATAGCTTATAAATCCTCCCGTTGTATTCATAACTTTGAAACGAATTAAAAATGACATTCCACAATTTTATTAGTTTCTTTAACTTTTTTTAAATAGTAAAATTATTTTTCTGCTGAAGTTAAATCATCAGGTTAGTTTCATAACGCTACTTCAGTTCTATTTTTATACTTTCGATCGCATCAAGTATGATATTATTTACTCATAAGCGAAATGTCGAATGATTTTAATTAAAATGGACTAATTATAACATTCATTATCAAATTTTACATATGACTAATACTGATAGAAAATAACAATCTGACAATTATAATCTAGTAAATAGAAACATGTATTGTCCTGACTGATTAGATGAAGAACATCTAAATATGACCGCTTGCTGATTCATGCGAAACTTTTAAAAAACACATAACTTTATCATTTTTTTATTATAATTGATTACCTTCCGGGAGATGTTTTCAGCGCACAAAAGCATAACAACAACTCATGAAATTTTGTAATAATCCTGAAATATTTCATATTAATAAGTTTATGATTAGACAGAAAAGTGTAATATGGCCTTGAGGCCTTTTTTAGCAAGTACGCAAACCGTTATTTTCCCGAAATTTGTATGCTGTCACTAATAAAGTCACGACAAATATATAGTTATTTGTGCCATAAAATTGAACCACTAAGCTGAAACCGGTTACTAAAAATATTTTTTTGTCCTAAAACATAAAATTTAACAATATTTTAGTGCAGTGTTCGTTTTTTTCGTCAGTATCAAATCATTATTGAAAATGTTGACTGTATTTATCCATGGAACTAATTTTTTGATCATTAAAATAAAGAATACGTCACAGATTTTGCAATTTCTAAAATTTAAGATGCACACGTCGATTTAAAGTGCTCGTGCAGTTTAGCACGTCAGAAATAGCCCTCTTTAGTCGATTCTTCGAAACGTTTTCCGTATTAGATAACACAGGAAAAGCATATAAAATCTTTAATCGTAATTCTGCATGTTTTGTCGCCACGGGCATAAATTTCGAGTTCTTTTTGTTTAAAAACGACACCGCAGTTGAAGAAGATTAACACTCATATTATGCGGACATGTGACGACTTGTTACAGAGAGCGGACAGTTTTCAGAAAGATGTTCCAATGCTCAAAGGATACATCCGTGACATATAATTTAGGTTTAAATTTTTGCAAAGGGGCCATAAATGTACAATGGCAATGCAGTAAAGAATTACAGTGAGACTATATCCATTCTGATCAAATAAATTTTACATAAAGACATATAATTCGAGGCGGTATATTTGTAAGCAATGTTGAGTTCACATTATCAAAGCACCAGTTATAGTTATATTATTATATTTAAAATGATATTTACATATATGTTGGGAAGTTTGGGTATTTGTAAATGCTTATGTAAATTCGAGACGCAAGAGGTTAACTCCAAATAAACTGCCAATATGCAACTTTTATGATTATTTTAGAATATGACAAAAATACGTATAAATACTAAACTCGTTTTTAAATTAGTATTCTGCATTTTTACCACACTTAACTAGGTACATAGTGCACTGCTTGAGTCCACTGTTTTACGAGTTGATGAAAATATAGACAAAATACCTTGCTGCTCACGATCAAGAAGAATATAGTCTCTTTCACCTTGTCGCCCACAATTACCGCCAATTATATTCAGCTATAGTTAGCAGATTCAATAAATTAAAGAACAATCTCATAATTCACAGTGGTCGGTATTGAAAGAGGTACAATAAAATATTTTTAGCAGATTGTAGGATGTTAACAAATGTTCATCATTAAATTGCATTTTCATGTTTTTGCAGACAATAATAACGTACAAAAATGGTAATTAAGTTGGCGGTGGTTGCCGTCTGTCTGTTTGCTGGAGTTTGCGCTCAAAGTAAGTAATAATTTCACGTTTGGTGATATATTATATGTCAGCTATATCACTGACTAAATCACAGATTAATATCTGATGCATCAGTTTCAAATATCTGTAAATTGACACGGATTGAAATTTTGTTAACGCATACGGCAACGTAGAATAAAGAACGTGAGAAATAGATATATGAATGAAAGTATATCCTGAAATACAGGATTAAAGCGTTTGTCTCGATAAATATGTAATTCGTTGACAATTGTAAGGTTTGTGTTATAACTGACAAAAAAAAAGTTGAATATGTAAAATTTTATATAGTGAATGCGAAATATTATCCTTATCTGCATCACATTATCACAAATTTTATTCTGTAATTTTCGTTCGAACAAAGTAAGACTTCCTCAGACTAGCATCTTACAAATAACTTTTCATTGAACTAAACTGCTTGTCCGGCTTTGTTAAAGTCCGCTTTGAAGTTTTGTTAACGTCCCCAAAACAATCGTTCAACGTTCTTTTGTGTCCATAATTTACGCATTCTTGGCATGTAAGTCTTTTCCCGATGGTTTCTAATAATCTATTCCAGTGGTTGAATCTTGTTGCAATCTTTTTAAATCTGTTTTGACAATTGCCACAACAAAACTAAAGCCAATTTTCAATGATTTAGATAGAAAATAGTTGAAAGAATTTATCGAGATTGTAATTAAATTTAGGTTTGGTACGAGGCTTATTGTTTTCAGCTTTTGCTTTTGTAAAATTGTACATAAAATTCTGTTCATCAAATGTAACCTTTTACGTCACACTTACATTGCCCGCCAGTTTAGGTAGGAAATTTATTTGGCCCCTGGTTTAAAAACCTTGTCCACTTCTGCAGTGACACACAGGCAGAGAACGGAGCTGTAGTACAAAACACGACATTCTATTCAACCATGCAGGCCTACCAAATTATACTCCACCATCGTTTGATTTTAGGTGTATATACACCGTGCACTGGAATATATAAAATCTATTATGGTAATTTTTGCAACAGATTTTGAAATGAATTTTTGTAAACTGTCACCACAAGTTTATTTCATACAGCTTGCGTGGATCAGGACAACAGATGTTCAGAATGGAAGAGATGGTGTGGTATAAACAATTACGTTGATGAAAATTGCAAAGAAACCTGTGACGATTGTCCAACAGGTGGCGGGGGAGGTGGAGGTGGAGGAGGAGGCGGGAGTGAAAGTGAGTGGCATGAATGTAGTGTGATTGACTTAACGTTTAAACGCGTTTGTGTCTGAATACTGATACAATTTCAAATTCGCGTACTACATAAGTTATGAACTACATAGGGTCTTTTGTAGAAAGTCCCCGCCACTAATTAAAAAAAATGAGACTAAAAAAAACATCCACGCGACGTTTTAAAGCAAAAATTAGTAATTATCCATTCCTGATTAGGAATGATTTAACTTTGAACCTCCAGATGATTTAAATTCGAATCTCCAGCGCAATCTATATTTCTCACCCAAACTCCAGCTGGTGTTTTTTTCGGCAGTGGGTTTTTTACAAGAAATCCACTACTTATTGATTGAAACACCTAACCCCTAAGTTTTATGTCAAATATATTCATTCACAGTTGCTGCTGATAGATACATATTTAAAAGGTTTATTCCGGGGAGTTGCCCTTCCTATAGTTGTCCTTATATATGTGTCGATTATGAGAATAGGTAATATACCAGTTTTAGTTGCGGTAAAAAGTGCGATCGAACGCATATTTTTAAGGCTCGGTATGTTATAGCAACTGCGACAAACCGATAAATTATGAGACGTTGTTGGTAGGCATTCTACCAGAAAAAGAAAAAGACTGCCAAAATTAAAAATTGTAAAGAAAGACGATGAATTCGTGAAATAGAGATTTACGAAGAAGCGCTCAGAGAAATCAATTGTTTCATTGGTATCCCTACTCCATTGTGTGTGTTTGGTTGAAGCAATCAGATATTTTATGATTTTGGTGATAGTATTGAATACTAAAAATTTATCGTATCAATTCAAAGTCAATATTTACTACATTTTTAAATACAAATATAACGACTTTCTGTACCGGGATATTTATGTGATATAGTTTTAGACAGTTGCCATTACGTTTATTTAGATTTTAGAAGTATCAAAATTGTCATTTTATCAATACAGCCTGCGTTGATAAAAATAGTGGATGTCCGAACTGGGAGTCTTATTGCGGTAACCACAATTTTGTGGATGAAAACTGTAAAAAAACGTGTGGTACTTGCTCAACGGGAGGAGGTGGAGGAAGCGGGGGAGGCGGAGGGGGCGGAGGTGAAAGTGAGTACTCCTAAATTCACGTTCAAGAATATAGTATAGAATATTAAGAAAAAGATCCGAAAGATGTAGTCAGATACGAGACAAAAATCAAAGTCTCGAGAATAGTAGAGGTAAATATCATCTTCATTTAGTCGAGGGGATCAGAGAATTAATATTATTGGATTTATCTGATTTTTCTGAGCGGAGTCGAATTTAGTTCAGTCTAGTCGAGTAAATGGCTAGATTCATGGGGTGTTTTCGAAAAAGTTTTCATTATTGGATTGTGCAAATTTTGTAACAATAGAATCGTTTTGCTTTCTTCGGTGCGACGCGTTTCTTAAAAGATCACAAGATTGGTAAGAAATAGACATCTGGATTTGCATTGGTCATGTCTGTCTATCTTGACGATATTGTGATACAAAGATATGTATCATATCAATGTTTATTTTACATTTATTGATGCTCATGAACCCTTGTATCAATAAGTTTGTATTTATTAACAGCATGCAAAGACGACAACGCAGGTTGTCCAGGATGGTTGTCTTATTGTTCTTGGCATGAGTACGTAATAAAGAACTGCAAAAAAACATGCAAAATCTGTCAAACTGGAGGTGGCGGTGGAGGAGGAGGAGGTGGTTCGTCCTGTAAGAATATTCTATATTGTTATTGAAGTAATTAAATTATTCAGGAAAGACTCGTATCATATTCTTTGTATTCAAATATCGGCATTTTTTTAAACTGGATACCGTACATTTATAAAATTTATTATAAATATATATGTCTGTTGACTTAAATTAAACGGAAACAACAATAACATTTTATGATAAATCCTCTGATCTGATCACAAGAAAATAACTTCATTTTTGTTCATATTACAGCTTGGTCTGCTTGTTCAAAGTCATGCGCAGAAGGCACGAGATACAGAACTCTGAGCAATGGTACCAAACAGTGGGAAGCTTGCAATATAGAGAAGTGTAATAAAGTAGCAAGTAAGATGCTTTATTTATTGTTCGTTATACTACTGTGGGTTTATAGTCACAAGTAAGAACAATTTTTCTATCAACTTTTAGGCTTTCTGGAGCTCATTAACAAAGATTTTAAATATATGGGCTTCTATTGGGGATCACATTCTACATAGATTGTTGACACTTCAGCATGTAGTTTTAATCACGAATTTGATATTTGAGGATTTGGATGGCGCTATAGTTAGGCAGCGTGTCTTTGACTGTATCGCGAAACCTGGCATTATTTAATTTGAAAAAGAAAAATTAATGCAAACAAGAAATCCAATATATGGAGACCATGGTCCAATGACGTACTAACAAAGTAATCTATGCTACTCACACATAGACATTTTATCGGATCATTCTTATGATAAAAATACAAATTAGGATGGATCACGGCAGAGATATCGTTTGTCCAGAAGATGTCGGTTTTCTCCATTTTTAAATACTGAAAGTTTAAAAATGAATACTTCATTAGTTGTGAAGTGAAGCGGTGTTTACCTAATAGCGAGAATACATTAGCAAAACGGTTCCATTTTTGCCCAGTAGTTGGATTCTATTTTTTTTTACTTTTGAATGGACTACCAACGTGGACCAAAAAATAAGCAATAGAACCATTATTGACGATTCGGTCTAGATTTAAGACTGTTCATTTGTACCACATATATGATATCAAAATGTATTCAAAAACTCATGTATTCAGAACAATTACCATATTCAGTATAACACAACTGAAATCTGCAAACCAATCAGGGACCTGAATATAACCTAGAAGAGTACATATATATGAATGGAATATTTTATTAGACTTACTCAATCGTCTCAATTATATTTGATCATAGCTTGTGGATCTAACCAAAAACAAAGAAAGGGTATTCCTCATGCTTGTTGTAATGACAACGTAATTTCAACATGCGGTAAAGTTAACATTGTTCAACGTATTTTTGGTGGCGACGACGCAATTCGAAAAGCATGGCCATGGATGGTAAGCTTAAAATTTAATTACATTCCGAAATGGTGATGCTTGAAAAAATTACTTTGCATATTTTCAGGATCTTCGCTATGCCACTTAGTATTGTAATATATATATATTTAATGCTTAATTTGATATAACTGGATGTGCAAACTGGTTATATATTCAAAATCACCATTCTTCCAAAAATGTGCAAGCCGCTGTAATGCCGTGGTACTGGCAACTAAATTGAAAAGCGTTATCCCTATTTTTGGGGGCATATCCGATTATTGTAACTAAACTGAAACTCTACCGAACAAAATAGTTACTGGGTTATTTGACTTATACTTGGAAAAGCAAAAATTTCAAATACATAACAAAAAACTAATAAATAACACTCAAAACTCCTAAAAAGAGTGTTACAATTACAGTAACTGTTACAATCATGCTTGAAAATCTGTCTGAATGGAAATGTGTCTAAGACTCTAAGCGACTGCTTATATTTCAATTGTTACATAACTGGCTTTTTGCTGATGAGCACAGAAACAAATAGTTATGATATAAGAGACAATGTACTGTTTAGTGTGATGCAACTCAATTTGATTGAGACTGTTTTCAATATTGACATAAGATGCATTCAATATTTATACTCATTTAAAAATTTCAGATACAACATTGTAAGCACTTGTAATTTTTTGGAAATTCGCTGTCCCATTTCGTTTGATTTTAAATGCTCATTATGTTTTTTGAACTAAACGACTACTTTTACACTCAGGTTGCTATAAATTCGACTATTAGCAACAGACTGTTTTGTGCAGGAGTCCTTGTTTCTGATAGATACGTCATTACAGCTGCTCATTGCATGGCGTAAGTAGTTTCATGATAATTTTTCATACTACTCATGATATATGTTTTTATATTTCTACATTCAATAGTCAACAATGCATTCATTGTAGCATTTAAATTAGCCTAAATAGGTATTGTTTTTCATAGATATTTCTTTTACGAATTGTGAAGTGGTTGTTTATACAAAATATTGTCGCCCTGAAGTTATACCTATCAGGGAAGTATTTTTACTTTGTTTTGCAACCATGTCAAATATAATCATGTCAAAGTTAAATAAGTGATTCTCAATTTTTTCTTCCTATGTGCCGCGATGTCACAGTACTGACCACATTCTACTGACGAAATCTCTTCAAGGCCTTTCTATAAATACACAAACCGATTCCAGCGTCAAATTCATAACACGTTATATTAAAATACATCATTCTAGTTAGTAGGTCGAAATAATACATACAATTTTATTGACGTCATTAAGGTATTAACGCAAATGTATTTATCTGCGTTGATGCTCACCGCAGTTTTTGAACGTCGTTAAAAATTTAATACGACCTAACAAAGCGAAAACATTTACAAAGTGAGGAAAATACTTTGACATGAAGGTGGTTTTGCTGGTTATATATATAAGTACTCGTAACCAGTGAATCTGACCTATTTATTGATTGCTGTTTAGTGTTTTAACACTCGATTACTTGAAGTCGTGCAGCGTTTACACAATGATTTAATTATTAGGAATAATTCTAAACTACAATTGCTAGTAAAATATCAGCTACCAAACAAATTATTACCTTTTTGACACATTTCATATTCTTATTCTTGGACGTATCAGTAAACACAGTTGACAGAAAGATAAATCCTTCATGCCCTATTATCACTGCAAAAGTATCATGTTGAAAACTTTAAACAAATTATCTCTTTTGACCTTCTCGAATTTTTACACGACTATCTCACCAAGCACATAATGTTCTATGACATTAGGGTGGGAAATTAGTCAGCAACCACAAAATTGTCTGTCTGGAGTCTGGACATGATCTAACAAGATATTGGTCAATCTTTTAACAGAGACGTTAGTACAGGCGAAGAACTTACGACTGATGATGTTCGATTAAATTTCGGAATCCTGCGACTGACTGATTTAGCGACCGCAAGAAATACTGGGCGTGTAGATAAGGTGTTTTATCCAAAATTGAACCAAAACAGCGCGAACTCTAAGAAAGTCTTTAATTACCCAGAAAACGATATTGCAATAATACGGGTACGTATTAATTTGACGTATAATTGAACCTTTTTGACTTGAAATTAAAGTAATTAATAAGAATGTTTTCGAATATTCAATATAGACAAAAGCTAGAGTTCGACTGTCATCAGCCATACATCCCATATGTTTACCTGGTGGCGAAATCACTCCTAAAGACACAACTTGCTACATTGCTGGATGGGGAATAAGTGAGTACGACCGCATTGTTGACTACCATCATCTAGTATTAATATTTATCAAACCATGACTTAAAATTTATCACCTCGTGATTACCTATAGGTATATGAATTCTTATTAGCGATTTTGAATTGTGAGAACGGATGCCAATTAACGCTGAACAAGTGAGGATGAATCATTTGCCCCCTATCCTGGTTTTGCTGAGATATCAGTCAGATTGCTAATCAAGAACATAAACATATATCTGATACAGTAAAAAAAAAATTGGTTTACTTGAACTCTCTTTTTCTACACCCCATATCCACAGAACCACTCAAGCTCTTTTTTTAAATGTATTCAGCATCTAACGCCAATACCGCCACGGAAGTGACACATTTACAAGAAGTTGCCGTTCAAAATATGGATCTTGACATTTGTCGTGTGGAGATGGCAAAGTATAAAAACGAGATTCCAGAAGAAGAAGCATACGTACAATCCAGTAACAAGTTACTCTGCGCAGGAAGCCTTCACAAGGGTGCCAATAGCTGTCGGGTAAAATATATTCCTGCCAATCAGTATCTTTAGGGTAACAAAAGATTTTTTTGCGATCCTTGTTGCAGTTGAAACTAAAAATAAATTCTTCAAGATATTTCAAATTATATATTCACGATTTTATCGGTTGAAATCTTTTTGATAGCACAATGATAAACATTTTTAGCAATAGGTCCCGCAGATAAACAATCTATATGGCAAAAAGTAATTTGCTTTGTTTCATTTTTATTTCATTTTTTGATTTTCAGGGAGACAGCGGCGGGGCTATGATGTGTCAAAGATGCGCAAACTGTAATTGGTATTTAGCTGGCATTGTATCGATTGGGGTAGTTGACTGTACCATACCAATACCCGCAGCATACACCAAAGTTGTAGATTTTGAAGCCTGGATACGTAGCGTCACTAGCATAAGTAGGGAATATTATTCATGTTCTAGACAAGTTGGACCTTAGATATGCTCCGGAAATATGATATTGCATAAGGTTGTGATAAACCAGTTAATAAAAGAACTTGTATATACTGTATATTGGATTTTTTTCTGACGTGTGTTAAGGGAATTTCAGGTTAGTGCAACAAAGTTCATGACACATAACATTTATGAATTAAATAAGATTCAAATGGGTTTCAACACTTTTGTATGGGCGGACCAAGCTATACATGCTCTATTTTGTCATGGAAACGATGAGAACAAAAAAGCGAGACGTGTAGATGATGTCCAAATATATATAAAAAATACAAAATGCAAATGCGCAAACAGCCAACAGAGTTGGGGGACCTCCACTATAAAAGAGAAGAGAAAAAGTCAAGATGGAAAGTAAAGCGGATAGGGGGGCTGTCATTGCATTATGAATGTTGGATTACTAGTCTGAAATATTCCTCTATCACAATTCATTACTTACTAATTTCCATTGAGTTTTTTTTCATCTGAGTAATCGTCGATTAGTCTGCAAATACTTGTTACCTTTAGCTAAATTTTATTATGTTAAAAAAGAAATTGGACTGATTATATATACTAATCATTTGATAAAGTCAAGTTTAAATCTCGGATTTTGTTCTTGTGTCGCCAACTTTTTATTACGACTTAGGCCAACAAACCAGGCTAAGATCTTACCGTGCCAATGAATGCAATCAATGTAAATTCCCTCTGTTTATTAGGCTTAATTTATGATGCGCTAAAAGGAATATTAAAACAAAGTACAATTTCAATAATTCAATTGAGCTGAGTGTTGTCGAAGTCTCGTAAACGCGCAATATATTTATATACCTTCTTGGAGTTATATATTTCAATTTAAAACTGGTGGTCCTCAGACAACTGAATAAATTCTATTTGCAGTCAATAAGATATAGCCGCAATAAATAAAGATATTGTTTTCTAATATATATGTATGTATATATCTTGGAAAGGTAACCTTCCCACTTCAACACATTAAATTATAATTTTAATTGACAATTTATCCAGAGACGTTTGATATATTGAAATCATATCATCTGTCACAAATATTGATACGAACTGAAGGTGCCGTCAATTGATATCCATAATATCCATGTAGTGGCGCATATCAGCCAGAAAAATTTAAAGTAAAATTCCGGCAAACAAAGTGGCGCTGAGTAATCCAAAAAATATTAGAGAATTATATAGCATTGCCGGTAACACAGCATTAATGACAGAATATTTTATAACAATAACAATAGCATAAAAACAGCAAGTAGTAAACGAACAGACTAATGACATAACAAGATAGCTAAGCTCAAATATGTAGACATGGAAGGCAAAACGGAATGTTTTATCACCAATTCTTCGAAAATCATATACGGTAACTTACCAGTACCTTTATCGGGGTACCGTGAAGGTACATGGACTGTTGGAGCTTTTCCAGGTCCCGTGACGATGATCCATTCTCCTTGATTCAGTTTGAAGATTAATGGAAACACCAACTGATCCGAGTGACGTATTTATTACCAGATTTGGCACCACAGTCTAAACCAGAGCTTCCCAAACTAGAGGCCGCGGCCCCTTCCAGGGCGAAGCGAATTTTAGGGGCCGCAAAGAGAGCACCAATTTTACACAAAGTACTATATCTATTGTACTTTTCCAGACTCTTGATTCGAAATACAATTATTAAAAATATTGTGAAACAAAAATTTCACGATTCCTAATGAACACCACCTCATCATACTGTGTAAATAAGACTATGTCTTCAATTTTATTTCGAAAATAACACTAGGGCTTATTTTGGGGGGATGTTGAGAATTACGATATTTTTTATTATGCCAAATAGGAATAACGATTTCCATTAATTATAAATAGCACGTCTTCATTTGAAATATTTGCTACATATAGATTATTAACCATTTAAAAAGTAGAAAGAGTAGAAATTTTCTGAGTAGGAATTTCTTGCTATCGACTAGGACTCAGTGGTTCTCGAACTTCATTGTATTGTGACGCCCTCCAAAATTATGCTCAAGTTACGACTACCCGTGAAAATACGTATTGATACCTTTCAATAAAAGACTTTTTTTGCAATGAGTTTCATATAAAGGAACAAACAAAACATAACGACAGTCAGTGAAATCATATTTAATGGGCGTTGGTGGAAAAGTCTGCTTTATATAAAAACGAAATCGCAGAAGCGGTAGGAGCCCGCAACGCTTTTTGAACCAAGAAAAATAATCTTTATCTACAGAAAACCGAATTTTCAGAATGAAACTTTTTTTATTGTAACACCATCATACGTAAGATCGATATAATCTTCCCTTTTTTCTGTAAAAGTGGAAAATATGGGTTGTTTGAAAGGTTTTGAGAAAAAGAAGAAATTTTGAAAGAAATTTTGCGACGTCCTAGCAAAATTAAAACGACGCCCTTCCACGGGATTAGGTCAAAAAAAAAATTGCGCTATCGACTAAATCTTTTTTAAAGGGGAGCGCTTATATTAAAACAATTTCTATAATTCAGGCTTGGTTTTATTTTTGGGGAAACACAGTAGAATCACCGCGCTTGCATAACAATGCATATTCTGATCGTAAGACCCGATTTGCGTGTGCTTGCATAACAATGTCGGCTTTAATATTCGTTAAGCTAGCGGTTCCCGAAGGCGATTTGCTAAGTGCGCCTCGAAATATTTTATTTATTCTAAATGTTTTATTGTTTCTCATTGTTGCAAATGATGTGTATACGAATCAATTTCATTTTACTGTTCTATGTTGTGTACGCTCTGTAACGTCGGGTATCCTACATGCTGCAATTTCGTAGACTGCAGTTTATTCATTTGCTGAACATGAGTGATTTTTTAGCATTTTGAAGAAAAACCAGGCAGAGATAAGATAAGTACATATTAACGATGACAAAATTGTGTTTTATTATCAGCTATCGGGCATCATATTTTTCGTGTAGGTGCGCCATGAGTTTTTTCCATGATAATTTGGCGCCACACAAACCGATGTCTTATGCTAAGTTTGATCAATAAGAGTGAACAATTCCGGAAAAGGACCATGCCGTCGGTGGCAAGACATCGTAATTCGTCATTTATGCCTGCATAAACAAACATTGAGCCAAGGCTGGACTTGCTATGCAGCAAAAAGTATTCGCACCCATTACACTGAATAATTGAGTAACGTTAATCTGAATAAATATGTGCTTGTTTTTGTAATTGAGTAGGCCTACTAAAAGTTGAGAAATAGCTGTGTCAATAAAACATCAAAAATGCATATTTCGAACTGTTCAGCATTATCAGCGCGAACAAGGGCCGCGGAAAATTTTAATATATTAAAAGGGGCCGCGAGCTTAAAAGTTTCGGAAGACCTGGTCTATACCGTTCCCCACAAAAACTTTTCACCCACATTCGCAAAGCACAAGATGCGACGGCGTTCGTTGAGCACGAGATCCGCTGCTATGCGTTCGCGAAACTGCTACGAGGTGCGCACATTTTTGTGATGGCATTGCTCACAAAATACGAATGCCATGGCACTCACAGAAATATTTGAAATAAATAAAAGTAATAGCCTTCTAGCAAAAAATACAATCTTCAACCACTGAAACTTTCAAAGTAATTGATCCTGTAAAATAAAGTGAAAGTCGATTTTTTTCATAACGATAGGAAGAAAAACAACAACAACAACAACAACAACAACAACAACAACAACAACAACATAATAACAAAACGATTCATAGGTCCACTCCGTGTCCAATAACTTACAAATAAGAGCAGAAGTTGAAAAGAATTGGAGTCGTAAAGTATTGGACAAATTAAACGCGGCATTGAGTGTCGGTAACCAAAGTCACTGACTTCTGAAACTCCATTGGTTATGGCATTTGCTATATGAAGTCGTAAAATGGACCTGCGTTGATTTGTAGATGATAATATCGGCTGTCTCATTTATTCAGCAAACGAGAAAACTATATATATATATATATATAGAATAAGGAAAGGTCAAGGTTTGTTTCGAGATAACAACGACCGATGTCTAATGTGAAAATATTCAACATTTGCTGCCCGAAGCAATAGCTTTATATAAAAAAATTTGAAACAAGGCAATGCACAGTACCAACATCGGAATTCCTACAAATAATTTGTTCCATGTGACATATCGTCACGCTAATAACCGAATTGCGTAAGTCATTTTTGGCGATTTTTAGTTTTTTTTTCTATTAAATAGGTATTGCTGCGAACCTGTACTCAGACTTTATTTTAAGAATTTCGAAACCCATAAAAATGGAGATTTAGTATGACATGCACATTTGTGTAATTGTTTCGTCATAATGAATTATCATTGTTATAGCAAGACTATTGTGACGTCACAAAGGCAAAATAACCTCGACGAAGTATTTTCGAGTTTTTGCATCTCGGAATCTAGCTTAGCGCGTATTAATTTGAATTTATACTATAGTATAGGAAGGCGTGCACTTGTGATAATCACTATCCGAGTCCAATACACATTGGTTGGCATTTATATTGGGTGCATTGCTGTTTTATTCTTTATATTTAATCTTAGTCTTATCTCGGTGGGTGTGCAGAACATGTTATATTGATGAAATATATTTTTTTGAACGTAAAAAATAAGGTAATTGAAACTGATTAGCTATTTTGGGGATTAGACATTGTAGATACTGAGAATTACATTCGTTTTTGGAATGTTTAGTTTTCAGGACTGGTGCATATAGTAAAGTTGCAAAATTGCGTATGTCCCCAAGTCATAGACACATTTCTGCCTGAGTCACAGTGCGCCATTATGGCGTCACTTAACTGCGTCATACAGATTAACTTAAATCCGGCTACGATCAAAAAATTGAACCATGGCAAATTATTGACTCTCAATGGCATAACAATATCATTAGGAAGTTTTTTAGGTTTTTCTCAAAACTGCTAAAAATGACTTACGCAATTTGGTTATTAGCGTGACGATATGCAAAAATATGTGGAAGCATATTAAATTGAAGTATAAGGGTCAAATCTAAATTTGCTCCATAAATTGGTATGAAATTCAGCATTAAGCAAAATATATATAAAGTTAGGAGTCATTTCCAATAATTGCCGCCTTGATTTGACTCGTGATAAGATATTCAAATTTTAATGAAATTGAATTGAGCAAGAATAAGGATATATCTTTAGTCATTTCGGTCGATAGGGCAACATTTCACATTCAAGATATCATTTTCAAAAAATGCCGAAAACTTTGATTCAGTTTGTCGTTACGTTGTTGATTTAACGAATGATTGTGATTGTCACAATAAATATAGCAGTAATACTTAGATTCCAAAATAGATATTAGATGCATGACTTATTGATCAAAATCACACCCGGAGGGCCATGTAATCATGTGATGAAGTAAATTAAAAATCTTTGTGTACAATGCAATTTGTCAAATTGAAAAGGAAGCAAAGGTAAGCAATGTCACTATATAAGATTTATTTTGCATAGGATTTTCTAGTTAATGTTCGGAAGATCAGCAAAGACCTTTTTTAAAAGCATGAACTTTGAAACCGTTTATATAGTCATCGATCTGTAAATCTATGATTTTGTTACTTCATATATTCTGGTAGAAGCACAGATCTTGAAGTAGATTAAACTATCACACATTCAATCATACACTGTAGCTTATAATTCAATGCCTTGACCTCGGAAACATTTGCTCATTACTCACAAATCTACATTCCGATTAAAATTCACCCGCGGCAATGGTTTTATGCTATAGAGAAAATACCTTGAAAGTATTAAATCTTAATATTTTAACATAAAATATTCTGTGTGTTGCTTTGATAATGATATGCCCTGGTTTATAGTTGAACAGAAAACTCAAGTACTTCTTGGTATGAAGAATTAGTTAGTAGGTTGACCTGCTACCATTACGAGGCAAAATATCTTTAGTTTACAAGCAAGACTGATTTAGATTTGAAGTAAAATCTAGATAAACTTAGAAGGGAATTTAACGTACTCGACTTGACATTTCAGAAAAATATATATTTTGCATTAAAATATAATAAGCTGGAAATATGGCGTCAGCAAGCAAACGGAATATGAAAGTCTTACTGCAATTTTTCGCCATCATATGTTCTCAAGTTACAGTTCAAAGTTGGTATTTTACCATGTAATCAATTTACTATTCAATTTTGATAAACCGATCATTGAATTGGAGGATTAATTGCTGGTAGAGCTCATCCCAATTGTTTGTATAGAAAGTTATACACTTGATACCAATTTCATTTAAAACTAGAAATAACAGCACGGGTATAATCATATAAAGAGAATGGTAGATTTCTATTTATTACCAAACCTTGTTTTAACTGCCATTGAAGACTAAAATCTTGTCAGACGTCCAAGCCCTATAGTTTCAATCTAATTCGAGTTCCTCGTTGTTGCTTTTTTAAGATCGGGGCATCGTTGAAACCTATTAAACTCAAAAATGTGATGGATATCTTCTCCTTTTAATCGTATCAATACAACCCAAATACAAGATTTATCAAAAACAATGGAATCAATTGGAATAGCAGAAATATATACTATGCAAATAATTCAACTTGTGGTTCTGTGTATATCACATTGAACCTCCTAAAATTGAGATGCAATACTTTTAAATTCATGACTAGGTATCGGACATTAAACGCTGTTTCCCAATGACCACCGCACTAGAAATTAGTTACATAGTGATTTGCAGTGGCGGCGCGTGGTCATTTTGACAACCGGGGCAAGCTACTGCGGGACCAAGTCACCCCCATCTACGGGGACAGGATGAGCGCTGTAAGTTCTCCCATCATTTTATGAGTATGAAAACCATTCCATCGGTAACAACCAATCGGCAAAAGCGACAATTTTTAACGATAAGAAAGTGTCTTTAAAACCGGTCCAAGTCAAGGGATTAATAAATATAGACATAGTTTATTTTGAAACCTCTTTCAAAAGGAAAGGCAATATTTACCCAGATAAATACAATGACATATTAACAGAAACGTCGGGAAAGCAGAGAAAACCTAAAATAAGGTTTAAAACGTTACTATGAAGAAAGGAAAGTTAATGCAAAGATAAGGACATGCGTCGCTCACTCATAGATATATATGATGCTTGAACATATATGCAACACGCCGCGGTTTCTTGGAAGCAGAATGCTCAATATCGCGCTGATTAAAGTCATGCATCCCAGAAATAACGTCTCTATGAATGGATAAAACAGCCAAGGAATTTAATCTATCTTGCTTCATTGTGTTTCTGAGATACGTTTTAATACGCTCCAGCGTGCTGAATGTTCGCTCTGCGTCGGCGGAAGAAATAGGCGTCGTCAAAATGATGTCCAGAAATTTTGCCGACGCCGCAAAGGTAGTTACTAGAGTGTTATCTATGAGGAACCTAATTTCGGACACGCCCTGCACCACGCGTGATTGGAAGTTCCAACGTGTTGGTGCACAAGCTGGGAGACGGCGGATACATATCTGGCGAAGGAGGTCAGAGCGCTTCGGCGAAACGGAAAAAATGAAGAAAACCCCGAAACATTTGCAAAAAATATACGGACGAGAGGGGTATCAAGACACATATTTTTAATGACGAGGTTAAATTGTTGTGCATAACAATGTAAAAAATGCGCATGAGGAAAATCTTCTTTTATATAAACTTGAACACCATGTTTCGACCCACTCGTGACTGCCGCGCCGTCATAAGTTTGAGCTATCAATTTTGACTTCGCGTTGTAAGGCTGTAACACTTCTTTCAGTACAGCCGATATCCCGCAAGCCGTGCGATCAACGATTGGTACAAAGCTGTGAAATCTCTCGGTAGGTTTACCATCTTTCACAAACCGAAAAATCACAGCCAGTTGGGAAACGCACGTGATGTCAGTTGTCTCGTCAGACTGAATCGTAAGGAACTGGCAATTCTCAATTTCCAGAGCCAAATGTTGTAAATAAATTTTATACATTGAGTCGAGCAAATCATTTTGGATATCCTTAGATGTCCCTTCCGAAACAGTTGCGGCATCAAGATGATCTCTCAATACTGTATCTAGGGATGCGGTGTATTCCACCATATCCAAAAATACCCCTCTATTAGAAGAGCCAGCCCGTTCATCGTGCCCACGGAGGGACAGCTCGTGACAACCAATGAACTTCAAAACATCTATCAATCGACCGAGAACATGGCGGTTTTTCTCGACGTTTTGGTTGTGCCGACGAATAGAAACCGCGCGTCCTTCATCCAACTGTGCTGCAATATTAACATTTCCGAATGTTCGGTATTTTACTGCATTGTCCAGATGCTCCATAGAAGATTGATGATCCCTGGGACGCTCGGAAAGATGTTTAAGATCTCTAAAACCAAATTTACACCAACGTGAGTCACGGGCGATAGCAATAAGTAGGCAATAAAAACAAAAAAGTGCATTTTTGTCCTCGCTGTAACACAACCATTCGTGTTTTTTATGCCAAGTTTCTGCGCAGAATGTACGCCGACGCTTTCCTCCGTCATGGGATTGTTCCAGTGAACAATTTTTTGGTTGATAAGGCCCGAGACGTTGTACCTCTAATTTTTGTTTCAGCGGCAGCTGCAAAAACGGAGTGCGAAGTAGTGCATCAACCTTATTCATTATGAGGTCTAAGGCTAAGAAATGCGAAGCCGGAAAGAAGTGAGGAGCTGAAAAGGAATGTGGAAAATCGAAAGCAAATGGACTAAAGGTCTCCAACTGATTCAAATAGCGAAACAAGCGACAAAAACAAAGGCGAGGAAACTATCAACTCTTCAAGCAACCAACGAACGAGAAGGAATGCGTGAATATGTCAACACGTTGTTGTAAGAAACGTCGGCATTGTGTCGTCATAATTTCGGGGCTAGCCCCGATCGGCCCCGATGATTTAGTAAAAGAAACAGAAAACAAACGAGACAAACGCGGCGAGTGGAAGATAAAAGAGAGAATACGATATACAATGAGCAACCGGGGCAAAATCGGCGTCGCCCCGTCGACGTTCGGCTAAGGCTTTGCGAGCGAAAAATGAACCATGTCGGGAGAATATGGCTAGTGTAGACAGTCTGTGCTATCGATATTGAGGTATTTTTCGAATATTTTCTATTATACCGAAAAAACAACCGGGGCATTGCCCCGGTTGGCCCTATTGACGCGCCGCCACTGGTGATTTGTGTCATTGTGTCGAGTTTTTCAAAATATAGAAAAGAAAATAGGCTTAATATACCAATGCAAAGAACAAAGCATATACTGAAATCATGCACACATTTGTATTGTCTTTTTCATTCAATCTATGTGGCAGGTTGCACGGACGGAAAAGTGTATTGTAGCATGTTGGCATCATATTGTGATCAAGATTTCATGTCTACGTGTGACTTAACGTGTAATAGATGCGGGCAATCAGGTTAGTTTTATATTCAGACAAATTTTTCCACTTCTCGATCCAATCGAATCAGACTGAGAGTGGATATGTCGGTCAGCTTAACTATTTTCTACTCTGGGCAAAAAAGAAGATAAAATTCTTTTTATTTCTTGATATTGGTAACTTAATATCATAGAAAAGTTTAAAATTCGAACACCATGACAAATCGTTATTATTGGTTAATGTTATTCATACAAAAATTCTTCTTTCCAAGTTCTTCACCTCCTACAAACAAATTTTATAAAAACAAGATCTTAAACTTTTTTATTAACAAAATCAAGCCGCTTTGTGTCTTATTGTCTGAATATTTGAGAACAAGCATAATGTTTTTTTAGGCTCTTCCGTCTCAGGTGGAGGTGCTTGGTCGGTTTGCTCCAAACCATGTGGAATTGGTACGAGATATCGTCAAATATCTTCAACAACAGAATATCAGTCTTGCAATATACACGCGTGCCCAAGCATTAGTGAGTATCGATATCTTACACTATCTTTTTATCTTTGTTTATTGGACACGTAGTGGACATAACGATCGTTTCAAAATTTTGTTGTTATTGTTATTATTTGTCTCCGTCAACACGTTTTGAAGAAATCGCTTTTCTCTTCGAATACTGGACCAATTGCTTTGAAATTTTTTGTGGTTAAAGATAAAAATTTTCTCCAGAAGGCTATTACTTTTTTTTCGCTATGACGTCATCAAAATTATGTGACTCTACGTGTCCATATATTTGAGCATAGCTCTTTTGTTCTGAATAACATTGATGTTTTATCAATTTTTGCTCATTCCCAATGGTTAATATGCTGAATGTTACTACTGCAATAAGCTAGTTTTGTTTATTTGCCTGGTAAATACTTATTCGTAAATATTTTAAAAATACAAAGCATTTCGCGAGGCACAGGTTCCACATAACCTCAACGAAAAACACTTTATAAAATTATTCCACCAAAGTATGGTACTATTCTGAGTTTTTTTGTGTGCTTCGACTTCGAATCCTCCGATATATACATTGGCTAATATCTAAAACTATACTATCGTGATCTGGCGAATGCAAAATTTCAGGTTGCCCTGCAACGTACCGTTATGGATATCGAGTCGAGAGAGAGCAACGATATGAGCTTCCCCATTCTTGTTGCGACGTGGATGACTATGCGACTTGCGGAAAATCATTCTTAACTTCAGGTCAACGCGTAACTGGAGGCAAGGATGCATTACGAAAACAGTGGCCTTGGCTGGTACCAATTATTTGTAGTTTAAGTTGACTGACTTTCACTGTATTTTCAATACAATGACAAAAGCTCTAATTTTATTCACTCTAAGATCTAATGCAAAGATCGGCTAAAAATTCCTCATATCAGAAAGTGGGGTGAGCCTGTTTTTGCGATCGAATTATTTCCCAGTGCCCCCGTTCTCGCACAAGAGTATAAGATATATTACGAACTTGTAGCGACCAACGAAATTCAGTAAAAAATATTTTTTTTTACTTTTCAGGTTGCCATGTTTAACCGCCGTTGGACTTTACTTTCTGGTGGTACTCTTATTGGTACGCGATATGTACTGACGGCAACTCACAACTTTTTGTAAGTAACGATGTAGAAATGAATTGGTTACAAATTTGTACAAATGACAGGTTTACCTACCACAAATTGGGCTACTGCATTGTCCGTAATAACTATTGTACTGTTCAATACATTCATAATTTAGCCAAAATTATAATATCTACAAACCACACTAGTTTACCAGTTTCCCTGTACCTACGTGTTCATATGTTTGTACATTGCTTTCCCGTACTGAATTCCATAGCCGCATTAATATTTATATTGGTCACAATCTCTATTTAGTGATGGTAATATGATTCCCTACAAGAAAAGTGACTACACTGTATACTTCGGAATGTTGACATTATCTGATACTTACACAAACTCGAAGATTTCTCAACTATTCCATTATTCTGGAACAAACTTCAAATTTCCTTACGATGATATAACGATTGTGAAGGTATGAATTAAGTACATTTAAGGTAAAATATGTTTCATTTTCAGTCTATGTATGAAGATTTATTTATTTAGTGTATATAATGCTAAAACGCTAAAGTGTTTTTTAAGTATTATTGATTCCGAATCGATTTTAATCAGCGTTCATTCAGAGATGACTGAGATCAATGAGATTTTATAACTTCAATCAAAAAGTGGTATGAAATGATTGATACGCGATAATTTTGGCTTTAGCATTAAACAATGAAATACATTCTCTCTGCAGGTGGCCACTCCTGTCAGATTTTCATCTCTCATTCAGCCTATCTGTTTACCAGGAGGTGAAGTCACTCCGAAAGATACCACATGCTTCATTGCAGGATGGGGAAGTAAGCGCGTTTGCTTCATATTATATGAATTTCGAAACGTTATTGCCAAACTGAACCAATGTCCACTTGGACGCTATTTTAAAATATTGAATAAATGAAATGGAATTTTTGTATTATCTATCTATATAAGTGATTCTACCATGTACAGTACTATGACTTTGCAGCGTCTGGGTGGCATATACCCAATAACGTCATAAGGTTGTGGTTTCGATTTAAAGTACAGTACCTGTTTTCCTCTCGCCGAGCGTCTCTCAACTATTTTCCATCGCGAAGCACCTTGTAAGTCAACTAGAGCGAAAAAAATTTGTGCTGTCTGGCGGATTAAATGAAAGTCTAATATAAGCTCTCGCTGGTGATGCTAGTTGGTAACTCACCAGAGTAATACGTACCGATAACAAAAGTAGCCTCCCAAAACACGAAATTTCCGTCAACATAAAGGCGGCGTTTATTCGCTGTGACCTTCACCCTACTCAGTGAAACTGCATATTCAATTTTTCTCTTAATATTGCATGCGACTATTTAGACTGGTTGAAGGGAAAAACTTGATTATGAACAAGGCCCTTTACTTTAAAGCAAGGCAGACTGACCCTTGGAACTTAAGACTCATAGGGGTCTTGATATTCAATTTTGAACTATCAATATTTTTTAATCCGTTTTCAAATTTGAGTCGTGTTCCAGAATTTGACCGTTTCCTTAGGAAAGGCCTAGGCCCCAAGCAAGTGTTATTTCAAGAAGATGTTAAAATTCTCCAATTACTATTATGCTTTATATACATAAGGCACTGGCACACCAAACAAGGCGTCGTGGCATCTTCAAGAATTGGGAATTCAAAATTTTGATGTGAACGTCTGCAAGACAAAATACAAAAACTATCATGATATGAACCAATACATGCCGTTTCTTAACGCTGGTAGAAAGTACCTCTGTGCCGGCAGTTTACATCGCTCAGCGGGAAGTTGCGAGGTGAGAATTTTAACCCTTAACCATTTGTCTATGGAAAAATTGAATAAGAAAATACTAAAAGATAGCTTGACTACAAGCTTACCTATATAAGATTGTGTCCTAAAACAAACTTGGGCAATATCTTTTCTGTAAAAAAACTTTTTTTAAATTTCAGGGAGATAGTGGGGGTCCACTCATGTGTCAGAAGTGTTCGTCTTGCAGATGGTATTTAGCTGGGATTGTCTCTTTTGGCCTCACCGATTGCACAACATGGGGCGTTCCAAGCATATACACAAAAGTGACAGATTACGAGATATGGATCCGCACTATTACACAAGAATCAGCAAGTTCCCCTACCTGCAACTATAATGGAGCGGTCCCTTAAAAATAATATATTTGTACACTGACATTTCGTAAAATTTTAAGCAGTACACAGCAGCAATTTAAGATAATATAATTAAAATTTGTTGAAATATTTTAGGAATTTAGTTTTATTCAACTAAAAAATAATTCATGTGCTTTGATATATAAAGATTTTGCATGCATTTCTGAAAGACGAAATATCAAATTATCGGTATCAGATTCATTCACCCCTATTAAAAGCGTTTTGGGAATTTAAAATGAAAGGTAATACAGATTTGTTTATGCAGGAAGAAATAACTAATACTATTTTACCAGTATGGTTTTGTTATCTTGTACCACGCATCAGCCGATAATAGATAATGGTCCAATTGAAACTCCATGACAGAAAAAAATCCCATATATATTGTATAATTCAAAATTTAAATATTAAATTGTAATAGTTTGATACCAAAACGGCGAGGACAGTCAGACAAATGTACGGACTTTGACGTATCGGTAGGAAGTCATAGGCATACGACATAGGTCAAAATATGTGGGGAGCTGTGAAAATTATTATGTGGTCAATACGGAAACTCGTTCAAGAGCAATGATCCATATCAATTATAAGCAAGCAACCTCGAATGCAATCAAAATCTATAACTTGATTTAAGGTAGGTAACAGCAAAGTTTCCACATTTCTTTTAATATAAAAAGTGCACAGTTGGTTTCTTATATTCAAATATTTTTAATACAAGTAAAATAATATAAATACTTCACAGCATCATAATCTACATATAAGTAATACAATTTAAACTCACGGTATGAATTCAAGCATGAAAAAATTGTTGCATCTGCATCTCCTATTTTGGGTGAAATTTGGTAAGTAAATATTAAATCATTTTTGTTTAGGATTCATTATATGTTTAATGCAAGAATCAACAATTTAAAATGATAAGAAAACGTGCTATGCAATCTAATGATCAACTATAATATATGGTGCTTGGTTAGTTTTATAGATTTTTATCTCTATGGCAATACGTTAAATTAAAACAAATCTCAAATCAATGTCAGATTATTAGGTAATAATGATCATAAAAATTTCAAAGGATTTTGTCAAGATATCAACCAAGCAAATGCTTTATTTACCTGTACTGATGGAACGGTTATCTCTAATGAAAAACGGTGCAATGGAAAATACGAATGTGAGGGAAGAGAGGACGAAAAAAATTGTGGTATGACCAATGGACTTACTTGCATCATTTCTTTTGTTTAAACTATGACGTAAACTGTGAAAATCAATTTTATCTGCTTCTCGAAGAGTATATTGAATCTTATATTCAAGCTCACTGACATAAGTTAATAAAAATAATAATCTTCGTCATTTTATAAATCTTTATTCGAGACTTTCAAAAATGTGAGAAAGTGGAAGCTGGGGAAGCACATCATAGTATGGTTGAAGCGAAGAAATTATCGGGAAGAATTGTTGGAGGCGAAGATTCACCTGATGGTGCGTGGCCTTGGCAAGCTATAATAGCGAGATATTCAAGTAATAAGCGTGGTGGAACGCCGATTGTAAGTATAACGTATAAATTTAATGATTGTTTTCAAAAATTACCGAAACTTTAAAAAAATGTTAAACAACGAAAAACCGAAAAAATGAGTTGAACTTGTTATTGTTGCATATTATCCACTCGTGGTAAAATATACTTAGCAGAAGTCGATTTAAGTAGAGTTTACAAATATCAATGACATACATTCCATTCCATTTTTACAATACAATATTGTTGAGGGTATGAAAGACCGATCTGACTGATACGCTAACTACTAATCTGCATTCTTACGGGCAAAAACAGTATAATATACATATTGTTCTTCCAATTTTCAATACTGACGATGCAATTCAGATGTTCAGCAAGTGGTATATTAAAGGCGGCGGATCCTTGATTGGCAGTAAATGGGTGATGACTGCGGCGCATTTATTTGGAACAGACGACAACTCACAAGTATGGCTTTCAGACTACGCTGTCACGCTAGGTGAGAAAATTATTAAATGCACGGGTTCATAATTGTCTCAAAAAATTATAAATGCGGCATCAAGGATTTTCTATAACATATCATAGTGAAATTTAAGTAAACATATATATATATATAAATATATATTTCAAAATTCAGGTATGTCTGAGAGACCAAATACCAGTATGGGGGTCGCAGATTTTGTTCAGATGTTTGCACTGCAAGATGTGTATATCCATCCAAACTATTCGTATGGAGTTCTTGACAACGACATCGCATTGGTAAGCTAGAGATATTTACCGTAAAGTAAAAAAGATTCTTTTGTTGGTTAAATTAATACTGATCTGGATTACTGTGCCTTGTCTTCCATTTTGGAGTGAATTCTGTTAGATCTTTGTGTACACTTACACTGCAGTAGAGTTTATGCAAAGATTTTTATGAAAATATTGCATTCTGCTAGTCTCGCAAAATAGAGCATTCAAATCATAAAATCATCACAATCATGCAATATGCTTCATGTGTCATTAAAATCCAAAATTGATGCTCTATAAAAATATTTTTGGATAACTTTTGTGAACAATATTAGATTTTATTCATTGATCAGATGTACTTGTTTAAAGCGGTCTATATATCAATGCTTTGGTAATCCCTAGTAACTGACATATTAGATTGATTAACCAGTTAGAACAGAATTGTATTGAGAGTCAATTGATTTTACTTTTCAACTCTCCCAAATCTCCAAGATAGTACATATGCGAACTCCAATTAGCAATCAAAATTACAAAGATAAAAAGCATTATATTATTGATATCTCACAGATAAAGCTTGGAGCTAGAATAAACTCAGAATCACTAGCGATTAACGAAAGCGATGCAAATGGTGTAACCTTTACGTATCATGTGAGGCCAGTGTGTTTGCCCTGTCGGGATGAAGACCCAAACGGTGAATCAAAGGATGAGAGCTGCCAGCCTGATATCAATGGTTTGTCAAGGTTTTATTTGTAGAAATGAATGGACGTGTGTTTGCAAGGTTAGAAAAATGTGTATTTCCCAATGGCCACAAGTGCACAAAATCTTTTAGTATATATTATTGGTTAGAATTTATTTGACATTCTTTTTATGAATGTGTTGTTTCTACATTAGAATCTGAACTGCTAGCTGCTGGTGAAAAAGTTATTGTCACTGGATTTGGCAACATCAAAGGAACAGATCTAACACAAAGAAGACAACAATTTCAAATTCCGGATCGTCTCCAATATGCCGAACTGAAGCTTGTAGATCAGTACACGTAAAAAAAAATTCTAGTTGCAAAATTTCAATTAATATGGTCATGAAAAGTTATTACAGCCAATTACAAGCCTTCGTACTATCACAAACCAGCGAGCATATTCAATACAATCCCAAGTAGTGAGAAATTAAGATAGTCTATTTGAAATGTAGAAATATTTTTTACGGCACTTTTTCTGTGTAGTAATAGGTTCTGCACTATAGCTTTAATATGTATATTTTATTTCCAAAGATTGAGTTTTTATGTTTCTGTCACATAGATGCTGGCTAGGAATCCAAAATATAAACAAACTTACCCATGGAAATATCAGATATTCTGACAATTTTATTTGCTGCAACCCCGCGAAGGTTAAAAAGAGTATCGATGCTTGTCAGGGAGACAGTGGAGGACCTTTGGTTAAAAAGGTGAGCCTGGGATACTCACAATTGATGTAATTTTGAAAATTCGATATATTAGTACACTGCGGTATTACTGACTACATGAGAATGCAGCAATTTTTCACAAATTTAACCAAATTAGCAACTTTTAATTTTGATGTTTGATGGAGAGTATCAATAAATGCACAAATGTATTAGATTTTCTTTCATTCTAAACCCTTCCTACGTTGGTATGCTGGAATAACGAATCTCTCTACGTTATTACGATCGTAATTATCAAATTGACTAAATAAATTTCAGAGAAAGTTTACTTCCTTAGCCTACTATCTTGAACGAATACAAAGTTAACTGCAAACTTCAAATTTCACGTATATATAAATAGGTGACGAACTCTGAAACGAGTCAATCTCGTTGGTTTCAAGTTGGAATCGTGAGTTTTGGATACGGATGTGCACTCAACTATCCTGGATATTATATTAACGTTGTGAAATATACAGGATGGATAAACACTATCATGGATTCATAGGCTGCAATCATAACTACTTGGACTTGAAGTCCGGAGTTTGTTCAACTTTGTCATTGATGAATGATTTGACTATTTTGTAATTTGTAGATAGTATATATATGAAATCATTTGGTTCAATGAATAAACGTCTCATGATGATAGTTTTAAATATTAAAACAATTTTCAGCGTTTTGTCTTTAATTCTGTGACAATAAGATGATAGTACACATAGTTGAAGATATTAAAAAACGTAATGTTCAGTATAATCTCATAAAGGGTATTCGAATTCGTAAATCAAATATTAAATTCCATTGAGAGCTTGGTTGTAAGATCTTTGAAATTGAAAAATACATTTATTCTCCATGTTTTTGATGATTTACTTACACGGCAATTAAAAATTAAATCATTTTGACAACATATGCCTTCCAAACGCTGCAGTATATAGTTGATGCATCTATAATTTATTTGCAGCGAATATCTAAATTTGACGACGCTATAGATGATACGTCATTGGTTTGATTTAAATTCCAGCTAAACAATACATCATAGAGATTGTTTTTTAATTTTTTCTCCGAAAAAGGACAAGTTAGCAAGGCATATATATATTTTAGGTAGAAGGTCGGTTGATGGCTGTTTATGGGAATGCAGAATGAACATGCTGCAGTGTGAAACAGTTAACGTCGTGAGAAATTTATTTCTGAGTGGTACAGATCAACACAAAGGCATTTGAAGCCAGTTGCGTTATTTTGCGAACTGTGAAAATTATGTAGGTATTATGCTGATCAGTGTTAGTTCAAGATGTACCATTTCGGGCATACTTTTATTGTTTCCTACCTCATGAACTAGGAAAAAGTGGGGAAGGTTGAGACACTTTTTTCTTTTGGATTTTGTGAGCTACGTAATTTTCACATTCATTTGAAATTGTGTCTGTAGTATTTACCCCAGCGACTGAAAAATTTCCCAGTAAAACGCACATTACCACCAAAAGTATTTCAGATCTTTTTTTAAAAAATTCCCCAAAACAAATTTTCTGTATTGGCAACATAAAACCACTTCGGGGACATTCGTATCTGAAGATTTTGCATTGTGGACTTACTTGTTGAATATTTTAGATCCCTATTATTAAATCTGAAATGAAATCATTGTTTTACCGTTGAATTATGCCTAATTTTAACCAATTGAAAATGAGTTCGAAACTTCCATTATCGACGATGACTGTTCTTTGTTAAAAAGGCCATAAACATCAAATACGGGGTTTGAGTGCTGTTTAAAACGAACAAATAACAATGGTGGGACTTCATCAATCAAACAATTGTTCACTGCCTCCACTAAAACAAAACCAACATATATATATTACCAAGTATAATTTCTAATTCCGACCAAAGACAAAATATTTCCTTTTTGAATCTGAATCACTCTGAAAATTTTTTTTGAATCTAGAATATATTTTATACTGGACCATTGGAAGATACTTTATCACCACAAGAAGATACTTTAATATCACACAAAACTATATCAAAAACAAAACTATCTATATGCCTCTAAGCACTTAATGGATCAAACACTGTCAAATTGTGCCCAGTGGAGCAGGTCCCACTGAACCCCGTTTCATTGTTTTCCATAGGAAAAAATATTATCAGACCATTCCACGTAGAGATTAGGAAAACACATTTCCTCGCCAACGTTATGAATATTTCACAGTGGACTAAAGCTAAAAAAATACCAGACAGTGGTTTATCCTCATGAAAGCCTAAAGTAGAAAAATAAAACTGTGATGGCCAAAACCAATTTCATCTCATTGCTTGCGTCGCTCTGCACGGTCGCTGCCCGTTTGCTGACGCTGTCAGTTATGTTGTAACTTGCCGAAAGGCGGATTCAAATATCAAACCGCGGACCTGATTCAGGATATAGTATGAGTATGAGAGTTGAATTTTCACTGTTCCCACTTTCCCCTACTGCATTTAATAACAAAGAATACCTTAAAATTTTGGCGCTCCTGAAGTATGTGCACCAATAGGGCGCACAACCTAAACCCCAACCTCGTACAACTACTATGTTCAGGTTGTGCGCCATCTTGGTGCACATATTCCTGGAAGTTGAAAATTTAAATTGATAAAATTCCACATAAAATCTGGCTACAGTATTTAAAAACAGCTTGAATAGCCTAAACATAAGCTTTTACTGATTAAACCTTAACTGTAAACACTGAGCGAATGAACGAAGACGCCGGCTCATTATGGAGTAGTGCAAAAACCCGGATAAAAGGTAAGTGAAGATTTTGTTAAATTCACCTTGTTAACTGTCTCAATTCAGTTCCAGCCCCGAAAGATAATTACAATATCTTATTTGCATTATCATTGTACATGATAATAAAAATCAGATTTTATTTACAGTTTTATTTCAGCATAATAGTCATCTGTACGACAATCACTCTTTATTTGTCACAATAATCGAAAAAATCCGGACAGCAATCTCCTCTGCTCTGGCAAGACAAGTCACATGAGCAAATTTCCCCACGAGACAAGCATTTTCCGGAACAAGTCATGCCAGAAACTTAAAATAAAATGGGAAGTAATTAACTTAAAAGACTTAAAACGAAAAGAACATAAATTTGCGGCAAACTGAGTTGCATAAATGAATGTAAAATCGGGAGATCCCAGCATAAATCATGACTTTTCAAATTTATTAAATGTATAGACTGTTGTATGTTGGCTAGTTTTAAATTTTATCTATGAAATTAGGATAATAATATTCATTGTTACGTGCCGAAATGTACTGTTATGTACTGTGGTACATGAATTCATAGACACAAACCAGATCGACGTAAAACCTACGTTGTAACACATATTACTTAATGAAAAAGTCTCAAATATAAAACGAAAGAACAAATAAATCAAAAATAGACTTAAAAATGAGATAAAATGGCGAATAAATTGTATAAGTGAATAATTTTACTAAGAAATATTTTCCCGATACACCACCAAGGTCTCATTATAATCTACTCACCACATGCATACTTCCTGTAATCGCTTGACCATACATTTAAACCTTGGCATGTTATCGTTGGTTGCAAACCAGGACCAAGAACTTGAGTCTCAATTTGGCAAATTATTTCCAGTTCGTGACCAACAGCAAATTCTACACCGTTCAAACTTTCCCCTGCATGACCCCGTACTGTAACGTTACCATCCAAAATAGCGCTGTTTATCCAACATCCAACCGCTGAAATGAACATTTATAGTAATTCACGTTAAATATTAATATCGGACATTCAATGGTGGACTTCATGAAATATTAGCAACAGGTTGTTTTCCTATCGAATTTTGTGTTTGTATTTTGTATTTTTTTTTATCGAACAACAACAGGTTCCATCATTTCCGAAAAACATGCTGAACAAATAGCAAAACAATATCGGATTCGCTGATTAGCACGACATTCCAAGAATATCCGTGCGAACCTCCTAATTCCCATCAGGGATTTTATTCTTAGAACGTTTTGACGCTTGTCGAAACGTTCTGAAAATGTCAAGTATACCGAATGAAATTTCTCATGGACTAGAATAATAAGCTCAAATTCCAGTCATTCATTATTGTTCTTGTTATGATTATAAGACAATCAATTGTCCCTATTTGTTATTTTTATTATTGTTTTGTTAGCATATTTACAACAAGATATTTGATGTTATTAAAATTAATTTGAAATTCAATTTTTAATCACACAAATGTGAAAGAAGACAAATTCTATTTAGAGGGGCAGATTAACGCCACAATTCCATTTACATAAAGCAGGCGATATAATCAGAATTCAGCCATTAATCGAATTTACGGTAGGGTTGAATATCACTATCCTCGATGAAGGTTTATAAATGGCATCAATAAATAAATTTTTATTCTTTAAATGATGACTATTATTTACTTAACTCACGCTCGCATGAAACTTTCTCATTCCAACTTCCGTCTTCTAAACATTTGATTTGATTACTGCCAGAATGTCTGTGATTAGGCGGGCAATTAGGATACAGCGTCTCGTCTGGATAGAAAACTTTTGCCCGACTGTTAAGGATCATGGTTCCGCGTTCAACAGATGAAGGAATTCCACATACTTGCACTGAAATAATGATAAAAACAAAGCGCCACTTCACATAAAAGATACACAATTAATAGACTTGAGAAGCTTTAGTTCATTATTTGCTGAAATAATTCTAATATGATTCTCTTTTATTTATTTACGTCCCATATATTTTGTATCCATTAAACGTGCATAGGTCACAGAATTATAAAGTACGTTAAAACATTTAAAAATTACAAACAATCATGTCCACCTTCTATATATTATCAAAATCCCAAACATCATTTTTAATAATCATTATTTTTTATATTGTCGAAGAACGCTGCGTGTAAAATCCACGCTTTTGCAATAATAAATTTGTCATTGAATTTTTTCGGCAACTTTTTTGTAAACACGTTTGTGATTACAGGTAAGGGTGAGTTTTAAAAGAATGTAAAAGTAATGGAGGGCGAAAATATTTTTTTACTGTAGTGTACAGCCGTATTCTGGTGATTTTGAATATTGGAGATTTTTAATTTTATACTGGAATTTGTAGTTATTTTTTATTTGTAGTATTATTATACATTATATTTTACTGAATCAATCCATACCGCATTTGAAATCATCCACCGGTGGATTCCAGCTTTCATTTTCCAGACAAACACTCGAATTAATCAGTTTTTGCAAGCTACGAGAAAATGCGTGTTTGGTGTTATTGACGCACGACATCTGGAGGATATCGCCGACTTCGTAAGAATCTATGGTTTGCCTTGGTGCTATGACTTTTATTCCTTCGGATAAATTTGTTAAAGAAAGTTGACATCCCAAACCTGAAAATGTACAAAATTTTATAAAAAATTATTGCTAATTATAAATATAATATGATTTAATTAGAATTTGATTCACATATACAATTCAAATAACCGTTACTGCCATTACTATAAAACACTTACGTTCACAACGAGGTAGTTCTGACCAATTTTCATTGGCAAGACACGTTATGATATTGCGACCTACAATACGAAATCCTTGTTGACATCCAACTATCAAACTATCTCCCAAGAGATATAATAGATGTTTTTCAATATCACCTATTGTCATATGGTCTTTGAGTACGGGGTAGTCGCATCTCACGACGGGTGGGAGTTCCTCTAAAAATAGTTAGTTTCTATGAGAAAGTGAAAAGCTCAATTCTTATAGTTATGAAGTCAATTTTTGTAATATTTTACCATGTAAAATATTTAATCATCTTCATAAATTATGAACACACAAGAATAAAGTATACATTATAGTGTTGTACGTTTATTTTATCTTTATAGAACTCTTCATACGCTGGGCTTATCATGGAACCTCAATTACCAATCATACAAACACACCCATCATTATCAAATATTTTGGTATCAGACACTTAAACAACAACAATGAAAAGTCACAAAAATGAAAATGCAAGAATACTATTCGCGCGACTTCTGTTAAAGCAGAAAAATGTTGCTCCACACAATCGATTCAAAACTGAGAAATTCACACAGGACCCCTATAGGCCGCCGAACACCAATAATTGTTTTGCCGTTGGTACAAAAATGTACGGCCAAATTCTAGCAGCTCTCCAGCGGCACCCAAAGGTTATATTCGGCTGAAGTCTTTTCTGTAGCATCTTGAATCTTGATCTATGACGAAATAAAGTAATGAAGCGTGGATAAACAGTTTTGTTTCACGAGAGATAAACTAGGTCATTCTTTGTTTATGTGTTGAGAAGAGATAAACTAGGTCATTCTTTGTTTATGAGTTGATGAGAGGGAAGCGATTGAGTTTTGCTTGCATTATTTGCTACATTCAATACTGAAAGGTTATATATTCTTGAACAATGGCAAACAGACAATTTTTCACTGCTGAAGAAGCTAATAGACTTGTAATGAATGATATTTTATCGGACTTCATGAGTGATCATGGTAAGTAAAATATATAAATTTTTGAAAATTTTAGTATTACATTCTTTTACCGGTACTTGTTGCTAATTGGATAGTTTCTGGGTCTGTAATGAGTGATCATGGGGAGTAAAATATAGACTTTTGAAAATTTTATTATTACATTCTTTTACTTTTTGCTAATTGGATAGTTTGTAATGTTCTTTGAGTTCTGGTGTAAGTTTGTAACACTGTTTTCAATATTTTAAATTGAAATGAAGGCAGCGAAGAGGAATACGTTCCAGAAGCCAGTGGTGGAAGCGAAAATGAGGAATTTGATGATCAACCATCAACATCTACAGCTCCCCCAAAGAGAGCCAAAGTAACAAGAAGAGGTCGACCGAGACGACAAAGAGGTGCTAGGCAACAAACTCCAGCTGATATTGTGATACAGCCAAGGCCGGCTGAACAAACCAGAGGTATTAATTTGCTTAGCTTCCGCAGAGACCTTGTACCTGATCTTGTGGATATTGAGAGAAAGGCCACTCAGCGGAAGCGACGATGTGGATCTGCTCTGAAACAAATATCTTCCATGTTCAAAAAAAGGTCGACCCTGGGCAAAGACGTAAAGAATGTCACTTGTGTAGCAAAGGCATAATTGGCGTACGAAAGGACACAACATTTTACTGTGATTCCTGTGAAGGGAAGCCTGGGCTTCATCCCGGGGACTGTTATTCCAATTTTCATCTTCAGAATAGACATAGTTCATAAGTTTTGTGTCTTATAATATCTTTATCATTTGTAAATAAATGCACCATTTTTATGTTATACACGTATATATTTGCTCTTCTGTACTGTAAAATGTCATCATTTCCATATGTCACCTCACCATATTCCATCCACTTTGTATATATCCACTGTTTCATTGTTGTTTTTTATTAATAAAACTTCATTTATGGTCATTTGAAGCTTCTATATTGCGTTACTGATAGTTTTCGCATATTCAGGTTTATGCAGATTTTTGGGTTCAACGTAGAAAAACAGCATACTAAGGGCTTTCCATTGAACCTAACTCCATAAAATTTGGTACATTGATGGTTTAGGTTGGAATCCCTAGGAACAAGGGAAAAAATCAATCTAAAATTGTATTTTCTAATTACTATGAACCATGTACCAATCCAATTTTTTGCTTTTGAATAGTTTTTTTTTGGTAAAATCAAAAGTTTGAGCTGGGTATTCAATTTATGCCATTGGTTTTTTAAGAAATAGATAGCACACAATCTTCTCTTTCTAACAAATCTTTAGTGAAGGTGATTGGATAAAGTTTTTGGTTTTTATGGAAATTTGTAGGAGTCAATGTCAAGTGTAAAAAAAAATGTCTTTTTAAGGTGTTGAAAAAAAATAAAAAAAAATGGCATGGAAAGGGTTAAGAGAAATCTCGGATAAAGAGCACTAGTATACATGAATATTACCTGTTGCCATTTCTACGCATCTTGGAAGAGTAGACCAAGTACTGTCTTCCCGGCATATTATGCTAGTGGGGCCAGCTAGTGTATAACCAGGATCACACGATGGTTGAAAAGTCTCTCCCACATTATACGAAATACGTTCTTCTGTGGATAAATCTCTGAGTTTCATAGAGATGGATATATCTGGATAATCACAACCTGATTGACTTGGAAGTGCTGTTGTTAAAGAGATAATCGATAGTTTGAATGACTTCGATTCGCTCTGTTATTAGCTTTAGTTCTACAATATAGTTGTAAAGGTTGGATTCAGTTAGGTTTGCTATTGAATGGGTAGTAACCACTAGAGATAGAACATAATTCCGAGTTAGAAATTACCTCCACAGAAAACATCGTCAAACGTGGGTGTCCAGAGTCCACCATAATCGCATTCGATAGTTGGTGGATCAAAAGGAATTTCATTTTGGAAAATTTGTTCACCATCTCCACATTCTAGAGTAACTGTATCACCAACGTTAAACGTTTTTAAATACAATGAAATCGGCGAATATCGGCTAACTGTCACTCCTTTAGGCAGAACATATTGGTCCAATTGACATATATTTCCTGTTAGGAAAATAAAAAAATTATGCACGACTAAGTGGAATATTAAATATTAACAACCTATGCGGTGGTACGAGGCAAAAAATCTTGAGTTCATTTTTTTGGTTCCAATATGTTGTGCTATATAAAATGTGCTGCAGGATAAGGCTTCGAAAGCTTAGAGAGAGAGGCTCCAATCTGATTAAAGACAAACAAGACCCGTTTTGCAAATATTTGTTTATGTTAGTCTCTTTGTTGTTGAGAAAACATTGATTTTTTCCGCAACTTAGGGAAAAATCGAATTCCGTGCTTAAAAATGCAATTTTTTTCTTTTTCTTTTTTTTTCAAATTTTTTTTTTTGGAGGTTTCATGGGACACGATAATCCAGACAAAAATATTCCAATTTGCTTAACCTCTGCCACGCTTGTATGCCCTTCTTTTTGAAAAGCAAACTCGGTTCTCCAGCACCTTACCGGTACCGGTGTTTGCTGTGGAGTTGGGGTTTGATTTGTATTTGAAGCTTTTCAAGGATTAAATAATGTTCTTCAGTGTAAGTGAGATAGGCAACCGGGTGTACCACGTTTTGCAATTGGACCTTTGTGTCGATATATTTGATATAATACCTTGTTGTTCGCATTACATCAATACATCCAGCCATCAGACTGAAATTGAGGCATTTGACAAAGACAAGGTTTTGATAATTTCAACTAGTAAATGTGGTTGCTATAGTTGTGCTCACATTAGGCTGCGCACGACTGTTTTGTGAAACTTACTTATGCACCCTTTGTTTCCCTGTGTCCAGGTTGCGTCTCCCGTACACACAGTCGTTTCTTCACCAAACAATTCGAAACCGTCGAGGCATCGAAACGTAGCAGCTTCTCCTGGTGTCCAAAATGGCTTTTCTTCTAGCAAGTATCCTCTTATTGGTGGTATTGGATTAAAGCATTTAATTTCTGAATAATATTAATTGCAAAATTAATTAGTGGTATCACAGGAACACTTGACTATACCAAAGGTGTTTGTTTGTTTTAATAGATTAGTTTTATGCATGGATGTCAGAAAATTTTGAATTTTAAAATATGTGAATAAAGTTGCTGCTGCTAAATATATAAAATATAAGTTGCTTTTAGATAAAAATATTTTCGGGGTCTCGTGTTGTTCCGCACGACAATGACTCTAGTGGGGGTTTTGTAACAACTTTTGCATATGTTATTCCTGCCCTGATCACGTCATCGTTGGACGTTGTCCAGCACCAAGAAAATCACTCAGTTGCTCAGATGAAGCTTTCGTGAACGTTCATTGGTGGAAATTGGTGTATCGCGTTAATTCTATATTTATTTTGACCTGGACGCCAATATGAGAGATGTCCCTGACGTTAGGGAGCTGACTTCGATGACCGTATGGTCGTAACGCTCCCTAAACGACACGAAACTTTTATACTGCAGTATGTTATATCAACCTTCAGAAGAATGTTCCATGTTACAAAAAGAAACCAACAACTTTACGTCATTATATTAACTATAACTATCTCCAATATTAGTCTCACCGGTTTCACACAGACGTCCAGAATATCCCTGTGAACAAACACACTCAAAGTCATCATCAAGTGGGGAACAAGTTCCGCCGTTCTGACAGCGATTGTTGTGACACGGATTAAAAATCTCTGTTCAAAACAACATAGCAATGCTCAAATATATGAACACAAAGACCTAACCAAAATATTCAAACACAATTTCTCCAAAAATCATATTCTGAAGGAGGCTGGAACAGCTACCGTACCGTACTTACCGGTAGCGGTACTGATACGCGAGCTATCCCAGGTCACGTTACGGTGATGATTCATGCGTCTACTCCCAACGTGAATCGAAATATCAAATGATTCGAGTAACCACCGACAGTCTAACGTATCGTCACTAAAAACTTCCGGCTTTCGCTGAGCACGATATCCGGTGGTTGCGATGGAGAAACCGCCATACAGTGCGCAATTTTTAATTTAAAATACGTCATTAAACGAAAACTTCAAATTATAAAACGAATCCCCTAGAGCTCACAGAAATTTTTGTATAATAAGTAATAGCCTTTGACATCAACAATTAGCAACGACAACAATTTCTTACCACTAAAAAATTGAAAGCAATCGGCCCAGTAGTGAAATAGAAGCGATTTTTTACCACACAAGAAGAAAAAGAAGAAGGATTCTAACAACAACAACATAATAACAAAACCATCCACAGATTCACTTCGTAGGTGATAAAGTAAAACAGTACGAATTAATGATACTGATTTGATATATGGACAATTTTAATGTTGTTCTAAGGTTAAAAAATCACTATGCTAAGAAATGATCATAAGTTTATCGGCAGTAAATCATAATCACGGAATAGAATAATAGAAAAGTTAGGATATGAGGTCCACTGACAAATATTTATGATTTTTATTTGCCAAATTTCACAAATATTCAAAGAATTCATATACAAAAGCTTAATGCAATTTGAATTCAATTATATCATTACTTGATTTTATTTAAGAAAATTGGTTTTATGCCAGAACTATTGAAACTACAAACATAAAAATATGTGGGTAAAGATGCTGCTGTATTAATCAGGATATATTATATATGTAAGTTATCATATATATATGAATTCCAATTCATGTTCTAAATATTATATCATCACTCAAAAGAGGACCAGGCACAGAATTTTATATCATTCATGTAATGACTTAGCCTCACCGGTTTCACACAGACGACCAGAATATCCTCGTGAGCAAACACATTCAAAGTCACCATCGCGTGGAAAACAAATTCCGTCGTTCTGACAGCGATTGTTCTGGCACGGATTATAAATCGCTGTGAGAAATTAAATACAACGTTATGAATCGATGGTACTGGCGTGGTAGATGGAATAGACAATTTTAATATAGTTCCAAATGTTGGAAATTTTTACAAAAATAAAATTTCTGAAATATAGATGTCAAGTGACAAATGAGTTTTAATCAACTGTTCATTATTAACACAAACTATGTTAATCAAAATTGTGAGATGATATTCATAGAAAAAAATAATACTGGGCAAAAAAATCAGGGTATATTTTTTTACAAACCGACACAGCGTGGTAGTTTTGTGCTCCATGTTCTTCTTGATGTGCATCTCAGAAGTGGGCCAATCAGTTTCATTCCCCTGCGACACTTGTATTTAATCATATCACGATACAAATAAAAAGAGCCCGGTGCAACGGTAACTTTCACCCTTCTTTTGAAACGAATAATTTCATGGCCGACGGAGTTTCTAATCTCTGGCAGATTGGAAGAACATCCTGTTTCTGGTAATCAAATATGTTTCATGATATTAGCGAAAGAATCAAGGCTGATGGATTCAGACAATATCAAACCATAAAAAATCACCGAAAAAAAAGACTATACAAAAATGTAAGAAGGGAAAGGAAAAATTCGAAAGTTGATGGACGAATTTGGATAAGTACAGGGAAGTAAAAGAAGATAAGAAGGCGCGGAGTAAAATATGTGGGAACGTAGAAGGAGCACTGGAGGAGCACGATAAAGTCTTTATAATATTCACTTTCGTTGAGACAGCTGAATCCGCACTCATCATCACATACGCAATGTTTCAAAAAACCCCGACATTGTCTGATACGGAGCGGATCACACCTTTGTCTGCAAAGATATCCATTTGCACGCACAGTAGACCAATTCCGTTGTTTGCACAGTGGTCGTCCTGAAAAAGAATGAAATGATAATAACTCTTGCACGACGCAAATATATACTACATTACAGTACAGTATTTTTTACACATAAAAATTAAAGATTCTAGCAAAAAATATTTAATAATGTTATTGTTCACTGCATATTCTAAATGACTCTGATGCAAAGGCAGAATTGAGAAGGGGATTAGCTGAGTCAATACCTAGTGCCAGATTCGACATATAAAACTCCTATACGAGTTCTAATAAAATTATCCATTTTCATTATTACCGCAGCTGAATTCGTCTTCTCCGTTACTACAATCTGGGCTACCATCACAAACTCTTGCTTTTGATATACAAGTGCCGTCTTCACATGCAAACTGATGAATGGTCCGGCATGATGCTGTTGACTTTCCTGTAATATATATATAAATTTAAAAGTGTTTAGTCATCCTAACCTAAAAAAAATGATATAATCCATAAATCATTCAACAACAACTCAACCTTTGAATATCGCCTATTGGTTGCTATTAGAGATGAAAGCGTAATTAACATATAATATTCGTTTGTGACATATCTCACATTATGCAGTTCACATCAGTTTTTAAGAATATTTTTCGCATGGAAATACTAAACATAAGTTCAAAATATTTTGTTCAAAGGTTTGCATTAAGATTAGGTGAAAGTAGTATATATTTATGTGTACATGTTTGAGTAAATTTTCAAGTATTAGCAATATTAGTTGAAATTTATTAAGAAATATGTGATTTACATTTATCTTCCAACTCAAAATAAAGAACAAAACATACCTGGCATACAAATCAGACAAAAAAATAGTGATAAAAACGTGTAACGGTTGATCATTTCTACCCTCAGTCTTTACTTTGTCAATTTCTGACTAGGTACGACTTCTGTTTCAATATAGCTGAACAAGGAAATTATTCTCGAAAACACGGCAATAAAAAACAAAACGATCCCAAGTTTTGAGTAATTTAGATTTTGAAACTCAGACTCAACAATTATAAACACATTTTTCAATTAACGAATTCTTTATCTAAATTTTGGCCATTTGGTTCATCATCTTTTTTAATTATCGCTGTACAATAATTTGAAATATACTTTATCTCAACTATAAAAGTGCTATTAGGCTACCTAGAATTTTCTGCACTGGTATCTTAAACCACTTCAGGAAACTATTTTCTGCTCATTAAAGAAGAAGTATTGGCAGTATTCGGTCAAACTGGTAAACAGCAAGCTTTGAATTTCAAACTCATTAATGCGATTTTCGATTGCTTACTTACTGGAATTTTACAGAATATTTTGTTTTTATAGAATTTCGTATTTTTATGTAAGCGCCTCGATTTTACTATACTTTCAGTTTATATACTTTTTAAATATTCGGAGCTTTTTATTCGTATTTGCTTTATATACATGTATACATGTATACATGTATATATATCATGTAAAGTTTTGTCTTTACTTGTTATTGATAATTTATGAAAAATCGGACGGCCTTAATGTGTATTCACAACGCGGTTTGAAAAGCATCACGGTTAAACAGGTGTTGATTGTCGATTTTGACCACTTGTAACTACAAAGGTTTTTAAAATCCGGTGTAATCTGTATCGTTTCTGTCTTCTCTCTATTTCATTGCTGAATTTAATTTTGAATTGCTAATTTTGAATAATTTGTGGAGCAGGGAAACAGTATGTTACTTGGGCCCATAGGTAATTATCAATATTAGTAAATACCCTCCATAAATTGTAAGGCTACACACTCATTTTTGCGTATTACCGCTAGGCTTGTATTATAGGTAAAGGCCTTTTCGACAACAACACGAAACCGGTGGCGCACGCGGTAAATTTGCTAATCTCAACCTAGCTCCCCATATATATAGGCTACGATACTTCAAATTACCGCAATGTATTTTGTGTCCGTGTTAAATTTGTCTAAATGGCTCTTTGTTATTCATTCTTTTATGAAGGTGATTATTACCCTGAATTACACTTAATTGATCTGGTTCTTTTTCCAACTCACTAAGAATTATCTGATTTCGTCAGACATTTGGTTCTTTTCGAGTATCTGTCTGATACCTTTCTTCAACTGAAGCTTAGTTTATAAATAAGAGTAGGTTAAAATTTTGGATGGGTGAATCTGCAAAGGTAATGTTCTCTTCAGCAGCAAAGTTTTTGCCAAAAATCAACGTTGCGAATCTAGAAAGATGGACACTCACAAATTTAGGTCAGATCAGAACGCTTGTCCTGCTATTTATATGTTAGTATGCAGTGCAATCTTTTCGATTTTGCAGCTCATTTAGCGGCTGATATACTTTTAGTATGATAGGCTCTTCAACTGGCAAGCCTGTATATATGCCAGTATTCATCTTTGCGTTTGTAGCAGAGTCACTCATCTAGACTAGATTAAAAAATGGTTGGCATGTAGGGGGCTAAGCATTTTTGAATACCTTGGGATTTCAGAATCGAATCGAATATTTTTTCGAATCGAGTCGAATCTCGAATACCTGGAAGATATGAATTTGCATGTGTCTTTATATTGTACTCGGATCCCTCGGTTCATGTTGCCAAACAATGAGCAACATGTTTCATTAATAACTCATTACGAAGAAAAGCTGAATTGCATTTTGAAAATATGGCTTCTTATTAAGAAAATATTGACGGATTAACCTCGATCTTTGGTCGACGAATAAACCAAGATGACGGCTATTTCAAATTCTGATGCGAATAATTCACTATTCTAATCTGTCCAATACCGTACACAGCTTACACCGGGAGGGGTCGCTAAGAATTATTACTGAGCATTATTTGGAATCAATCTAATTGTTATCACTTACATACTAGTTTTTTCAAATGGTGACGGCGTTAGAAATTTACTAGAATAAAGTATAAATGACATATAATGTCTCAGCCTTTTGCATTACTAACCTGAACTATCATTGTCAAGACGTCCTCGTGTCATGATGGAAAACGTCCTGAGACATTTTTGTTATACGAGGAGTGACTGGGATACAATCATGGAATATATGTCCTGGGCATAGTTTAGTTTATTTTTTTCATACAGTAAATAATATGCGAAATTGACAAAAAATTTAATTAAACGCACATTTTACTGGGGAAGGGAAGCCGCGGGGAACCAAGAATGGTTATCGAGCAGCGACACCCAATATATATATCATTTTCGTACCTGCTGCATTGTGCGTTTGGTTGCAGACTGGTTAAATGAGCAGTGATAAAATTGTTGTGAACTGTATACCTAACGTCAATGCCTTTGAGAATATCTTGCAGGAGAGGCAAAAATACCTCACAGTGATTATTGCAATAATCTCAAATGAAGAAGGCAATAAAAAAAACGTTTAGGTCAGTGAACTATTACTCCCTGAAACATATTAACTTATAGAAAATATATAAGCTTGACTGTGATATATTTCAAATATAAAATGCTGATTATTACATTAGTGGTTAATTAAATGCAATATTCTATGGAAACTTTTACAGATATCAATTTTTATGATCTGCAATTTTATCAAACTAATAGCTGTGGCTGTTATGGCATGATAGCGACGCGTCTAATTTTACGGGCTAATTTTTTTAGAATAGAGACTCGTCATACACCACATCAAGATATAGTCATAGAGCACATACTATTTATATTCTGCACATATTATTCAAACAGGAAATACTTGAAATTGCTTTATTGTTGAATGCAGTGAACTATTATAATATTCATATGTAATTGCAGTGAAAAGTTTAATACGACAGATCAACACAACTCTTAGAGCCGAGATTTCATTTTAACTAAATTTAGGAAACTTATTTTAAAGATGTTCCGTCTGCATTGTTTTGGCTACTATTATTTTTCATGTTTATTACGTCCTTCGATCGCAATACTTTTTTCTGGGAGTTGTTGAAAAAATGAAACAAACATTGGCATTCTTGTATTAGTGTTTTATTATATACAAAAACGTTAAAATATAAATCCGACAGAAATCAGTTTAATATAGTTGTTGCCAATGATACTGATAAAATAGCTGCATCCTGACGTGAGTCTGTTGGCAAATCATTCCATTTTTCCTCAGTATTTGTCTGTCTTTGTCAATGTGAGATTTAACCTGATAAAATATACGAATGCACATGATTTTAATTCGACAAACATTAGATTTTCGGAAAAAGGAAGTGTTTTGGGCAAAGCAGAATAAAATTAAATGTTATAGAGCAGCGTTTCCAAACTTTTTTGGCCACGGAACGCTTAGGCTTTTTATCTCGCCTCGCGGAACACCAATAAATCAAGTGGTAAAATTACTAAAGAGAAATGGTGATGTGCAGCATTTACCAATGTACCGCGAAAACTGACATAATTGTGTTCAACATAACTAAAAAATGATTAAATATTTTACATATTACATTTATCATAAAAGTTTTATTTCTTCTTATTTTAAATGCTGTGTATATGAATCAATAAATTTATTTTACTTTTTTATGTCGTTTACTTTCTATTACTTAGTATTTGCGTGAAAATATTACGTAACAATGGGGATAGAAGTACTTGCTGCAATTTTGCGAGCTGCAGTTTATTTATATGCTGAATCGAGTTTAGCGATAATGAGTGACTTTTTCTGCATTTCAAAGTAAAACAAGAGATGGAGAAAGAAGAGTTGACCTTTGGCCTTTATTTTTTAGGCCTACACGTTTGCCTATAGCAAAACCAAAAAGAATGCTGTAAATTTGATAATGAGCTTGACAGTCAAAGAGCTAGGCAGACGGTTAACGAAAATGCCACTACTCTCAAAACGTTAGGCCGGCAGTGACGCAATATTGAAATATTGAATATTATTGTTCCGCGGAACACAGTTTGGGAAACGCTGTATATAGAGAATAGCAATTTTATCTAATTTGTCATTTATGCTACTAAAGAAAATTCACAAAGTTCAAGTGAGTTTAATTAAAGTATATTATGTGGTATATCATAGTCTAATATAAATATTTTACCACAATAGAACATTGATTGCCAAGGCTGCCAAGTTCCTCCTCTTTGACATGTAATCTGTGGTTCTATGCTTTCATCATTTAAATGCGTCACCACTCCTGACCCAGAGCATACTAAAGTTAATATCTTTCCAACAGAAAATTTCTCGTTTTGTAGTTGATGAAGTTCAAAACCTTGCACTTCAATTTCATATGGCAAAAGATATTGATCCAATCTGCAGATGATTACTGAAAAGTATGTATAAATGACTGAAATTATCAAAATAAAGAAGCAAATTTACCAATTGATATTTTACTCATTATTTGGTGAGGACTGGTTGATTGACTTACTATTCAATATAATAAAAAAATATAACTGAGATCATTACTCACAAGTTTTAGGTACAAAACAGCTCGCGCTGAATTTTACAGTGTATCTGCGATATTTATTCTTGAAAATATCCAATTAAAACAGTAAAAAAGTTTTCAAAATTTATATTCAAACATATATCATGGTATATATATGTTGTAATATTGAAGGCTAAAAGTGCTAGCGTTGGAAAGCCAAAATTTCCATTTGTTCGTTATGTTTCATTTTTTCATAATGACATCAGAGAGGAAAATAACAATATGTTTTGTTTAGTTGGATGCAATTATTATTTTAAAATGCAACACCTACATTCACATTTTGCTGTTACTTCGTTCCATTCTCCGTCATTACAAGTGAGAGAGCTGGAGCCTGTTATATCACGGTCTGCTTCACAACGGATTTCATATGAAGATCCGGATGGATAGCTTCCTGGATCATTGTGTATAAAACTTCCTTGTGGAAGCTGTGGAAACTCAGTACATGGGAGACCTAAAACGAATAACACACGGGTTGGAACTAATACCGATTGTGTACTTCCGTAGTATGCTTATCAGGTTAGGGTTAGGCTATAATTTTATTCAGAATTTCCTTATTTTAGTTCTATTCATGAACTGTTTGTGTTAGGCAAGTGAATATACCCCCTCCGGGTTCCCTGCCCTTTGGCTTCCGTTTCTTTACAAAACTTGATGTGAAGTAGGCGAACAAAATTAGTTAACTTCATATATATTTTCACGTACTTCTGGGGCGCCACCGATTGCTTACAAGAACTTATCAACTCACAACCGTGTTATGGGTAGGGATGGCGGAATCGAGTCCGGATTCGATCACAGAATCGATTCTTCGCGGAATCAACTAGAATCGATTCCGATGCATTGGAAACGATTCTCGAGGTTAAAACTTGGATTGAAAAGAATGTGTAAAGTTTTGTGACAATTCCTTCACATATATGTATTAACTGCTTCACTGCTATGTTGAGTTGCTACGACGACGCAAACTTCACTATATATAATATTTCGATGAAAGGCTTTAACGTTTATTTATTTTAAAAATCTCTGTGGGTTCTGAGGGATTCGTTTTTTTTTTGTGCGATTTTGTCTCCTGTAACAGATTGAATACCCATACTACTTAGTTTAGGCTTTCTTGGCCGTCCTGAATTTGAACATCGTGCTCTTGTTTGATTTCATATGGTATTGCATGGGTGGGTATGTGTTTTCAGTAAGATATGTCGAGGAATCGATAATCGGAATCGACAATTTAGGAAGCGGATAAGAATCGAATACTTGTAAGTACTCATACTTGGCATCCTTAGTTATGGGTAGTACAACATGTAAATTTCATACCAAATATGAACTTCATGCAATCGGCCACTTTTTAAAATCACCTGAATTCGCTGTTGTTGTGGGCGTTCTCTCTGTTGTTGTAGTAGTTGTTGTTCTTGTGTTTGGTTGTGCTGTAGAGGTAAACTTCGGGATACATCTAAAAGTTTCTAGGAAGTCCCATTGACTATCTCTATTACACGTGGGATAAACAATTTCACTCTCTTCATATCCCTCGTTACAACGAAGACTTATCCAATCGTCCATTTCATAAGTTTGTTTCTGTGTAGTAGACATTTTAGCATTTGCTGGCAATGATGGAGCGCTACAAACTATTTCTGTAACATTTTTATAAAAATAAAGGGATTGTTAGTTCAGCTTGGTAATGACATTCAATAAACATCTTGTTAAAACAAAATATTTACCAACAAGAAATTAAAACACAAATTGAAATCCTTCAAATATCGTTATTCATTTTTTACTGTTTGCGATTATTAGAAACTCATCGCAACGTTAGAGAACAAGTTAAAAATATTTACTTTCACATGATGAAGTTGTGTCAGCCCATTCTCCATCCCATCCACAATATAATTGCGAATCTCCCATTAATCTGTATTTGTTTTCACAACCAATATCATAGTTTTTTCCTGCTCCGTATTTGTGATTATTTAATAGAAACCGTCCATGCACTGGCAATTGTGGGTTAGCACATTCGATTTCTGTTAAAATGGAGCGATTTAAATGTTGAATTACGTTTTGCAAGATTCTCAATAATTTGTATCTTTGCAGTTGTGCACTTGTTATATTAAAATATAGATGAAATAACGTAGTCTTCCATCTTGATATTGTAATATAACCAAAGTAATAACAGTAACCAGTAAGTAACTCGTAACACATCATGATGTTTATTTTCAAGAATGAGTTCTTATTATCATTTGTGTATATAGTACAATCTTCAAATCTATCTATGGTGTTCCATTCAGTTGTTATGGCTCAAACCCCTTCACACTTGATAAGATAATACATTTCGAACCTTCACAATTTGCTTGTGAATTCCAACTTCCATATCTTTCACATGTTACGACATTCTTCCCAACAAGTCGATATCCATCTGAACATCTAATAAATACCCTTGATCCTACTGAATAACGATCTTCTTTCCCAAAAATAATCTCCATATTTTCAAGATCTGATGCGGCGCAGGTAGTTTCTAATCCAAACATTGCATGCAGAAGAATGTAACTTTTTTTTTTATTTAAAAAGGAAACTTTGTTAGTTGCTAAACTCATAGTATATAAGCTGCTAAGGTATTTTTCAATGTCTTATATTGATTGTCTCTTACTCCAGGCGTTTCATTTTTTTTTTTTATTCCATTTTATTCTTCCGAGCAAAGTGCTGTGGAATAGGAGGTTCATATCGTAATTTGTCACAATTATAGGTGCAAAATAGTGAGTGATTTTATTTTTCGTATTTCTATTTAAAGTAAACACAATCGCATCACAAAACCTATTTTGATATTATGAAATTTTTTTACTTGCTTTTTTACCAACCTGTTTCACAATAGTAGCCAAAGAAATAATGCGGACATGAGCATCTTTCTCTTCCGTTTTCTACATTGCAGGTTCCTCCATTTTTACATGGATTTGGTTCGCATGAAATGTGATCTTAATAAATATCATTGTAAATTGATTCATTTGGCGTAATACAGCTACTCATACTACAATTTTAAATCGCTCATAATCTCACTATTTATCTATAATATTATACCACTGGACGAATGGACTGCATGGACGACTAAGAACAAATAAGTGAAAAAATTCAAATAATACATTTTTTATATATTTCACTCTACATTCGGGTATTGCTGAAATAAAATTACTCAACCGGGTAATTGAAATAGACTACACAACATAACTGTTTTTAGAATGGTTAGATACGTTCATTTACCTAAATTCTATCGAAGTAGTGTCACAAATCATTTTTCCTTCTAATGCAATCAATATAATTATGGAATACACTTACTTCGTTGGCATACAAACGGAAGAAGTGAATTGTCGCAATTAGTAACTTTCCATCTATATTTATTCCCGAAGTGTACATCGGGTGTGCTGTCAACAACTACACAATCCCCTGCATTACGTCGATTACCAGTCGCCCAATGTCTATCATTGTGATTTTTCCAACCATTAGGTAGGTTGGACCGTGGTTCTTCTCCCTTCCAATCCCAAAGAAATTCTTTTTCCCATGTCCATTTACCCTTATACTTTTTTTTTAAACCAATACGAAGTTGAAAATCTCTCCCTGAAATTCTATGCAATGCTTCTTCAAATTTTTCTCGAACAGTCTGACTGTATAAAATTGCTAGATCTGCATTTATACTATGGCATAGATTCTGTGCATCCTCGTAGTTTGAACGAATATCGTTTTGAAGATATACCAAGTATTGTATTCCATCATATACCGTCGTGGAAGTTGGTTGAATTTCTGAGCCAAGATAAATTATTAATACAGTTTGATCCTAATACATACCGCAATAGGCTACTTAGTTTTAGTTTTGGTTCTTTTCAATATTCAGAGTGCTGAATATTTTATTGAAATCATTTATTTCAGTATATGTTGTTTTATACAGTATTTATTTTATAATGCCAAAATTGTGTTTGAATTACTTAAGCATTTATTTACAATACATATAGTCAATGAAATATGGGTATTTGAGGCCAGTAATTGAATCCTTCCCGCTTCGATAGACATTAACAACGTTATTACATTTTATGGCAGGTGTATTGAACTTCGTTTAATTTTAATATCTCTAACGTACAATGCTAACACAATTAGATACACACGCTTACCAAAAAGCCATCAAATTTATACCGATTAGATATATACAGTATGTAGATATTCGTCCCGAGTCATTCAATGCGTCTGTTTGTGCAACGAGAGCAACTTAATAAACTTTTAATATGAAACTGATTTCTATTAGGCGCAAGTTAGAATGGAAAATGAAAAAATAAGCTTAATTTTTTTCTAACCTGTACAAATAGGCGTTTCTGTCCATTGCCTTGTAGCATGCTCACAGGCGACAATTGTGTTTCCAATAATATGATGCAATTTATTACAGGTAAATCGCACAACCTTGTGATTGGAATTGTTTTGCATTTTACAATTTTCAGGAATTACAGGAAAGCGAGTGCAAGTTCCTAGTTCTGTGTTTCAATGTTAAGAATGGAATAGTGTTATACAATATATAAATATATTCGATAATTTAATGTTAAATTTAAACGAACATGGAACAAATTTTAATATGTTAAAATATCGGTATTTTTATGCAATAGACCAAAAGTAACATTTTTATATGCCACAGTTGATAACTACAAAAATGATCGCAAACCAATATCATTTTAAAGTTCATATACGATTGCATTAAAAAATTGAGAACAAAGAACTCGTAATGAAAAATCTATAAACAAGAAATTCACCTGATGCCGTTTTGCTCTGATAATTCAAACAAACTCTAGAATTTAAAACAACAAACGTACATTCAATGCAAAATTTTATTGCAACTTACGCCGGCAAATTGGCTGCTTAGTATAAGTTGTATCGCTCTTGCATTTAATCGTTCTGTTTTCAACCATTGACCAACCACTTCTGCAACCTGCATAGGTGAAGCTATCGCCATAATAAAGAGGATCAGGGTAGTTCGATGAATAATAATGAGGAATCCTAGGTATAGCTCCGCAAGTAATTCCTGTGAACAGTAAAGTAACTAACTAATTACGCATGACGCACGGACATAAGTTCAAGAAAATAGACAATACCTGAGACTTCTAGACATTTAAAACTGTTCATTTAATAATAAAACAAAAAAAATAAAAAGCACTCAATTCGAAATAGCGGAAAAATCTTGGACAAAGACACAATCTCACAAAACTGGACAATTTAAAATCAATGAGGTAAGGAGGCCTCACATAAAAGTTACAGGAGCCTTGTGACTATTACGTAAAAGTTAAAGGAACACAGCACCGAATACACAGCGATACTTCATACAAGTAAATGTTATAACTTTTTCAATTGTTTATTGAGGAATAATGTTGAAGTTTGTCTAATTCAATAATCCACTTATTTTCTTTTCTATATTTGAAATTCATCAGAGAGAAATTTTCACGAAACTAATTATAGATAATAAATATAATTCGCAAAACAAAAACTTACTCTGACAATTTGGAATATTTCTATTATTTCTATTCCATGTATACAATCCTGTGCAAGTTAGGAACGGGTCATCGGTATTCAATTCATATCCTTCAACGCATTTTAGTTTGATAGTGACGCCTTTGTTATATGTTGTCTGCGGAAAAACAACGTCTGGCTTTTCATTGCCACTACTGTCGAAGGTACAGTATGGTTCTGCCAATATAATCAATGTAAAAATTATATTCATCAAACGAATTAGTAAAGCTTGTAAATGCCTATTAAAGTTTCTCTGTTCACGTAAATTCAATTATTTCAAATATTAAGTCTGAAAATAACTAAAAAATACCGAAAGTACAATCAGTGTATACATACTGATGCAATCAGATAACTCGCCCGACCACTGTCCGTCAAGTTGACATCTTCTATTCAATTGTGTGGTATATATTGCAGGATTCATATAAAATCCAACATAGCAACTGAATGTAGCTTTGTCATTGGCAATCCATCGAGTATTAGTCGAAACAAGACGTTGATTTTTACCCAGCTTGGGTGGTGCGCATGTGACAACTACAAATGAAGTAATATAGAAACATGATGAATGATTAAAAAAGTGGATATTTCTAGTTTATAAAGGTTTTGCAGTGAACTGAATTATTTTTAAATTGCAAAAGATTTATTATTGAGATAATATAATAACCTTCACACGCCAATTTTTGTGGATTCGTATTCCATTCACTTCTTCCGCTCCCATCAGTGTTTGCTTCGCAAGTAACCTCAACCCGTGAAATAACATTGGAGGAATGACTAAATTTATAGCCACTATAACATTCATAAACAGCTGTTCTTCCAGGAAGATACATTCCTCTGTCTCGTTCGCTTAATTTGCCATCTTTAATGCGTTCTGGTAGTTCTGGACATTTTCTGTCTGTTATAAATATTGCGAATAAAAATGTAAAAATGTTGACCGTAGCCTCCTAATTAAATCATCTTTGTTAAAAAATTTCTAATTTAAAGCCGCAACTGCGAACGTTTCCTGAAATTTCTGAACTTAATGCGTTATGGCTTGAGATGGATCGTAGATAGTTGTTTAGTGAAGATTAAGCGGAAGGAGAAAAGCATTATACACGAGGTAATTGGGTGGGGAGGAAATATGGAGATTTGGAAGTAAAACGAATTAGGGCGAGGGGACAGTGAACATGTTGAGGAATGAGAGAGTAGAAAGAAGAAAGGTGGACTTTTTCTAATCTCAATGCTATCGAATGAATGTACGTGAACTTGCTTGAATTTTTTTTTAAAAAGATACCAACTTTTTATAGTCCGAAACATGCAGAGAGCGATAATATGTAGTACCTATATCCTAATAAAATAGAAACACTTGCCAATATCACACACGAATCCTGTAAAATCCACAGTGCAAATACAAGAAAAGGTGCGTTTTCGATTTACACACGTTCCTCCATTGTTACAAGGCATTCTTAGGCAGTGATTATCTGAAAAAATAAACAATTTTGTTTCAACAGAAGTGTTTGATAAATAATACGACGTGTTGGAATTGCTCATCTATTTTTAAATTCGTCAATAAGATATCAAAAGCTTTCCTAATGTGATCTCGAAAGTATACGTCTTGTGGATAGAAGCGATTAACATTGCGATAAATAGGGACAACACTGACCACAGGTTCCTTCGTACACGGCTACGTTATCTAAATAGACAATATTCTCTGCCTTGAACTGGAACTGGATTGCGTTTTCTAACTTAATTTCCACAAGTGCATCCAACCACACGCCAGTAATTTCTCGTGGATGAGTCTGCCAAAATTTATGCATGCTTCCTAGTGCTCTAAAAACAAATAAAATGATTCAACAGAAGGCAATCGTGTAAGGTAGCGGACAAATTTATTGCAATGTTTATCTTTCATAATTTTATACACAATGTTCTAGCAGCTTATTCAAGTAGTCCAGCAGAACAGCAATACTAAGGCCACTATTAAATGGTGATATTGATGGATTTTTAGGATTTGTCTAATTTAAACCTTCCCACTGTTCCACTTACTTTTGAACGAGCAGCGAAGAATCGCGCGTTATCTTGTAGTCAAATTCCAAACATATATGAGATTGACTTGTCCAGTCCGGCGGAATTCTCATCGATACCAGGTATGCAGTACCAGAATTCGACTGAAGCAAACGACCTGGACATGAATAGATATGTTGCCGTAATTTATGTGCAACATATTTGACAATATTGGTTAAATTCGCCTGTCTTCAGTAGGTAGTACGAGTTTCTTGAACGGGCTAAATGATTACATTTAACGGCAACATATGGCAGATTGAAATAGTTCACGACAGCTTTATAAAGACAATCTATATTTTGAATTTAAATTAAACAATACTAGCATGTAATTTTAAGACTAAAAAGTCTAGTTAAAATACTAAAACACTGGTATATTTCAAGAATATTATATTTGTCCATCGAATTGAACTAGCTCGTACAATAATAAACGAGAAACAATGTTAGAATTGAAAGGCGCTACTTCTCACTCACCTCGCAAAACATCTTGTGAATCTCTATTCGTCCACTTATAATGAACAATCGTGAATCCACATGTGGGGTAGTCAAAACTGTCAAAGTCACAAGATGGATCGACTACAAAATACGAGAATATCGGTTGGAAACCGAAGACTTATCGATCGATAGTTAGGGGATCCCCCAAAACAGAAACTGCAGTTTCGATTCATCCGCTCTTGTAACTTGCGCACTGCGCATCGCACACACACGCTCGGCGGGTCTCAAAATTCTCTCGCTTTACAAAAATCTAGATCACTATATCAATAATTGATTGATAACTCGCTAATTATACGACATAATTCGCCTAAAATCAATGGGCTTCTGGTCCGAGATAAGATGAATGCACATGCAAAATCTGGAGCAGATTCAATCTCGCTTCCGTGAGATATGGCGTGCATCTAACAGACATACAGACATACAGACAAATACCTATCAACATACTTACCGATTAAAATCGATAAGTAATAAAATCGATAAGTAATGAGTAAATAAACCTGTAGTTACGTACATTTGCATTGGGAAATTCTCATATAGAATTACACTGTTATTAGAAGTCAATTACAATAATGTCTGGCTAATTATACTGCTCATTTTCCTATAATTTTGCGTTGTGTTAGTGTATAAATATACATATTGAGTGCGAGAATAAAAATGATTAAATTAGTATACGGTACTTAGAAGTTTGAGAAAGTATATTCAATGTATTAGTGAGTGTGGTAAACTCTAAAATATTTCCGTGTTGCACATTTGAACACATTTATTTGAAAAAGTTTACCACCTATGATATTATTCTAAACACACCTATGCAGCTTGAGTTTGTGCTACTCCAGTTTTCATTTTCTGTGCAACGACTATATCTCGGGCCTTTCAACATGTATCCTCTATTACAGGCATAACTTATTTCATTTCCGTATTCAAACCTAAGCAACGCGAGATCTGGTATTTCCCCATTTTCTGGCTCTTCAGGTCGAGGACAAGATATTACTGAAAATATGATTAAATTAAACAGTACACATGTAAGCCATTGCCATCAACTAGAGCAATTTTTGAATAAAGGAACTATTTAGAGTCGAAAGACAGCACAAATTGGGGAATTACTAAACAAGTTGATCTTCAAAAACTACTTTGAAGTACAATGTTTACTCGAACAAAATAAAATATAGTTTGCCACAACGAGTTTCCTTTCACGACAACCATAGCTGTCCAAATTTAGTCAAAATTTAATTTTGTATCTGATTGGTTTATTTCATAAGTCTTAGATTTTTTATTTTATGTGCCCGAGTTATGGCCTGTAAAACTATTTAATATTGCCCTGTGAAACCACAAATTGCAATAGGTGACATAGTTATCGAACTTAGCAATGTCCGAAGTTATTGAAAATAAAATTTATAAAAATAGAAACTTTATTTTTCCTGTGAGCTATTCTGAAAATTTATACTTAAACATGATGGGAGTCTCCCATTCCATTCTCCGAATCTTGATCCGCTATCCCCGGCGTAACATCGCATCGACAGTCCAACCTCACTCAATTTGTATCCTAAAAACATGCAAATACATAAAATAAAATTGCTTAAAATTATATCGTGTTTATGTGAAGCCAATATTGCATCATTTCCCTGAAAAAAACGGCTAACGATTACAGCTGACTAGTCTATGAATGAAAAATTGAATACTTTTATAATGTTTACATTAACAAAAAAAACTCATTTATAGACATCGTATTGAAATATTTTTCAATGAAGTAGAAAATAGTTATGTTTCAAATGCATTACTAATCATATAAATATGATCTGAATTTTGTTTTATTCATATTCGAAAGATAATATTTTGCTCAAAGTCTCAAAGCCTAAGGAGAAATTATACGCGATTCCGTAGAATTTCTTTTGGAAGAAGAGTCACAAATGTGTTATTATAAAAATTAGGGAAACATGAAATTGAGGAAAAACTCATTTTTGAGGCAGAAGGAACCGCCACAATTGCAGATATATATTCATATATATATATAGATTGTTAAAATTTCGTAATTTACTTAGGAATAACATAAATAAATTTCGTCTTTATATTCTTTTGGAAGTTTCCTGGAACACACCCACCCTTTTTGCATTCCACTGTTGCTGTTGTACCAAAAACAGGCCCATCACCAATGGAGTAATGAATAGTGCCATGGCGAACTGGTACGATGCTTTCACACATCTTTCTAAAACATCGATATTTGACAACGGACCATTTTGCGGTTTCCAAACACGTTCTGCTTGAGTCACCAGTCATGTAGTATCCTGAAAAACAAATAAATTTAATACAGAACAACGTTCTCCCTTTCGCTGAATTACTTTTGCCGCGTTGTTGCTGGCGTTGATTGAAAAAAATCAAGTCTACAATTACTCGAACAATTGATTTCTAATTTGGTTCCTGTTTTTTAAGAAGGAATAAGTTTCTTTAGGGATATTACCTGTTAATTGGAATATTACCTTTGTAAAATTAGGCATGCTGGTCTCAAAATTTTATCCCCAGACACTCAAACTGTTTCATTATGATGCACGAGAACACTGTTTCTATATATATTTGACAGTTCCGGCATTACGCCTCCCCGATAGTTAACGCCTGGTATATTGAGATATTAGCAATAACTTTATAATTGTGTTACAATGAACAAATATTATCGGAGGTTTTCTCGAGTTGCAAAATTGTAGAGTTTCTTGATAAAACGCAGAACCAAAAAGACAAATACCGAAATGTGAGAACAAGAGATATCCTCAACCACCAATCGAATAGATCAGGGTGGTCCAAGGTTGTCGGCTCCGCGGGCCACAAAAATATTTTAGCATTGTTCGCGGGCCACAATAGTGCCAAGAATAGGTAAACAGTGCAATACAAAACAAACACTTTTATTGTGCAATCACATAGTTATCATGCATAGCCATTCTAGGCTAATAGAATCCGCATTCAGTTTTTAGTTTTCTATGATGTCTATATTGTTAGCATATTCCCGACCAAAAAGTTAGTAAGCCAGATAACAATTTAGACTGCCAAGCACATCATTCAACTTCGCCAGTTTCCCCAGCTAGCCATAACATTATTTAATTCAGTGACATTAGTGATGACAATATATCAAAAGGTTTTTCTGATTAATTTTATGACGAAACAACACGAGATGCGATTTTTTGATTACTCTCCGAATATGACGCGGGCCACAGATAATGAAGCGGCGGTCCACATGTGGCCCGCGGGCCTGTGTTTGGACCACCCTGGAATAGATACTGGATGGCTTAGTATATATATATAGTCATGAAAGTTTTTCTTCGTGAATTGCATTGGTAGTATTGAAAACTAATCTGATTGTATTTTTGCGAATGTCATTTGGGCATATTCAAATTTGAATAAAAATATATCACCAGAATCGCATGAAAAAATGTAACTTCTTCCTTCGAGGAATTCGGTTTCACCATTTGTTGGATACGAGTGTGGCTCATCGGGTTCTTCGCATGGTCCTAGAGTAAGTGATTTAGTAATATTAAGATTAATTTGGTTGAACAAGGTCAATGTTGAGGCTACACTAATTCCTATTTTATTTGCATGCAATAATATTCATTCATATTTGGTATGAAAAAGGCTCTATTGCGAACCAAAGGCCCATAGATGCCTAGATGTCTATAAAAATATATATTAGGATTGATAAAATGAAATCGAAGTATCATTTTTATGGCAGCATAGTGTCCAGTAAAAAAACATTACCTTACTACAATAACAGTATTGAATGGATTTACTTCAAGTGTTCCACAACTTCCAGACGCATGGTCAAAATGATGCATGGTACAGAAAAAGTTGGGAATCACTGCTTTATCGAAAAATCTTTTGTCTTACAAAGTTATCAAGGCGGACATGCGACTCAGTTACAAGCATAGGATGAATTAAATAATTAATTACTTTTGCAACTAGGAGGTCCAGGATACCACACCTTGTCTGAATGACAAGTTCGGACGTTCTCACCATCAAGTACGTAACCATCATTACATGAATAGTAAGCTTCCGCCATCCAGAGTGTATGCTCGCGTTCTACTCTACCATTTGCGATACTTTCAGGCTCTTCACAGTCACTTCCTAAAGAGACATTCAGCGCTTTTTCATATTAATAAATGTTGTTTATTTTTCTTGTCATATATAAATGAACTATTGTAGTTTACTGAATTAAATATATTTCAGTAAATAACACTTAAAACGCACAATACACGTCTTTTAAACAATGATTTGAAACAATTATTATTTTATTTCGTTTTGTAACTGATGGAAATAGGGTTTATGCGATAGTTTACTACTGAGCACGATGATAAGATGAAGAATAATTGCTATACTTACGATTATAAAAGCATGACATTCCGCACGGACCATCACATTGACATAGTTTCTTTCCTTTACATTCAGAACTATCAAGACATGGCTTACGACATTTTCTACCGTACTCTATCAATGATTCTTGGTAAACGCATTCGGCACTTCCAAATACTCCAGTTTCTGAATCGATTTATAAACAGTTGAAATGAAACCGAAACAAATTTAATATTAGTGCAATCAAATAAATATTGCTTGAATATCTCATACATTACTGACTAAATTATAAACAATTTTCAGTTGGTGTTAATCACACATTTCTATGAATTTAATTAATTATTCGATTTCAAACTAACTTGTACTTACCCAATACAAAAATACAAATTGCAAAAATAGCTAAGAAAAGTTTTATGCTCATTTCAATAGGTTGTATTTGTAGACTGAAAAATATTAATAAATTACTGTTATAAACTATAACACATTATCTAAATTCTAAATAATAACATCAAATAATATTCATTTTTTATCCCATTTCAATCATATGATTCATTTTCCAATGAATAGTTAGTTTTGCCATTCTGACTAATAATCATAAATTTTTGCAGGTAATCATCTTCTAGGAACTACATGAAATGATGAAACGTTATAATGACGTTAACTGTGACAACAATATAACATTTCTGACTACCTCAGTTACATTAATCTGACTAGGTATATCCTTTCCATTTTTTTCAATATGTCAATCATTGTTGTAGTCAGTTTTCAGGAAGTAATAATACACTTGGCATATGCGTTATGCACATTAAAAAAAAACAAATGTCGTTTATGAGAATGTAGTTCAAAAGGCAATCGATAAAATTACATCCCGTACGCATACTTTACTTGAGACTTAAATATATTGCTCCAGTTCTCAGAACCTCCAATGCTATTGGCGATAATTGCTTCCTTTTTTGTTAAAGAATTTATTTAATCCGGACCATGCAAAAAGTAACAATCTATAAAAAAATTTGCAATATTTATTTGTCTCGCCCAAGCATAAATGCAAACAATGCAAACATTATCGCTTAGCCATGTTAGATGGCAATTAGTAGCTCTCCCAATGGTTTCAAACGTCACGAGTTACCTAGGTTTTGTATCATTGTATCATTGTATTGACAGTATCATAAAAATTCATTGATTAAACTCAAATATATTTCTTCCTAGTGATAACTTTAGCAATTGAATCGAATATATAAGCTGGTTAATTTTTTTGATTTAAGGTTGGTGGTTTTTACTTGAATTAGAAATTATTTACCGAACATTTGAGGTATTATTATAAATAAATATCTGTAGAGAGCGGGCTTCCTGCCGGTTCCCGATATGTTCCAAAATTTTATCTCAATTGCAAAATGCAAGAAAATGGTGGCTTGTTCATTTATTTTGCAAGATTTAACTGCTATTAATTAGTGAACCAAACTTAGTCAGAGGTCCTACGCCAATTTTGAGATCTGAACGGCTGGATGCCATTGGCACAGTTTTGGATATCGCTTGAAAAAGAATATCCTGAGCGCAGTGTAATATATTTGCACCTACCCAATTTAGCATCCCTATATGGATTCCACTCGCGGACATTTGCACCAATAAACATTTGCATCCATGGACGTACTTAATACGCAGAAAATAATGTTGCTTTATTTCAGTTCATGGAAACACTTTTGTAAGTTAATTTAAGTAAAGAGACATGTCGGGAATTTCAATCGTATTTTTCAACTCCACTGCAAAAAGTGACAGAGGTATTATGGTGTAAGCATTAATTACATATGTCCTAATTTTTTATGGTAAATGCAATCCGATGTAATTACTGTAGATAGGAAGGATATGAGGTTTAATTCTATATCTCAAGGTAAAATTGGCCTGAATACACTTAATCTATCCAATCATAATGCAGCAGTCTCTGGATATGTGGCTTCTTCCAAATCACAATGCAAATCAGACTTGGGGCCAAAAATCCTGGTTAACTTTTAAGGGATTAGATTTTAGAGGCTCTAAGTACATAAGACTTTGGTGCCTTATGTATAAAAAAAATAAATGAATGTAACTGGTGTTTCGTTTTGTCTGAAATTGAATAAGTAAGTTTCATTATTCATTACTCATTGAAGGCCAAATTATGATTGATTTATATATTTTTGGAAAATAGTCAACAAATTCATTAGCACAATAGAGCAAGAAAAAATAGAGTCAGTCTAGCGTTGTAACCCAAAGTAATACCTTCAGTGAAATTGAATATTGACAGTATTACGGTGACATGCTATTTGACCATTTAACGACTGATGCTTTTTAACAGTATTGAAGTTACGATAAAATGCTATTTGGATGTTCGTACGGTAAAATGCTATTGATTGTTTTCATTGCCTTGAAATAAGCCTGAATACGACTTTGTTTGAGCATCATTGGTATGTAGTTTAGGAAATTACCGCGTAATGTTTCAAAATGTATCGCAATCAATAAAAATTAATTTATAATTGATTTATGGACATTTACACCCATGGAGATTAGCACGCAAGGACATTTGCGACAAGATACATTTGTCCCCACCGACATTAGAACACATAATATTTGCACCCGCCGACATTTGCATCCACAGAGGGTGAACCTATAGTCAATTGAATCCATCGTCAGTTAACATTGATCAGCAACATTCCCACCCTACCGCCAGTCGTGTATAAATAAATGACCCCTTTCAATTATTTAATTTCCCCGTTTTTATCTAGATTGAGTTTGAAACATTAACGTAGAAGTACATAAATGTACTTTTTTAATTCTCATCTTGTGTATACACACAGTATACACACAAAATCCACGGATTGTTGAGTGAAACTTTGTAATACGTCGTTTCCAGCATGCCTCATACGCTGGTCGTGATTCACTGACATAGATATTTATTATAAAAATAATATGAAGAATATATGTCATTTTCCGATTTATATGAGAAATCATGTGGCGGAGCTGAATGGAGAGAATTTTGAAATTTTGGATCTCTTCATTCTCGTTTGAAAAGGTATCAACATTTTAAAAGACCAAAACAGAGCGACGTAAAGAAACATCTTTCATTGTATACAATCTCATCCTGATTACTTTTTTCATTAGAATTGGCTCGATAGAAGCTTGCCAGGTTGTCAAACAACATGGCGGTCGAGCTCGGGGGAATGTTTGTGATAACAACACACAACCTTTGAATATGATTGAGTATATTATACTACATAAATATTACATAATAACAACATGAAACGACACGCATAGATTTTGATTAATTTTTCTACTAATTCTGGTAAAAATCCTTTGAGACATTCCTATAGAGACAAAATTAAAGGTCACAGTAATAGTAGAGAAGCTTGATCATTTTCTTTGAAAAAACAGGTTTTTATTGTAGCATCATTTTGTTCTAGCTGATTTAGGGATCTTGGTAAAAGAATGCTCTGTCACATTACACCTTCCTTCTCATCCCATTTTTATTCGGTTTAAAACATCATCTTTCAAATTGTATGGCAAGATATTTTGAATACTTGCCAAAGAATTTATTTCGCTGACTTTTTATAAAACAATAGCTTTTCCTTATCGATATATGATGGGTAATAAGAAAATACACTCGATGACAAATGGTTTGAATTGCAGAAAATATCATACCCATAACCAATTGAAAATGCACGATTTTATCGGCGAATCTTACTATTCAGATATAAACCAGCATGAGTTTCATCAGTAGCACTATTTTGCAATGAATCAACACAATCGAATGAACCAATGTAAAATTGTTCTGTACTAATTGTGATATTAATTACTGGGGTCTGGTGATCTCATGATCATCAGGTGAACAGCTTTCATGGACTTTGTTATTACTTGAATGAAATTTTCTATCACATACATCAAAAGTTCGCTTCAGTCCTCAGAATGCAAATCGTGTTTATATGCACACATAGGTAACCAGTTGATGATTTTTTTTATTGAGTGAATAAGTACAAAGGAAGCCAAAAAATAACGTGCATATGCTCATAAATGTCGAATGAGGCTCTCGAAATATTTTTTTAACACCAACTCCTGTAAAGTCATGCGCCCTCCCATAGTCCGCAATCAACGTTCTGGATAATTACATAATTATTTTATACTAATCCCCATTTCACAATTATAAAAGCCACCAAATAAAGAATATCCCACATTTACTGTGGTGCATACTGCGATTTTACCAACAGCAAAATACGAAGTTCATAGACTTCTGCAGCGTGGCAATAAATTTATTTATATTGGGTAAAAACTAAGGTCATATCTTGAAAAATTTACATCACGAAGAATTATTGGCAAAAATCCGATTAATGGTTTACGATTGTAAGTGCGAAATATCGATCGAATTATTTTTTGAATTGAACTAATTTGTGTGTTTTTGCTGCATGTACATACTCATTCACATCTAGATAAAAAACGATGGTAAAATTCCAACTAATCTCCAGCTCAAGAAATATGTAAATAGAAATATCGATGTCAGGCAATGGCATAAAAATATAAAGGTAAAAATTATGTCGTTAAGATATGAAATATTAAGTGGGATGCCAGAAACTTCCAAATCTTCAAGTTAGCAATGTATGTTGGTATAGCCTGCTTCGATATGCTACTATTTCCATTCTCTGGAAAAATTAAAAATTGTGGTATTATATTTTGTGTAATTTTGATTTTTATTATGCTGTTTAGAAAATAGTAACGTGACTTTACTAGAATTAAAAAATAATAAAAATAAGCATAGTTCGTTACCGAATCTATCCAGTACCAGCTTCACAATTGTTTCCATGAAGACGAATCAATACCCCGGTTGTGTTTACCAAAAATTAGAAGACATAAAGACATATACTGTTTTATATGAATCGAATATATAATTATTCTGTTTGATAGAGATTTATTACAGAACATATGCATATAGAGAGTAAATGGACGATCAACTAACGATCAAATAGTAACGTGACTTTATTAGAATTAAAAATAATAAAAATAAGCATTGTTCGTTACTGAATCTATCCAGTACCAGCTTCACAATTGTTTCCATAAAGACGAATCAATACCCCGGTTGTGTTTATTAAAAATTAGATGACATAAAGACATATACTGTTTTATATGGATCAAATATATAATTATTCTGCTTGATAGAGATTTATTACAAAACAGATCCATATGGAGAGTAAATAGACGATCAACTAACGATTAAACACCAATTCCAAAGCAGCTCAAAGCAAAGATGTTTTGAGGGAAGGTATGTATATGCACTTACGGAAAAACAAAATAATATCAATACTCATACAAAAACAAACAATAATTACAAACAATTTATACTTTTCAAGTTTAAAGCTACCTGTGCGCTACATGTGAAATCAGTATTATTTACAGTAGGCTAAATTATATGTAAGACAATGCGACATTTTGTGTGATATGATGTCATTCATTCCATTCAATTTTTGCATTTCTTTCATTCTAGTTTGATGCTTAAAACAACCGACAAAACTACTTTGTGGGAAACCCCCCTAATGCTTCTAGTGAATTATTTATTGCATGTGTGTGAGTTTATTTACAATCTCTTCATCAATTGATCTTGCTGATCTTGAGGAGGGCCCTGAGCAACGTTGTTTCAATGAACTCCATTTGCCGTCACTTCTACACTCTGTGTAAGAATCGTCAAAAATTAAGTTGCAGTGTGCATTGATTTCTTCACCCGTAGAATAAAACGTTTTAAATAAATCACTCCAGTAACATCCATCGTGAAGAAGCGGGATGTTTCCATCAGAACAACCTGAATTGAAATACGAATACTTGTCTTTTGTCAATCGATTATTGTATCCAATCTAGATTGTTTATGTTTAACTGGATTAGCCGATTAACGTCAAAAAGCTGTATATAACTGTTTGGGAAACAAAAGACGAACGTACGCCTTTGACCAAAGCAGAAAGAACTAAGCTGTTCCCCATGAGTGAAATTGGAAAGACCAAACAACAAATCCTATTATAAACTTTCAAGGCAGTGGTTTGAGACTTCTCTATTGACCAACGTCCATAACTATTTGTTTTGAATAGGCTGATTCTGTTCAATTCCTGGTTACGTTATGTTATTTGGAAGAAAATTAATTTTATGTTGCGATAATTAACAATACCATTAAATTCGTGAAGCTTACCACTCAGTGAATTTACTGGAATACTCAATTTTTTAAGTTCACGTATCAATGGAGCAACTGTTGATTCAAGTTGGTTTAAGCTAGTTTCCATAAACACGCCGGCATCAGATAAAAGCCCAGAAGCCATTTTCTAAAAAAAAAATGAATTGGGAAAAAATGAACAAGCAATAGTTGGTAAAATTATTTTTAAAGTTTGTTTGGCGCCCCTTCCTAACCAATCACACAGTGAAAATTAATACATTATAGATGCAAACTAGATACATTTTCACCTGAATATCACTCTTTTTTTCTCCTATCCCAACTATAAAAGTGTTTATATCTAGATGCCTGGAACACGCTGATTCTTTCGAAATGTCTGGCAACCGGGAAAGCATGTAAAGTGAGCCGGGATAACCGGGAAAACTTGAAAAGTAAGAATTTTATTCAATTAGTTATGTATAATAGATTTGCATATGACATATTGAGGCTTTTAGAAGATTTAATGTCAAATTTTAGCAGGTATATTGTGAACTTTAATTTTCATATGGAAAGGAAGGAGAATAAACTGGTCATTTTTTTTTTGAAGAATTCTTAAGATCACTGCAGTCGCACAAGTGACTAGACAGATCACAAATTATTTCACCAAATAGGATCATGGTATAATTTGACGTAGCAATAAAAGAAATAAAATGAAATCTAACCTCTGAAACAAAGTGATCATCGATTTTATAGCATTATGACGACTATCAGTCAACATGATGTTTCTTGATTTTTCGATAGCCGAAGATGACAGAAAATCAAAATGAATGTGACGGGAGTCATATTTCAATTTCATCTGATCCACTTTGATCTATCATATAGATATAATCTTGATGCTATATATTTGTAGCAAGCACAAAAACTATATCATTAAGGACTGTCACAATGCTATTGTATATCAAGGGATATGTGGTATGCTCGATAGTTGGTAATATTATCCATTTGCTATGCTAGTAGTGGATTCTTTCAATGTTAACTATGATTTTTGAAAGAAATAAGGTCTTGGAAGATCTTGATCACAAAACATTCGACATATTTATTTATGTGTATGAAATACTCAGGAAATTTGATCAAGCTAGTTTCTATCGAAAAGTTGGCCTCCGCCAAATGTCTAAAATTCTGGCTCTCAAGAATTGAATTTTGTATTATATAATCACTTTTTCTCGTGGAAACACGTGAATTACAGAGTTTCTGGTTGCGTATGAAATGAGCATCTTCCCCATCAATCTATACCCGTGACACTAAGATAAAAAAAAAACATGCACATGTGATTTTTTTGACATTGGATAAAAAAAACTTCCCCAGCAATAATTGTATACTTGGATCACCCTGATAAAGACAGTAATGGAAACAATAAAATATCTCACGTCAAACTGTTCTTGGGTTCTATATGGCACTTTCATAATTTTCAAGGTTCCAGAATTCCACTTCCTGTTAACGGTATACCAAACTTCAAAATACTGAACAACTAATATTTGCAGATCGAAAAATGTTGAGAGGCCATGTGCAACATTTTTCAGCCAATATTTCATCGAATTGATATTACTGTCGGAGTGTTCCATTGAAGCAGGCAACATGATCATCAAATCCATTTTTTGGTTGTTTTCTGAAAAAGATGTAACTTTCATGCTTGTTCCAGCTTCCGACCATTTTTCTCGTTTAATGCGTTGTGGAAACCTTGCTTATATTTAAACAAGCACAAATTTTCTTTAAAAAAAAGTTAAAATGTTCACTTCTGTATTCGTATTGTCATCGATATTTAGAATTTTGAAATTGGTAAAGTTTAAAGTAATCAGATCATATTATTGGTTATTACCATTCTGATAAATTCTTTGTATTTCCCAATGATTATTATTATCCTGAAAATAATATGTAGTTCGATCTACTTCTTTATAAGTGGGTGAAATAAAGTTTCAAACACCTCTTAATTTTGTGATCACACTTCAATTCCTTACCTAAACAAAATTGATATGATAATGTATATGATAATTTATGGATATTCGAATACAATTTTGGGTACTCCTGAAGTATGCGCACCATGCGCACCAACCTGAAATCAGGTTGTGTACCCGGTTAAGGTTCAGGTTATGCGACATCTTGGTGCGCATACTTCAGGAGTACCCAAAATTGTATTCGAATATCCATGATTTATCATATACAATCCCAAATTTAGAATCACAAAAAAGAAAAAGATGGGAGCACGATTACTAGTAGCACTCACCTAAACATAAGCCGCATGTCCTTTTGCAGTTTGCAATCACGTAATCATTGTCACAATGAGCTTTCCATACCGGACAATTACTTCGAACATCCACACAATCTAACATTAGAAATAGTAGCCGAAATATTAAATAAACAACACAGCCTATATATATATATATACATTTGTGCAAGAAATACAAGTGGACCTATAGATCGTTTTTTTAATTCTCGTCGACCAATCAGTTGTCACTCTTCAGTAATTAGAAATGGATAAAAAACTTATAAAGGCTACTTACTATATTTAGTTTTTATCAATTTACTGTAGGTCCCTTGGGACCCGAAAATTCACCTAAAATTTTGCTATTTTCATCTTACTCCAGTGACAACGCTTTTACCGGTATCTACCGTATGTAAGTTGTTGGGGCGCTCTGACTTGACTTGCAATTAGAATTTGAGCATATAACAGATTTTAGTGTAGTGTAAGTCGTGTAGCACTACGATTGGACATTCATGACCGCATATCTGAGAATTGCTCTCTTGTGGTATATGATATTGAAATGTATTCCATTGGGTAAAATAAACATCGCAATGATTGTAAAAGTTTTAAAATTTGTATGTTCATGTGGTTCATCTATTATTTAAATGCTTTCAATCACATCCCCCCCCCCAAAATGCAGGTTTGCCACAATATTTGAAAACAGCTGTCTAGTAAATTTTATTATCAATATAAGTATCGAAATTTAAAATAAACCAATTTGTTCTTTTCGGAAATTTTTGGCATGCTATTTTTTGCGGACTTTATACGTCATTGCAGTAGAAATTTATTCTTATCCAGCCACTCCCATGTCAAATTTTCAAAATATTTTTAATTCGCATTTGTCACCTAACCAAGATGGCTTGAAAGGGCATTGAAGGCTTGTTTGAATCGTATTATTGTCTTCTATACGCAAGAGGTCGCTAATGGACCGCTCCATGTACGAAATTTTGCGTACTTGAGAAAATTCGTCGACGATAGTAAACAAACATTTGAACCTCTCTCCTTTATGGCCGTTGAACCGTTACTTATGATAACTGCACTCTCTCGCAAGCGTAATAGTCGTTTCGCTGTTTGTTTTCCTAACAAAATGATATCACAGGCAATGGTGTAGCGCAAACAGCTGCCGAGTAACGAAGCGGTATATTTGTGAAGTCATTGCAGTTCAACGCAGTTCTTGTTTGTTTATTATTGTGCGGGTAATTATTAGTGCGTGTTTACGCGAGGAAAATGAGCGCTCGGCCGCGCAAAATACTTTCTTTCAAGTAATAACGTATTCCTTTGTTTGTTTCTTAGCTTTCGAATATTTACAGATATAAAACTCATAAAATTGGAAATATGCCAAAAAGGAGTGACGCACAACCCTGGTGCAAAAACACTCGGACAAGCCTATATCATGCTTCAAAAAGGCGCGAAAATGTCTTATTGGTTTTGTTTTGTGTTAAGTCCATAATAAGACATGTACATAAAGAATGTTAACTCTTACTGACCAATCATATTAGAGCCATATTTATATTGTAGTTAAGTCTCATGCCGGGGTAGCAGGGTTCCTAATGAGGTAACAATATTAAACAACGCCTGAATATATATTTTTTGAATACCACTGAGACAGCTCGAACACATTGAAATCATTGCTGGTATCAATTGAGAACATGAAATTGAATCCGACTGTAAAGAATCGCACCGCTGTATTATTTTTACCTGTAATTGATTCAGATGTGGAAGTGGAGGATTCTGTATTGGCAGTAGTAGTTGTAGGAGTTGTTGTAGTGGGCATGCCGATAGTAGTTGTTGAAGAATCAATTTCAGTTGTACTTGGTTGCACCTCTGTGATAATTATATATTTCGGTATGATGTTGCGGATGTACATAAAATGTTTTTGTTATACTGTATTTGTTCAACGAGTTTGTATTATAATATTAAACAATATTTACAATTAGAGAAGCAAATGTAAATCTCATATTCTCTTTGTATTCCACATCGAATATTATTCTGAAATTGACATTTAGTTCGATTAGTGAACTCTTTTTTAATCGGTGATTACCCCTTTCACTCTCCAATTTCCAATACCCACTCATTTTGTGTCGTGACACCAGATCTCAACTACTAACTAAAATGAAATTGTATTTAAATATCCATAAATTTGCATATATGTCAGTGGGGATCTTCAGTAAAATACATTACACATTTTTACCCGGTACAAATAATTTTAGCGTTATTAGCAAAATATATATACCACCCCCTAAATTTGGAAACACAAAAATGAAAAGCTGGAAGCTGATTACGATTACTAGCACTCACCTAAACATAGGCCGCAAGTCCTTTTGCAGTTTGCAATCACGTAATCATTGTCACAATGAGCTTTCCATGCCGGACAATTACTTCGAATATCCACACAATCTAACATTATAAATAGTAGCCGAAATGGTAAATAAACAACACAGCCTATATATATCTTTGTTTAAGAAATAAAAGTGAACCTATAGATCGTTTTTTTTTTTCAAATTCTTGTCGACCAATCAGTTGTCACTTTTCAGTATTTAGAAATGGATATCATACTTATAAAGGCTACTATATTTAGTTTTTATCAATTTTCTGTAAGTCCCATGGGACCTAAAAATTCACCAAAAATTTTGCTATTTTCATCCTACTTCAGTGACAACGCTTTTACCGGTATCTACCGTATGTAAATTGTTGGGGCGCTCTGACTTGACTTGCTATTAGAATTTGAGCACATAACAGATTTTAGTGTAGTGTAAGTCGTATAGCACTGCGATTGGACATTCATGACCGCATATCTGAGAATTGCTCTCTTGTGTTATATGATATTGAAATGTATTCCATTGGGTAAAATAAACATCGCAATGATTGTAAAAGTTTTAAAATTTGTATGTCCTTGTGGTTCATCTTTTATTCAAATGCTTCCAATCATATTTCCCACCATTAAAATAAATGCAGGTTTGCCACAATATTTGAAAAAAGGTGTTTAGTGAATTTTATTATCAATCAATTTGTTCTTTTCGGAAATTTTTGGCATGCTATTTTTTGAGGACTTCATACGTCATTGCAGTAGAAATTTATTTATCCTGTATTGCGCTAATGAAGTAGCAATATTCAACAACGCCTGAATATATATTTTTTGAATACTACTGAGGCCGCTCGAACACGTTAAAATCATTGCTTGTATCAAGTGAGAACATGAAATTGAATCCAATTGTAAAGAATCGCACGGCTGTATTATTTTTACCTGTGATTGATTCAGTGTAGGAAGTGGAGGATTCTGTATTGGCAGTAGTAGTTGTTGTTGTTGTAGTGGGCATACCGATAGTAGCCGTGCTTATAGTTGTTGAAGAATCAATTGCAGTTGTACTAACTTGCACCTCTGTGATAATTATATATTTTGGTATGATGTTGCAGATGTACATAAAAAGTTTTTGTTATACTGTATTTGTTCAACGAGTTGGTATTATAATATTAAACAATATTTACTATTAGAGAAGCAAATGTAAATCCCATATTTTCTTTGTATTCCACACCGATTATTATTCTGAAATTGACATGTAGTTCGATTAGTGATCTCTTTCTAGATCGGTGAACACCCCCTTCCCTCTCCAATTTTCAATACCCCCTCATTTTGTGTCGTGACACCAGATCTCAACTCCTAACCAAAATGAAATTGTATTTGAATATCCATAAATTTTCATATATGTCAGTGGGGATCTTTAGTAAAATACATTACACATTTTTATCCGGTACAAATAATTTTAGCGCTAATAGCAAAATATCTACCACCCCCTAAATTTGGAAACACAAAAATGGAAAGATGGGAGAAAATTACGATTACTAGCACTCACCTAAACATAGGCCGCAAGTCCTTTTGCAGTTTGCAATCACGTGATCACTGTCACAATAAGCTTTCCATACCGGACAATTTCTTCGAATATCCACACAATCTAACATTAGAAATAGTAGCCGAAATAGTGAATAAACAACACAACCTATGTATTTGTTTAATAAATATAAAGTGGAACTAGAGATCTTTTTTTTTTAATTCTTGTGGACACTTTTCAGTAAATAAAAATGTGTATTATACCCTTATAAACTTTTATATTTAGTTTTTATCAATTTTCTGCGAATCCCATGGGACCCGAAAATTCACCAAACATTTCTTTCCCTCTTACTTCAGTGACAACACTTTTGTCGGCACCTATGTAAACTGTTGGGGCGCTGTGACTTCTTGCAATTTTAATTTGAGCACATAATAGTCTTTAGTGTAATTCAGTATAAGTCGTATATCACTGCGATTGGCGATTGGACATTCATGTCCGTATCTCTGAGCATTTCTCTTTTGTGGTATATGATATTAAAATCATTCCATTGAGTAAAATAAAAATTACAATAATTGTAAAAGTTTTTAAATTTGTTTGTCTATGTGGGTCATTTATTATTTAAACGCATTCAAGCATGTTTCCGAGGAAAAATTCACGGAAAGATTGTTGCAAACAGCAAATGATACTGAGATATGAAAAATTGGTAACAAACTTAACTAAACAGTAAACTATTTTGAACGAAGTAGCATAATCACCCAACCACGAATCCTGAGATTATTCGTAGTACAAATAGTATGATGATCCCCACAAAAACAAAACAAAAATCAGGCAGGTTTGCCACGATGTTTGAAAAAATCTGTCTAGTGAATTTCAATTTCAATATAAGTATCGAAATCTAGTATAAAATAATCAGAGGTTTATTCTTAGGAAATTATTTGGCAAGCTGTTTCTTGAGGACTTAACGTCATTGCAGTAAAATTTATTTTCGTGTGTGTTAAATTAGTTAAATTTTATTTGGCCTGGCAATAATTTCTTTTGACTTCAAATTAAAATAAGGTTTATCACTTCTGAATTAGGCATTTATATAACTTTGCACTAGGTCTACGTAAATGGTAGGAGTTTTATCAAACATTCTTACACTTGCACACAGGATACGGGCCCGACCATTTCCCAGTTTTCAAGCATTGCAATGCGTGGTGGCCTTCAAGAACATGATTCGGTTCACATGAGAATGTTGCAATTGTGTTAAATTTCCGAGATTGATCATTATAAGTAAAAGATAATCCTTCAGTTTTCTCAATCTCCGGACATTTGATTGCTGCAACAACAAATGTTAAAGTTGACAAAAAAAGTTGTAACTAAACATAAAGAAGTCTCAATTCTGTTTCTCAACTCATGATTATGTATTTATGTTTTCATCGATCTCTAGTCTTTAATTTTTTTTTAATATTGTTATGAATTATTGAATGCTTACGTCTACATCTCGTTAGTTTTGGTTCCCATTTACTTCCAAAACTGACTTTTGTACAAGAAATATTTTGTACATTGTCCTTTTCTTCGTTGAAGTAAAAATTATCCTTACATCGGTACATTACAATTTCACCCGAGAAAAATTGTCCGTTTTCTGTATCTACTGATATTATTCGTTCAGAATTTTTCCTGGGCAAAGGAGGTTCTCCACAAGACATATCTAAAAAATAATTCTGGTTGCAATAAAAATGTTTTTTTTTTCATATCAAAAAACGACCACTGATGGTTTAATTAAACTTGAATTGCTTGAAGACATTTACAATGAAACATATTAGATCAGAAGTCACTGAGATGCAGGAGCATTTTTGTCACTGCACCTAGGATATTGTATGGCTTGTTTTAGTGTTCGTAAAACAAAATATCTACCACGCCCTATATTAGGAAACACTAAAATGAAAAGCTGGAAGGCATTCTAAGTACGATTACTAGTACTCACCTAAGCATAACCCGCATGTCCTTTTGCAGCTTGCAATCACGTAATCATTGCTGCAATGAGCTTTCCATCCCGGACATTCGCTTCTAATATCAACACAATCTAAAATTTGAAATAGTAGCTGAAATAGTAAATAAACATCATATATATTTTTTTATTAAATACAAGGTAGTCAGATCTGTTTAATGAACACAAAAGGTACTTAGGGATGTTTTTTGTGGACCAATAAGTTGTAAGTTTTCAGTATTCAAGTATGGGTAAAGCCACCAGAGGGCTCTTATATTCATTTTTTAACATTTTTTATAACAATGTAATCGCGGTGTTATCGGTACCCGTGTAAATTATGGTAATTGCAATTTAAATTTGAGCAAATAACAGATTTTGGAGTAGTTCAGTGTCAGTAGCATAGCACTGCGATTGGAAATTAATGTCCGTATCTTTTAGCATTGTTCTCTCGTGATATATGATATTGAAATGTATTTCATTAGGTAATATAAACATTGTAATAATTTGAAAAAGCTTCAAAATGTTTGGTATGTATGTCCATGTGATTTATTTATTATTTAAACGCTTTCAATCACGTTTGCCGGTCAAGATTATTGCAAATGATACGGAGATATGGAGATTGTTAACAAACTTAAACAGTAAACTATTTTGTAGGTAGTAGCACCTACGAGAAACTCCACCTACGAAATTAATTTGTTCCGGGTGCGCCTTCATAGAAAGAAAGTTCCGTAAGTAGGGACGCATTTTACCTGTAAGTGATAGATACTAAATACTATTTAAGAGGTATTTTATAAGCTGTAAATTGCAAGGAATGAACAATTTTCCTTTATGTTCGGTCACTATCGAAACTGATGATAAATACAATTAATTAGAAAACAATTTGCTTTAAGATTTATTGCCGAGGACGCACAAACTGTCTCGACTGATTTGAAATATTCGATAATAATTGTAAAATATTTTCAATAAAAAACATTCTCCACGTCTCATAAGCACTTCAAGTCGACGCTCATTGAAATCTCTTCATACAGGCTGTAATTTTTTGACGAACCGCACTGTCTTCGATTGCAATGAAAAATGAAATAATTGTGAGAGGTTTTCAAATCAAAACGTGGAGGACGGCGCTAGGATATGTGCACCACATTCGGGATTCTTATGAACACGGAAAAAACGCTATTCGAACATACATCCCTAAATTCACCGAAACAAACAAATATCACTACATGCGTTTTTTTTTTAATTTTACATATTTGGCCTTCCGTATGGGGAAAATCTTACTTGGTCGAAGTAATATTTTTACAAAAATATTTTTTGTAAGTTGGATTTTTTGTATACAGAGTCTTTCGCAGATAGAGTTTCTACTGTATATATATTTAGATACTACTGAGGCAGCTCAGGGACATTGAAATCATTGCTTGTATCAAGTGAGAACATGAAATTGAATCCGACTGTAAAGAATCTTACAGCTGTATTATTTTTACCTGAAACTGAATCAGATGTGGAAGTGGAGGATTCTGTAGTGGCTGTAGTAGTTGTTGTTTTTGGAATACTGATAGTAGTTGTGCTTATAGTTGTTGAAGAATCAATTCCTGTTGTACTTGGATGCACCTCTGTGATAATTATATATTTTGGTATGATGTTGCGGTTGCACATAAAATGTTTTTGTCATATATACTGTATATTTGTTCAACGAGTTTGTGTTATAATATTAAACATTATTTACAATTAGAGCAAATGTGAATCTAATAATTTTTTTGTATTTCCCACCGAATATTATCTTGGAAATGATAAGTAGTTCAATCAGTGAACTCGTTTCAGGGGGGGTGAACACCCCTCCTCTTAAAATTTCAAACATCCCCCAATTTTGTGTCATAGCACAAAATGACTTGTTAAACACATTTGACACTTCCAAATACTCCAGTTGCTGAATCAATTTATAAAAAGTTGAAATAATAGCGAAATTTTTCTAATAATAATTCATTCATTGAAGAACAATATATTAAATAAATATTCTTTTAATAGCTTATACATTACTTACTAAATTATAAACTATCTTTAGTTAATGTTGATCACATATTTATATTGATTTTATTAATTATTCAATTTCTATACCTAACTTGTACTTACCCAACACTGAAATATAAATTGCAAAAATAGCCAATAAAAGTTTTATGCTCATTTTAATAGATTGTATTTGCAGACTGAAAAATATTAATAAATCATCATTATAAACAATAAACTATAACACATTATCCAAATAGTAACACCAAATAAAATTCATTTTTATTCCCTTTTCGATCATATGAATAATTTTCCAATGAATTTTTAGTTTTGCTCTTCTGAATACTAATCATAAATTTGTACAAGTAATCATCTTCCAAGAACTAAACGAAATGTTGAAATGTCATAATGACGTTAACTGTGACAACAATTTAATATTTCTGACTTTCTCAATAGCATTAATCTGACTAGATATCTTTCCCACTTTTGTAATATGTCAGTTATTATTGTAATCAGTCTTCAGGATGTAATATTACCCTCGGCCTTTGCGTTATGCACATTTTTGAGAAAACAAATGTCGTTTATGAGAATGTAATTTAAAAGGCAATCGATAAAATTACTTCCCGTACGCATACTTTACTTGAAGCACAAATCTATTGCTCCAGTTCTTAGAACCTCCAATGCTATTGGCGATAATTGCTTTTTTTTTAGTTCGGTGGTTATTTGCTTGAATTAGAACTCATTTACCGAATATACCGTGCTTCCTGCCGGTTGGCCAAATATGTTCCAATATTTTATCTCATTTGCAAAATGCAAGGAAATGATGGTTTGATCATTCATTTTGTAAGATTTAACTGCTATTGATGCCATTGACACAGTTTTGGATATATGTATCGTTTGAAAAAAATATCCTAAGCTAAGTGACAAAAAAATTGAAATAGTGCTGATTTTCGTGAAATGTTCTTACGTGAGAAAATTGTTTTATCGTTATCTTTCATTAGGACAAAACAGATAAATCGTGTGGGAGTCACGTTTACTTCGCCTTGCAGAAACTTCTTTAGAACCGCGTTTAACGCGTCTTATATCAAAAAGACTGCAGAAATTTTCTCATTAAAGTGAATAATCTGCTGTTGAATTGCATATTTTTGTAGCAATTACAATAGTAAATTATGTTTCGTGTTTTGACATTTTTGATCGATTTTGGAAGTTCAACGGCACAAAAAATTAGTTTTGAAATTTTTACCGGTACGCAAACTAGAAAGGTTGGTTTAATTGATCTGGTTACATCAATTTTTAGGCCCATTGCAGAAACTTAAATTTATATTTTTTCGTACAAACAAGTTCATACTAGGTTGTAAATGGTACAGATGATATCATTGTTGTTAAAATATCAGTTTGCTTGACTCGTGCAACACGTTTTGCAATAAATTGTTTTCAAACCCGTTTGCAAGTTGTAATAAAAGACTGTTTAGTTTTTTGCGTAGAATATTTCGATTTTATTTATTTTGGTCTTCTGAATACTAGTACGTATATTAGTATATTAGATTCATATATTAGAATACTAGTATGTATTTTATGTTTTTATTCAAGAGACGTAAATTTGCTCTAAAGTACTAAGTAACCGTTTCATTCTCTTCTCCATTATTGGAACAAAATTTAAAATACAAGCCCCGCTTTTACCAGACAGCTGCGGGTGTCTCAAAAATGTCGTATCCCATTTGTCCCACGTGTCCCACTTGTCCCACTTGTCCCACTTGTCTCACGTGTCCCATTTGTCCCACTTGTCCCACTTGTCCCACGTGTCCCACTTGTCCCAGGTGTCCCATGTGTCCAACTTGTCCCATTTGTCCCACGTGTCCCACGTGTTCCACTTGCCCCACGTGTCTCACTTGTACCACGTGTCCCACTTGTCCCACTTGTCCCACGTGCCCCACATGTCCCACTTGTCCCACGTGTACCCCTTATCCCACGTGTTCCACTTGTACCACTCTCGTACCACGTGTCCCGTGTCCCACTAGTCGCTAACATCACGAGCATTTTGCTAAAATCGTCGGTTGTTCCGCCTTAGGCACACATTGTCGGTGTCACGAGTACAGAATTCTATAATTCCCAAAATGCCAAAAATACGGATTCCTAACGGCGATAACGCATTAGCAAGATTGCAAACATACCTATAAAAACTAAATATAAACAGGCAGTTTATCTCATGTGTTTATGGCATATTGAATTTGTTTTTTAATGTATTAAATAGACGCCACCGTGAGTTACGTTAAACACAATTAAGTTAATTGCCATGGGTTAAATATTTTACGCAACAGAAAACCTCGCTGAAAAAATGTCGTTTTTTTTAACGAGCGAATAATCACCGCGACTGTTTCATGATGAAAACGAGATATAATATATATGGACAAAATATCTAGCAAATGAGATGTGTGATAAATGGGATTCATGTGGACAAAATATCTGGCGAATGAGATATATATGGACAAAACTCCTGCACGACATATATAAAGAGAAAACACTTCGCGAATGAGCTGTTGATTCATTATGGAAACGAGATGTATGTGGACAAAATACGAGATGTATCACGTGAATGAGATGAATGTAGAAAAAAATATCTGCTGAACGACATGTATGAAGAAAAAACACTTTGCGAATGAGTTGTTGGTAGGCAAAACATCTGTTAAAAGGTATGTATGGTAAATGGGATACATGTGGACAAAAAATCTGATGAATAAGATGTAGGTATACAAGTCATATGATATCCAACCTTTTTCGTTAAACTACTCCCTTCTCTAATTTTTAAACCTTTTATTCTTTCCTCACTATGCATAAAAACTACTGTATTAATTTAATTCTTATCTTTGTCTGTGCGCTAGTTGAAAAAACGATTTTGTACAGTTCCAGTATTTTCTAATTGAATGTGTGCATTATACTATAATAAGCATAACGAACTTTGGAAAATACTACAGCAAACTATACTACAGTAATACTACAGCAAATACAAAACCGATTCCTCCCCAAAACGACAAAGTTACTCGCCAGGGATGAATTTTTTCCCGGTTTGGAAAACGTGCCTCCAATAAATGAGATATTTGTAGAAAATATACGTGACGAAGAAGCCTATCTTTAAATATAGTATATGCTCAATCTTTAAATGAATGACTGAAGCAATTCGTTTATTTTTGTTAGAAAGACGCATTTTGTAAAGCAGACTAATTCCATCAAAAACATGACTTTATGTTCTTTGTAGTGAATGCGCCAAAAAGATATGATCACAGTAATTTAAGAAATTGTGATTGTAGTATTTTTTCAATCGGGCTAGTATCATTAAGTACGAATGACTTAGAGATGAAAAAATAAGGGAACTTAACATAGAAATAAAAAGAAATTGGTCTAAAGTAGTAAAACCAATTGATGGTTGCAATAAAATAACAAACATCTTGGCAGAAAAAGTATAAGGTATTGCAGTTACATATAAAATCGGAGGGAAAAATAGAATGATAAAAATATCATAAAATAATATGGTAATATTCATGTTAGATGGGGCAATAATTTCTTGGTTCGATAGATAATGTCAACATCTGCTCGTGACATTATTAACTTTTACATATCATATTGGTCTACAAAATACCTGAATTATTCTCTTATTGCTCTAAATTTACAGAAAAAAATGACGAAAATTGAAAAAACATAAATATCAAGCGAAGAACTAGGTTGCAAAGCAATTTAAGTAGTTAAAATCGAGGGTGGGCAACCTTTTTTACAGGAGGACCAGATAAAGATAACTGTGTAAAACCACAGGTCGCACTTTCATGCAACATAGGCTTTCTAGTAATAGCAAGCACAAAAGTTTTGGTTATTGATGACATGGGTGACAAACTATGACTTGTTTTTTTCAGTGCCGGAATATAGCCGGGTTGATATCGGATAGGTACCGACATGGGCGCAGCCAAAATTTTCGGTGAAATTGAAACAGAGCACCCAAAGTGCAAACTGAAAAGAATGCGTCGTTCACAGCGAAATAGCACAGTTACGTGTAGCCCGCCTCTTGTGTGCCTGGCGGTTTATGGTAAATATTTTGCAAGTCCTATTTCAAATACAGACCAATAATCCGTAGTCAGCAGTACCCGCATTTGAAAATAGAACATTAGAAATCGTGAGAATTAATTTTGAGAAAAGTGTAACTCGCGGATGTCAGTAGCGTCAAAATTGTTTATAAGTACAAAAACACGCTCTCATGTAGCGCCGATCAAATTCATTAAATGGGAAACTATTACTTAAACGAGTTGATTTTTAATTGCCATTCAATGATAATTAACATGCGTCGTGATTAGTGGTGGGCAAATAGTTTTTTAGTCGAATTATTTGAATATTTTCAACGAACACAACACCGAATAATTAGTATTGTCATTTCAAACAACCGTATTTGGGATTTCTGCCGCTGAAACGATCGCCGTGACAATTTTATTTTTCGGAATTTACTTGAAGACTGAAAACTTCGCAACAATGCAGCGATTTCTATTTCCTAATTTTGTCATAATCCAAGGCCGCAGTAAATATTTTTGTCACCGCGATCCTTCCGGCGGCTTGACATCCCAATTGATGATGATAAACTATATTAAAGCACCTTTTATCCACTAGTAAATATTAATTCTCATGCAACGGCGGATATCGCAGTTTGGTTTTTATTTTTTGGACAGAAATTTGATTTCACATTGGCCACGATGTCAAAGACAACTATTAAGGAGTGCATTTACAACACAAATTAATTTTATGCTGCTTTTTATCTTTTTTTTAGGATTTGTATCACAGTTTGTAAATTAATTTCCCAATTTTAAGCGAACAGTATTACTGACCCCGGAATGCGATATTTGTGAAGCTGATAGTTGACTTTTTTATGCTTTTAATTTTATATCGTGTCCGTGTTACTTTCGTATTAAATAATTAAAAACTCCGTAAATTAGTAATCTCTCTAATACTCAGTGTGGAGAATTAACGTAACTCAGCTTTGGAATAAAACACTGATACTAAATACTTGAATAAATCAGCAATATTGGCATTTCTACGTCGTCAAAATAATATTTCTTTCCGTCCCCAACATCTCGGAAAATTTCCATAGAATACAAAATTTACCAGTCGTACTTATCTGGTTCGACAATTCTAAATTTACAAAAATGATGTTGTCTCGTGGGACAA